TATTGACCTTATGTTGTACTACTCCTCTGACTATAATTATGATAGTATTTCGCGTGAAATTGGACTCCAAGTAGTACAATAAGACTTACTCTGTTTAATACTTTTTATAGCGAGATCGACATCCCACACCCTAAAATACGCATTGTACTTTCCGTACTGTTGTATTGACCTTATGTTGTACTACTCCTCTGACTATAATTATGATAGTATTTCGCGTGAAATTGGACTCCAAGTAGTACAATAAGACTTACTCTGTTTAATACTTTTTATAGCGAGATCGACATCCCACACCCTAAAATACGCATTGTACTTTCCGTACTGTTGTATTGACCTTATGTTGTACTACTCCTCTGACTATAATTATGATAGTATTTCGCGTGAAATATATCTACGTCCACGATCCCAGTCACGCACATGCCATACATTGGACTCCCGGATGTTCGGTATCTGAGCCCCTCATAATTCTCCAGCTGCACTGTTACTTTGATACAAGAGGTCCATGGCGCTCGGGACGTAGGTCAGGGCTGATTTCATCTTAAAGCAGCTGACGTACCATGGAAGACGGTACAGAGTCTTGGAGAGGGGATACCTAGCCGATTTCGTACCGATGGGGAGCCATGATTCATCCAATGCCTCCTTGCACACCCTTGCTCAGACTGCACCGCGCTGTACATTTTCGCCTGTGTCGACATTGTCCGCACTTCGTCCGGGACATACATCTGGTCACACAAGCTCGTTTTTGCGGGCGTTGCTTGTACACATTCATCATCGCCGCAGCCGCATTGTTGGCTACTGTGTACCGGCATGTCACTGGGAGATATGTTCGTCTAGCGTACAAAGAAATTGAGCTGCTATCATCTACAAGACAGGTTAGACGTTTTGAGTCAACGTCCTATAACAGCAAATTCTAAATAATAGAGCCCGTGGGAGTCTGGGAGAGGAAGCGAGACGGCACGTATCAGCCATCTCGCTCTGTGACTCAGGCGATGGGGAGGGTGACGACAAACTCAGCGCACTGTCCCACTGTATTACGAATGTTTTACATGTGTAGAGAGCTAATGGATTATTGCGTTTGTATGCCTGTTAGAAGACGTGGAAGTTGCACGACTCTAGTTGTAATGCCACCGCCGATTTCGACGAGCGAGTTTGGCTGTTTCTCCCGCTCAGCGCGGGACATGACTTCTGCTTTCCAAGAACTCCAAGGAGAGTCTTGTTAGTCCCCGGAGAAATACTTCCCGCGCGGTTGCTATATAGTTCAGTCTACGTAGAACTTCAAGTTGAAGGTGTAGAGTATGACAAACCGCTCCCCAGTGGGTATCCTTCATACCGTAACGACGATTTCAGTAATGTCAGAAGGCCTTGCGGTGACGTAATCCCTTCCAGCGCTTGTATGATCAACCTGAAGGCGCATCATTCCCCATCTTCACTTCAGTCCGTCAGTAAAGGGACGTTTGACACCCTCAGACGTGGCAACTTCACGTCATCCCGAAAACCACAGGGTACATGGTCATCGTTCTGTCATTCTAGACCATTGTCACAGATAATCCATTGTACGGAGCAGGGCATTGAATACGGGTTGTCAACGAATGACGGGAGCAAGCGGAAGCTTGGTCGATCCTACTCACCTGCCATATATGGATAAAGGCACAGCCACCTGCATCGATCCCTGCTTCTCTCCGACTCGGACAAGCTTCATCCGCAACGTTGACGACACAAGGCCACATCTCGAACGGACGCGCTGGAAGCTGAGGATGCTACCGCCTACCGCACATATACTCTTTCTGTGTCTGTCTGCGTTACTCGGATGTAAGGGATCTCGGGTCATTGGCGAGCGGGGCTCGAGCAGAATAGAACAGGACCGCTCAGGACCTCCGTTTCAGCGGCTCCGAACCCGCGTTGAACTCTGAAATGTGGAGCTCTCCTTGTTTCTCTGTACCTTTCTTCCGAGCTCTCACTGACCGCCGGCTATGATCGATGCCAGGCACTGCGAGCGCAGGCTGCCCTGCAGCACCACCACAACACTTCCGCTGTCGCTGTTCCTGACATACTCCCCATACTCCGGAACGAAGGAAGCAACCTTCTCTCGATGGCCAACCTCGAGAATCAGCGTCATGGACTTCTACATCGCTGACGATCAACACCTCGCACAAGTATCCAGAGCATTATAAAAGCTCTACCATCTCTCACGAATTCTCAACAGCGAACTCAGCGAACCCGGCATCCACGAGACCGACCGACCTCCTCTTTCATCTGCAGTCTCGTCTCACGCCATGTTCTCTCGCAAGTTCGCCGTCCTCGCCAGCTCTGTCTACCTCGCCCTCCTCGTGGGCGCCAGCCCGATGCCGCAAGCGGATCTCACGATCTCAGCGCTGAACCCCGGCCCCACGCCCCTGCTGAACGTCACCGCAGACGTCCCCGGCATCGTCAACGGAACCGTCATTGTAGGCGGTCTCAGCGGCGACGACTCGACTGGCGCTACCGACGGCACCACCACAGCGACCAACGGTAGTGGCGCGGCCAGCGGCACAGACACCTCTTCAGCGACCTCGTCTGCGGCAAGTGGTACGCCGACAGACAGCGCCGCTGAACCGGGAACGAGTTCAACTACTGGTACCGCCAGCGGTACGCCTTCCGACGACTCTACGGCTGGCACGGACCCATCTGGCGGCAGCACCGTCGCCGCTGCTGCGTCTGTCGGCGAAGACCCCTCTACGGATGGTGGTAACGCTACGGATGGCGGTGACGCCGCAAACTCTGGGTACGCACTTGTTCTATCCTGTCGTCATTTCCCTCTAACACCGTACCCTTCAGCTGCTCCCCGGCCGCGACGGTAACCGTCACCATCACCGCCTCGAGCGCACAACCCACTGGGTCCAGCACGACCGACGGCGCTGGTGCTCAAGTTCCAACTGGCGGCAATACCGACGACCCCACCAATGCCGGCACTGATCCAAGCGACGGTAGCACCGACGGCAATGCCGACCCGGCCCTGGCAGCTTCTGCCAGAGTTAACGGTCTCAACTCGGGCAGTGGCGGCAGCGAGACCCCCACCGATTCTGGGGACGCTAGCGGGGCGCCCACCGATTCTGGCACCGGTAGTGGCACCTCAACCGATTCCGGCAACGGTAATGCGACCCCCACCACTTCTAGTGACGGCAGCGGCACCACCGACACTAGCAACGACGACGGGAACGTGTCCGGTGCAGCAGCATCCCGCGTAGGCAGCGGGGACCCGTCTGCAGACGGCGCTGACCCCAGTGCTTCTGCATCCGACCCCGCCTCTTCCGGCACTACTGCGGATGGTGGCGATACGAACGCCACGCCTTCCGGCGGGAATGCCACGCCCACTGACGGGGTCAGCACACCTACTGACGGGGATGGCATATCCACCGACGGAGATGGCAACGCCGCGACGTCGACAGCCGCTGTGAACACAGCGCCCACGCCCGCTCCCGCCGACGGTGGTTCTGCGTCCTCTGACCCAGCTGCCGCCTCGTCTACCGCCTCTGCCACCGCTTCGTCCGTCGACCCTGCCGCCTCCCCCTCTGCCTCCGCCGCCGATCCAGCCACATCCGCATCCGCCACGCCCGCGCCCTCCAACTCGGAGACGACTCCAACCTCCAGTGCTACAACCACCACCCCCTCCTCCACGTCCGGCCAATGCAGCACCGGCACGGAGTCCTGCTGCGACAACGTGACGATGGCGGACGACCCCGACGCGGCCGCGCTCATCTCCCTGCTGGGCATCACCGTTGGCGACCCCACTACCCCCGTTGGCTTGAGTTGTACGGTGTTGCCCGCTACGGGGTGCCAGAACTCGGCGCCTGTCTGCTGCGAGAATAACAACTTTGGTGAGTATCTCATCCATGGTTACCTCATGCAAGCGCTCACTCTCGCTCGCGTTTTTAGACGGACTGATCAACGTCGGATGTGTCGCCATCAACGTCTAGTTGCTTCCCCTGCTGTAACACGATAAGGACTTTTTCTGCTAGGACGGTGACTGTGGATTTTACTCTACCACCTTTCTCTGCTGTACACTACGCCTATGTTGCTTTTTTTGCTAATACCAGTTGGTCGATAATCCGAGTCTTCCTCCACAGGCGACCCCTTCATTGTATAGTTTATCGCTTTTTGCATAATGCCGCTTGTAATGGTATGTTTTGTAATTTACATGCCTCGATATAAAGCCCATGCTAGCGCTCTCCAAGCCGGTTGACAGTAGCACATCGATTTGGTGCACCGTCACTTGTTCCAACGACGTTATCTTATTCCATCCTGCAATCGTACAAGCAATTTCTCTTCTCTGTCTATGCATTATCTTATCTTACATTGACAACCGTCCGCCGCTACCCATCTCACAGCTGAGCAAGAATAGCGTCCGCCGCGGTGGTGGTCACCACACTGGGGTCAGGCTCGACGGTCACGGTCACCACCTTGTCGCCCTCGGTGATGATCACATAGCGCTACAATGCACATTCACATCAGTCTTCACTGCTAGACGAAACGCGGGCGTTCTTACCTTCGACCGCGGGGCGCCGAGAAGGGGGGAGGCGTCGAAGAGCAGACCGAGCTTCGAGGTGAGGATGCCTTGATCGTCTGCGATGAACTTGACGGCTGAATAGCTGCGTCAGCACTGTACCAACCAAGATTCCAGAAACATCTGCCTACGTGTGCCTGAAGGAGCAAGCTGATCCTTCCATGCTCTATACAACGATCAGTATCACACGCCTGCACCAAAGGCGCCGCATACACTCACTTCAACACGAATGCGTCGTTCACTGCGACGATGTATATCTCATTGACGCCCTTCGCCTGGAACTGGTCGTACTTCTGGATGTATCCCGGGACCTGGTTGGTGCAGGTGCCGGTGAACGCGCCGGGGACGCCGACCTACACGAGATCGATTAACACCCGGCTGAACGACGGACGGCAGTACGGATTACTCACAATGACATTCTTCCCCTCGAGCTTGAGCGGGAACGCAGCATCGGGCGCAGCGTTCCCCGCCTCCTTCACCTTCTCGGCAGGGACCACGTCCCCAGGCTTGACCTGTAATCGCGAACTAATCAGCCATCTCGTCGCGCGCCGCAACGTCCACCGTACCTGGGCCTTTGAAAGAGCAGCAGCAGCCGCGGAGTGCAGCGCCTGGGCAGCGCCAGTAATAACGGAAGTCATGGTCGTATCGATGTGAGTGGGAGAGTCGTGCAACTTGATTGACCGGTGGCTGCAGCTACTTATACTCGCTGTGACGTCATAGCTACACTTCACTGTACCAACTTCGCTGGACTTCGCCATTTTTCTTCATGTGATGCGTTTGTAGTCTTACACGTTTAGTATTACGGGCTGGTATACACGGGAAGCTTACTATAACATGCATGGTATAAGGGGGAGCTCAGTGCTATGACCGGGAAATGTTCTGATACTGCAGACTCGCGCTCTCGTATTCTCGCTGGAATATCCGGTCCTTTTCTTTCACCATCCACCTGAGAGAATAGTCATCAGCTCCTCTTCATGACAGACAGGACCACGGCTGCTCACTGCATAAGCTCGTTCACATAGTCCCGCACGATGCTCACCGATTCCGGGTCCATAGTCGAGTTGGCCACCATCTGGGGCATGCTCACTGTCGAATAATAAGCAACTACCTTACACCAGGGATCGTTAGATACTTACCTAGCATCCGTAGGAGATGCTCTGCCCCGTAGATAGCACTCATCTCCTTCTCTTGCCCAACCTTCACGGTAGGTCCCGTCACGAATTGTCTCCGTATCTCAGCGTACTGTGGCCTTTCAAAGCGGTAGAGCAGGTTCTGCCCCAACGAGCGATCGAAATAGACCTGCAGCCCCGATATGATAGTCGGCAGAACCAGCTTCGGGTCCCGCAAGCTATGATCATCAAATTACAATGCTGCAGCGAAGCATAACCAACACCACTCACTTCGTCGCCCCGGGCGGCAGCGCGAGCACATACTCCTTGAACTCCTCCAGCAGCTCGACGACGTTCGGCGTGCGCGGGAGCGGCACGAGCTGGATCGGCGGCGTGAAAGGACTTGTGTGGGACCAAGAGGTAAGCTCACCGACCTGGTTGTTCTTCGTCACCGCCTCCCAGTCGTCCACCAGGATCACCTTCAGGATCTCCGGCACGTTCAGCTTCATCTCCGGCTTCTTGCTGCCCTCGTCCTGCCACCGCCACCACCGTCCGTCAGCCCTGCTTGATCCTAGCGAACACAGGGGAACCGCGTACCTCCTCGCGCCCGCGCTTCGTCCCGCGAGTCCCACCCTCCTTTCTGCCCGTGCCCACCGCCTTCGCCCCATCCTTGTGCGCGCCCGCCTTCGCCTTGGCGGAGGACCCCGACGCCTGTGCGCTCGCCTGCTCCTTCAGCTGCTTCTGCAGCTGGATGCTCGCCTCGTTGTACTTCAGCAGGCGCGACGCCGGCACCCACTCGTCCCACCTGCGCGTGCGGGGAGGCATAGCGTCAGCGTCTCGTCCTCGTTCCCAGTGTTATTGGAGTTAAAATGAAGGGACAAAGGGACGATGATGAAAGGACGGGAGAAAGGATAAGGAACCCACGTCTGCTTCCACCCCTTGTAGTGCACAAAGTAGTGCGGGCCGACGCTGCCCAGCTGTGTCGTTGTCTCGTCCCAGTTCTCCACCTTGAGGATCTTCGCCTCGTAGATGAGCGGGCCGTGGTAGCATAGCACGCGCTCGTTCACGGCGTACGTGGGGGCGGAGGTGGCCATGTCGACTTGCGGTCAGAGTTCAGATTGACCTGGTAGAGCTCAAGGCGCGGTTGAAAGTAGGAACAAGGCCTGATGGGCACTGTAAAGAAAAATGGTTACATTAGCCAGGACTCAGGAGAACGAGCGACTGGAAGTTTTAAGACTTGTACCTGGGGATCAGACTAGATCGGACTGCAGTGTACGTCTGGATAGCAGGTCTGAGATATGAAGACTGCGGACACCTTTGGCACACCCAGCGATCTACGAAAAGAGAGTGAGTTACTTATGGTTGCTCAGTACTCATGAGGAGGTTGCAGCCGCTGGCTGAGCGACGCCGTGGCGGTGATCGTCAATACGAAGTCGAATGTCTCAGCCTTCGTCGCACACACTTCCGGAATACGTACATCATCACACGAATAAGAGCGGACTCGACGGATGGGATAGCATAGGGCATATAGGCATGTATACATATGGACTGCATAACTGCTCGTATCATCGCGCCTCCCGCCACACCGCACCCCTCACAAACACCCATCCACCCGCAAGCGAGGTGGAAAGTGCTCTCTCATAGCTCCAACAGTGCAAAGCGCGACGGAAAATCTGCACAACAGAGCGCCCATCAACAACGAGTCCAAACATGATAACAAGTGCGCACTCACGTCGAAAAGGATCGACAAAACTCCGCCACGTCCTCCTCCACATTCTTGAAGAGCTCTGGTCGTAATATCATGAACGTAGCTTCGATGCCTGGGCCGCCCCGCCGGCATCCTCACGAAGCCGCATGATTAGCAAGAAATTTCGTATCTTAACACACATGGCCTAGTTTGGAGACCAAGTGTCGGATGGGATTATGTGCATAGCCTGTGTTCTTGGGCCTGCTTGAGACACCGTCAGCTACCGCGTACCGGGAAGAAGGCAAACAAGTATCTCACGCCTGATGTTATGTTACAGCACCGCTAACACGAGCGGGCGCGCGCCCGCCGCGCGTTGCAAGCCTCGCAAAACCGCTTGCGATGCTTCTGCTTCCCGAGCGTCCAGTCGTAGACAAAGTCGTACTCGATGCTGTGCTTCTTCGCGAGCCCCTTGAAGAGGTCGCGCAGCCCCTGGTAGTCGGGCAGGTTGTCGAACTCGAGGCCCCGCGCGTACTTGTAGAAGATGTCGAACTCCTGCGGGAGCCCGACGGTGAGCAGGTTCTCGCACTCGAGCTTGCTGTCGCGGATGACGTTCCACGTTTCGGCGGTCGTCTCGCCTTTGAGCTTGCGCCACGGCAGGTAGCCGCGGAGGAAGTATATGAGCATGTATGCGAGAGACTCGAGGTCATCGCGTCTGGATGACTCTGTCAAGGGTTATATGAGTATGACGCCCATATATGAGGAGCAAATTGCGTACCAATCCCAAGATGCGTATTTATCGAGGCGAAGAGAGAAGTTCCAACGCCGTGATGGTCATCTTGTTTGTATGGGATGTGAAGCGTTGTCCGCGGGTCGCGGTATTTTTTGGCCAGGCCAAAGTCAATGACGTTGACCAGATGAGCGGAATTGTTAGTGCCCATGACGAAGTTGGCAGGCTTGATGTCACGGTGGACCAGGTCGCGTGAATGAAGATATTCGATGCGAGAAAGCTACAGAGACGACGCGTCATTTCCGTGTTCAGATGACATAAACGCGTAAACGAAAAGCTCGAAACCTGAAGATGAAACTCGACATGGCACCATGACGCGCAGTCGTGCCACCGCGCAGGGAAGACGCGTCTCGATCCACAGGAGAAAGCATTGTTCAAGTAGGTCATGCACATCACATGGTAGTCTACACCGGATTGCCACTCACAAGTTGATCGGCTAGCAAGAGCACGGTCTTGAGGGAGAAGTGTCTATTGCACATCTTGAAGAGGTCCTCCAACGAAGGCCCGAGGAGGTCGATAATCATGACATTGTAGTCTCCTTGCTTGCCGGACCATAATATCCACGGCACGCCAGGAGCGCCGACGAGCGTCTTGTATATCTTCGACTCCTGCTTGAGCAGACTATGCTTTGCCACAGCAGGCTCGACCTTGATGGCCACCTCCTTGCCAGCAATGGTGTGCACGCCAAGGAAGACAGTCCCTAAGGCAATCTACGCGTGAATATCGTGACAACCGGCAGACATGTAGAAGGGACTGACCGCAACCGCCAATGGCGATTTCCTCCTCGAGCTTGTACTTGCCACCGAACGTGAAACTCATGATATTTACGTGATGGAATGGAGAAAGGTTAATAGCGATAACAATACAGACAGCAGGTGAACGTGCAAGGCGTATGGCAGCAGAGCTCGAGGACGTCAATGACGGCGACCGGGAACGAGGGGGGAAATGAACCACCACAAGCCCCGATCCTCTCCAGTTTCGGGTTTCAACTGTGATTACGTCAGCAATACGGGCGCTGTTACGGCACTGCTTCACACGGTCGGCTTATCCGGCTCAAGTCCAAACAACTTTGTGGCGAATATTGGGCGAATATTCGCCGCAATCTGGTACTTTCAGCCGGAAAGTACGGTCTGTGTCATCACAGTATGCTACTGCTATTTGCGCACGTCGCTTATTATGAGCTACACATGCGGGCGTGAGCAATATACAACCGCAACCGAGGGATTTCAAAGTGTGTGCACATTCCCTAAGCGGGTTCGCAGTGCCTCGCGACCATTGAGCCTATAACGCGCCATTAGCCATAGCTTTTGGATAGTGCTGGCGAGCTTACACAGCAAGCATAGAGTTGACATATACTGCGATTCATTCAAATGAAGTCAGACTGTGTGCCAAATGACAGAAGTTACATTCCTTACATTTTCCCAATACGAAGTATATTCCGACAAATATCATGGTGCCTGGGAGCACCAATACCTGCACAATTACCAGAGGGCTAACGTTAGACTATTCATCGAAGAATTCAAACTACCTCGCCGACTTACACAGGCAAGGAAAATTATCATGAGGACACTGATACGAGTGTTAGTCCCACCAATGCTAAGTCCGGTAGGCACGCAGGACTGACGTTATGAGGGCACCCGTAGCTATGGTATACTTGATGATAATGCCCACCACAGACCTGGAGTCGGGTGAGCAAGTATGAGAATGAGGGTATATGCGCTTTCATGCTGACCTTGAACCTGTAAGCGTATGTCTCTGGGCTTTACGAAGGAGGATAGACATGCTTATAGCAATTCCAAGGTCAGCTACGATAGCGCAGCTCACGATCGAGCAAAGCAGGGCCTGAGAGCCAACAGTTATTTGGCTTTTTCACCGCAATCAGAGAGTGTGATATACCTTCAGTACTCTGTGCTCTGCAGCTGATTCATCCAGGTCGGTGAATGAAGGGAACTCGTAGCTTGAAGATCAAGAGGCATAAGCTTGGTATTATTGAATGAGAACCTGATACCCTCACAACTGTACGGTGTAGACTGCGTACTTGTGAGATAAGTGAGGAACTTCGAAGGGTGTGATTGCAGACCTGTTGAAATTACTGGCGGCCCTCGTTGGGTAAGCAGGAACGAACTTGACACTGGGAGACGCACCGATCTCGAAAGTCGCCGGCAGCAGCTAGTTTCGGATATACTGAACTCCGTACTCCCATACTGACAGTTGGGACAATCTCACCAGCAGAAATGTCATTCTCCGTTTGCTCACTGCACGCAAGAATCTTGTTCCAGCTATAAGGCCGAGCATCTGATGTCATTCACTCACACATCCATATCCTCCTTATGTAGAAGCTGGGAAACGTGTTAGCCATGAGGGAAGGGGGGTCCCGGTACCGAGGTACTTACCATTGGACGACGTAGAACACTACTTCCTAAAGCAAAATGAATCAGACTAAATTGGGATTCGTACGGAAGTCTGTCTGACTGATGGCACTATTTGTCCCTGGCGTTGAAGCATCCATTATCGGCAATACTTAGTAAGTAGACTGAGGCAAAGAATTTTCATACCAGATAACTCCTGCAAAGTCCGCAAGTTAGTCAAGGGCGGGAAATTTCATGAATCTATTATCTACCAATTTGCGAACAGATACCCCTCCGGGTCTCCATTACATCTCGCCACAAGGTAATACCACATGCTATGCCATATAAGAAACTGCTGTAGGGTGTCGAGCTGCCATGGAATCCATGAGTTCCCGATGACAAGTAGATATCGGAACTCACCAGGAAGACTATCGCGACCTATATTATGTTATATGATGCGCCGTGGCTAGGTAAGATGCTTTCGTTCGCGCTTAGGCAAACTTACCGTGAATTTGAGGAAACGTCTATCATCTCTGTATGTGCGAAAATAGCTGCAGGCTTGGCCTAATGTGACGCCGTACAGCCTGGAGAACGTCGCTCTGGAGGGTTACGCATTGAACGGATACTGGAGACGAACATAGTTGACATGATGGCACCGTCTAGACATGCGCCGAACGTCAGATGGAGTGACGCCATGATACTCAAGGGCGGTATGACGGAGGCTCCGCGAAAAAATACGTAGAGACGGATAAATCGCTAGAAAAAAGCGCACCCCATTATATATAACATGTGAGACGGCCGATACCGTCGACATTTCTCATTTCCCGCTTGTCGACGCTAGGGCATGTCGGTGAAGTCGCTCAGGGCGGGATGCTACGGAGGGCGGAGTGCGCGACGCAGATCGCCATTCGGCCTGATGACGGACCCCTTTCGAGCCACATTAAGTATAGCATTTTAAGGAATCGGCTGCCGCGGCTAGGCAGTCCTGGACTCGTCTTGTACACCAGAGACGGCGGTTCGTTGACACATCTGTGGGCGTAGAGGGCAGGAACTGCGCACCTCGCTGTTTTCGAGTCCACTTGTTCCTGGAGTCGGTGCCAGCCTGGAAGAGAATCCAATACCATCAGTCGATCTGGCTCTGGAGACTGGTGAAGCATCCCGATTCCACCGCGGGTACTTACCATGACCTAATTGAGTCCGTCATTAAAGTTGCCGTCGGCACACCCAAGTGTTATCAAGCTAACCACTTGTCGCAGCTACGACTCAGCTACTGCGATGTCACTTGCCAGTGAACACTTCAGTCCACGGAGAAGTCGACCTGCAGAGCTGGTATACTCTTCAGTCAACTCGTCATTGATTTGAGCACGCGCCTATGATAGGGAGCGATCGTCACATGGTATTCAAGTTTGTGGGTCCCATGCATATTAATATGGCCATGGCGATCTCGGCCAAGTATCCTGGAGTCCGTCCTTCCATTCTTGCGCGATAGATAGTCATCAGAAGGGACTGAAAAGACATGTGCTCAGGTTGTGAGTGCCAGTAGCATTCGACTGATCAACGTGCTGATCTCATCGGCTGTACTACTTGAAGGGCATCGACTGGCTGACGTTTCGACGACCCCTTCACACATAGTATGCCTGTAACACCCGAGCTGCTTAAGCCTCTTGTGTCATCCACTTTTATTCTGGACCATCGGCTATCGGGCTCCTCGCTCCAAGTTGTCGCTAAGCGGTATCTAGACCCAGCAAACCCCATACCTCCATCGGACAATTCGGCAGTAACACTCCTGTTTGCTCACGGAATTGGTCTCAGTAAGTTATAGCAAATTTTTTATAAACACGGCTGACTTGATGATCTACCTAAGCTACGGAATTATGGCTGCCCATTATCAAAACGATATATAAGGATAGTGTTAATGCTGGCCATAAGATCCGGTCGATCTGGGCGGTAGATTGTCCTAACCATGGAGACGCCCATATTCTGAACGAGGAGGTACTGAAAGATCAATATCCAAGCCAATGTGAGTGAGGTTCCACCCGGAGTTAGAACTACTGACTTTAACTATATGCTCTACTGCAGTCTCCCTTCGCGAATACGGTGCCGCTATATCGACGTTCCTGTCATCCGGTCTCCTGTCATCCGCTGAAGTCTCGAATCTTGTTGGCGTTGGACACAGTGGCGGCGGTGGAGCCCTGTAACACACCTCCCTTAATCCGCTGATCATGGCTGACTCCCATCCTGCGTCGCAGCGCTGTAGCTGCTGCAATAGCTTGCATATGCGGCGGCGTCCAGCCGCTCTTCAAGGGACTCATTTGTGTAGATTCGCCCTGGATGCAAGACAGATCCGCGAAACCGGCGTTCGAAGAGCTCGTGCAAGTGCTGGTTTCGATGGAGTTATCAAAGCCTCGTGAATGGCCTGACAAGAAGGCAGCCGTGGAATATCTCTCCGCTCGGCCGCCCTACAGCAATTTCCACCCAGACGTCATGCACGTTCTCGAAGTGAGCTCTATACTCCCTCCTCACGCCTTCAAGAGGTCCTGAAGGTCCTGTTAGGAAACACATTTCAGGGCTGTCTCCTCGAGCCCTGACGATCCCCGCGTGGCGCTGAAGACGTCGAACGAGCAAGAGGCCGCCACATGGAACTCCACCGACGACGCGTTCGCCGCTGCGGAGCTCCTCGAACCGACTCTGAAGGCGACGCCAACGCACTTGATCTTGGCCACCCGAACCGACATATGGTGCGCGAGTTTTTGCTCAGCTTTGTACCTGCAGCGGGTACCCGGATTCATTCTTATTCATTAGGCCTCCGCAAGTACTTGAAATGCTCAAGCGGACGGTCGAATCTCACAGGGAACAGCTCGCCTCTGTGGCGTACATAGACGCGAGTCATTACGTGCGTGAATACACGCACCGAGCGAACAGTACTAACTATGCGAGATTGCCACAGATTCCGCAGGAGAGACCGTACGAGCTTGCGGAAGCGATTCTCGCGATACTCAACGCTGCTCCCGGACGTATATCAGACGACCATGAGGATTCTGTGTGACATCTACATGTAAGGTGGAATGTGTGTTATCGGTTCTTTCCCAATCTGCAGAGGGTTGATCCAGATCGAGTGCCACACTGTTGAGTAATCGATACATCCTTCAACCAAAATGTGGAATACATGCTAGCGTCCATGGTGGTAATACAAGGAGTGTATGTAGGTAACGATACAATGCGCGTCGTTTTGACTGGCGTCAAATTACTGGGCTCCGGGTACACGCCGAAGTGGATGGTGAATGGTTAACCATCCCGGAGCCCTCTATCAAGCTCTGCTACGGAGGGGATCAGCAACATGATCCGGAACAGATCACGACGAACGTGTACTCACCCGCAACATAAGATCGCGGTTATGCAATTAGCAATGCCCACGAAACAGCCAGTTATTGCTATGGGGAAGAACTTCAATGACGGCGGGGTAGGGCGATGAAAGCGAGTACTAACCGCTGACAATGAACTCGAGGCAGCTTGCGATGACATCCACGACGGCCATAATGGCGTCGCCTATGCAGGCAAATATTCCTAAAATATTCGTAAGCAAAACATCTCCCGCAACGGTGGCGGCCAGTCTGCTAACCCGTTATGCACGAAACTATGATTCTATCCGAGAAAGTTATGTTAGAACCCTGACATCCATACCTCCAAGTCGGTCAGGTACGCACCCCATGGCTACTAGTACAGTGATACTTAGTGGGATTCGGGATACGGATTATCGTTATATACCGTCTGCTCTGCTATGACGTCGTCGGCACATCACAAGTCAGTTTATTCTTAAGTACGCCAGCCCAACGCCAGCCAGCGCCACACTGGCAGCCGCTGCACTGACGTCATAGCTTGACCATCTGAGTTATTTTGCACCTCGCGCGGACTGCAGCACGGCCGTGCATGTATAACACCTATAAGTACATTCTCAGTAAAGAGTATTGTTTTCACTATATGCAGGTGTCAACAAACAAATCTCGTGAGAACGTACATATTCCGACTCGACATCAGTCAATCAGGGAAAACTGTCCAGTCCCACATGCAGATTTATTGCTGCAGCTTGCCCCTCCTCAGGCTTCGATCTCCTTCATGGGAGAATGTATGGCTGTATCCTTCATGAATAACCAGCAAAGGTGATGTGAATGGCAACTAGTACATCATCGAAGTCTCAGGCTTTAGCATAACTATTGACAAGCAACAAGTGGGGGAAGCATGGACAAGGAGTGAGCCCTGTACTGGAATACAACTCTCTTGGAACCTCAGGTACTTGTTTCAAAGTTGATCCTGCTTATCCACTATATCTCCTGGATTGAACCAAGGCGTGCTCTAATTGATTGACGGCCATTGAGTCTGTAGAACTGATGAGCTGCAGAGATCCAGTATAGAGGTGAAAGAAAGACTTACGAGGCAAGCATGGAATTGGCGTATACTGTTTCATACAACCAGATCAACAATGATTTTGCTGATTGACAATGGATGCTTACATTTTGCTCCAATGAGATATAAACCAGCTGGGACAAAGTCATTCTTTGCAAGGACTAGGGCCTATTCATGATCATGGAGTGTTGTGATGAAGATGAAGATGGCAGACCCATGTCTACAACAAATCCCACTTACTTCAACCATCAATGTGATGGCAGCTACACTGCAAAGGTTGCCTGTGTGAATCCAGCAGCTAAGTGATTGAGGGTACTTACGTGACTGTCAATCCAGTTGCAACTGCCCACTGTATGATGCCTTTGACAACAGATCTGCAGCAAGGATTATTTCTTGATTTATGAGGTCACAGTATTCAGACCTTACCTGGAATTAGACAGTGATGATGCTTTGTGCTGAAGCATGACTTGACACATGCTCCCTGTGATCCCAACATCTATGACAATGTTCATGATCAAGGCAACCAGTAGCAGAATCTGGCCAAGGAGAGATGTTACAACATATGCTATGGGGAGCTCAGCACCTACTTTGGCTTTTCTGCCATCTTGGCTTTGAATATCACCTAGTGAAGGCTCAAAGTACCTAGTATGGCTCATAAAATCCTTCAATATCAAAAGGTGCAGGAACTCATACTCACTTGAATACAGCATCCACTGGTAGTATGTCAGATATTAGCCTGGGGCAGCTGTCAAGCAGTGTGGCCCACCTGTGACGGAGACTGGATGATCCAGTGACTTTTAGCAGCATGCATCAGTGAACAGTTGGTGAAAATGCTTCACCATATTCAAAGGCAGCCACAATATACTAGTGAAAGCAGAGGGTTATATCAGCCTGGCATACACTGATAGGCATGACTTACAAGGGTGTATGCAAACCTGATCTTGCCTACTAAATTGCGAGTCAGCTTAACTGAGTCCCATAGCAAGGAAGATGTCACCTACAATTCCATATCTTTCTGATATAAAAGCTAAACATTATGCCACATTCAGTATGCTTTTATTCACCCATACAGTTAACTTACCATTGAACCATGAAGATAACAATTTGCTGGCAATCACTCAGTCCTCTGATAGTATGAAAACTAGGTTCCATACTGAGGGAATAATGAACATCTACCATATGCCAATAACAACAGTCTGGTCTATCACTTGTGGTTGATAAACTCACTGAATTACTCCTGTTAAAAACCTGACATCAGCATATGAATGAGAGTTTTTAATGGGTGTGATAACAACATACCACATATTTGTGTCCAATGGGGATTTCCCATCGCACTTGCGTATGAATAAGAACCACATGTAGTGGCCCATGAGACACATCTGTAAGGTGTCAAGCTTCCAGACAGGTAGTGAAGTCTCAGATAGCAGGAGTGGGGAAGATTCCTCACTATGAATATTAGTATGACCTAGAAAGTATCTTAACAGAAGCGAATATGGCAAGGCAGGCAAAAATATACCATTCCTTTCATTCGGGCCCCATCCTTAGGATATATCCTGAGATAATGACATGCCTGACCACAGGTCACACCATACAACCTATGCAATGAATTAGCATAGCTGGAATCAATCTAGAAGGTGTTCACATTGCTGAGATTATAGATCCCACAAATACAGAGGTGAGGACTGCCATGTCAGAAATTGTGGGGAATCACACTCCTGACAATGTAATGTATATATACTAGCCATCAAGACCTGAGAGTACCCTGTTGTTGCTCAAGGACATCAAATGAGACGATGCATGATCTCCAGCATGGAGTGATCATCCATGAACAATGGAGCAGTTATACTTCAATAACCGAGAATATGATGAAGCCATCATATTTGCAGAGATCTGCACACTCAGGCTTGGAGATACATCACCCCCATAGCTAGGGCACTGCCATTTGGAGCCAGAAAGGTATGCTTGTGGTGACATACAGCAGCGCTCATACGGGTGCCAATATTCCTGACCCCGCAGTAGTCAAGTGACCCAAGTCACTGGGACGGACCCTCTCCACTGGCTGCGAACTCGGAGGGAAACACATTTGGAGACGCTCCCTTGTCCGACTCGCAGAATTCCCCACTTGAGCCACTCCTCGCATCTTCAAGACATCCGAGATGCCGGAAGCAGCAAATGGCGGTGAGATCGTCGTACCCGTCCTTGATTCATCTATCCGAGGCGCACGGGGAAGCGAGCTAATTGATGCCCCCAAAGACAGAAGCAGCAAACACACCTGCATCTGTGGCAAGTAGCGTAGCCCCATGTCAACAGCTCAGAAGATGCGGGTTTCGGTTTGGTACCCGGTTGTGACTTGATCTTGATGGATGACGCCGAACTCCCAATTCCGAAATACAAACCACCACATGTGCAGGAAGAGCAAAGGAAGAGGGCCATAATTCACTCAGTCGACAGAGGCCCATACCAAACACCGGCAATTGAGGGTGTGCTACCGGGACTACTAGTACCTGCTGAGGCAAGACGCGTCAAAGTGGCCCTCCCGGCATCTCCCGCCTTGCCACAATTCCCTTTCACCTCATGCCTCTCTGCCCCTCCTTCCCCCTTCGCGCCCCCAAGTCCCCCTCCTCATCAAGCTGGCTATCTCGACAATCCCGCGACCCGTATGTCAAGCAGCGTCTTATGTACCGCTCGCGCTCCGCGTTCAAGTTGCTCGAGCTGGACGCGAAGTACGGGGGGTTCCTCGGGAAACGCGACGTGCGAGCGGTAGTGGACCTGGGCGCGGCGCCGGGCGGGTGGAGTCAGGTCTCCGCGGGGAAGCTGGGCTTGCCGAATGAGCCTGAAGAGGACGCGGTCGCGGATGAGGGAAGCGGTTCAGCTTTACCTCACAGCCAGCCCAAGCGCACTGGCCGCGGAAAGGACAGACTCGTAGTCGCCGTCGATCTCCTCAGGATGAATCCCATACCTGGCGTGAAGATCCTGCAAGGCGACATGCTCGCTCCTCAGACCTCCGTTCGGATCAAGAACCTGCTGACTCGGCCTGGCAACCCTGAAGGGAAAGCGGACGTCGTCCTCTCCGACATGGCCGCCAATATGACGGGGAACAGGATCGCTGACTCGGAGAATAGCTTGGACATCTGTCGCGCCGTGTTCGCGTTCACGAAGGATCACCTTAGGAGTGCGGAGAGCGTTGGAAGGAGGAGGGGCGGGGTGCTCGTGTGCGTCGCTAGATTTGCTTATCCTCTATCTCGGAGGACACTGACAACATCTGAAACCTGATTCTGGATTTTGTCGAGTAGGCTGAAGCACTTTGCCCATCCGCTGATGACTGAGTTCCGCAAAGAGTATCTGGACCCGAGCTTCGCGGACGTGGCGTACGTCAAGCCTGACTCGAGTCGCTCCGAATCGAACGAGGGCTACTGGGTCTGCATGGGCTGGAAGGGGCTCAATCCGAAGCCAGAGCATTCGGAAAGCTAGCTTCAGCCCGCCGCGTTCATCATGTATACACAACAGAACCGTCAGCAACCTCTCGACCGCCTTCCCACTAGTACAGAGTAGACATGTCCAATTGACATGCGACATCGACGCGCGGATGGTCGACTTACAAGAGCGCGCACCGAGCGCAGGATCGGCATACCCAGGGACAAGGCCTGCAATGCCGACCGAGGTGCGGAAGTGTCGAACCGTACCACCTTCAAGCGCTAGGTGTTAGCATTGGCATCTGCGCTTACTCTGCTTTCGGAGGAAGGAGGTCTCGACATGGGTGGCATAGGTGGATAGGATGAGACATAGCATGAGGCAGTGTACATGTATATAACGAACTTCAAAGAACAAAATAGAGCTGTTTGGCTGGGAAGCGCATCGTACAGTGGTGCATTTCGTCGAGCATCGCAGCTCGCCGATTAAGCACCGAAACCGTAGAGGGTACGGCCTGAGCGCTTGAGGGCGTACACCACGTCCAAGGCAGTGACGGTTTTCCTAATACAGCACGTCAGGATGACTCACCGCAGCAAAAACGGCGGGCGACTACTACTCACCTCTTGGCGTGCTCGGTGTAGGTGACGGAATCCCTGATGACCTGCACACGACACAAATCTCAGACACCAGCAGATGTATGAAGGAACGGATGTGGTGCGTACGTTCTCCAAGAAGATCTTGAGGACGCCGCGGGTCTCCTCGTAGATGAGACCGGAGATACGCTTCACGCCGCCACGGCGCGCAAGACGACGAATGGCCTAAGTATCATGGCCCTCAATCTCAGCACTCTAGGGAGACGTTGTAGATGTAACTCACAGGCTTCGTGATACCCTGGATGTTGTCTCGAAGAATCTTCCTGTGACGCTTGGCTCCTCCCCTGGAACGCGGCATTCACGGTCAGTGCCACCATAATCGAGCTGCAGGTACCAGCAGAGGTCTCGAAACGCACTTTCCCAAACCCTTTCCGCCTTTACCACGTCCAGACATGTCTTGAAGTTAAAGTCTTGAGGAGTCTTGAGGGAGAACGAGGAAGTGCGCCTGGTCGACTTGAGAGTGTGGCAGAGACAAACGAAGGGTCCGACCGGTAAACTATTACGTAACGATTGGTACCGGCGGTAAAGGCTGTCTATTTTTGGCCCACTCTAGCAGCATTGACTCGATCTGCGTGATCTTGTCCGATACCGTCTCGCGTTTCCTTCTGACTCTACTTAGCCATGGCGGGCGTAGTATCGGCCGAGGAGAGATTCAATATTATCACTCGGAATCTTCAGGAAGTGCTGGGCGGGGAGTCAATCAAGGCGATACTCGAGCAGGGGAAAAATCCAAAGTGCTACTGGGGTAGGTGGCTTAGTAGAGGGTGCGGGTGTGTTACTTATAATGTGTAGGCACGGCGCCCACCGGCAGGCGTAAGTCTCTCTCTTAATCTCTTAAGGAAGAACATGTCTGAAAAGTGTTGTAGCACATATTGGGTACTTCGTGGCCTTGACGAAGATAGCTGACTTCTTACGAGCGGGCGTAGAGGTACGCTCCTCTGACTCACGCTGGACTTTCGATATTACACTCGCACTGTACCTAACCGATACTGTTTGTTTAGGTCACGATTCTACTAGCAGGTCAATAGACCGTCTTTCCGAGATGGTATCCGTGCTGACATCCCTTCAGATGTACACGCCTTCCTTGACAACCTGAAAGCGCCCCTGGAGCTCGTGGGGTACCGAACAAAATACTACGAATACCTCCTGCGCACCGTGTTCACCTCACTAGGCATCCCCATCTCGCGACTCCGCTTCGTCGAAGGGTCATCCTACCAGCTCACGAAAGAATACAACATGGACAACTACAAGTTATGTTCCATCGTGACCGAGCACGATGCGAAGAAGGCCGGCGCGGAGGTTGTGAAGCAGGTCGAGAGCCCCTTCCTTAGCGGCTTGCTGTACCCCGGGCTTCAGGCTCTTGACGAGCAGTACCTCGGTTGCGATTTTCAGTTCGGCGGCGCGGACCAGGTGCGACATGTCCTCGCTATCCCTCACCGCTTCTAACCATTATGACCCACCCAGCGCAAAATCTTCGTCTTCGCAGAAGAATACCTCCCGAAGCTCGGCTACGCCAAGCGCGCGCATCTCATGAACCGCATGGTCCCCGGTCTTGCGGGCGGCAAGATGTCTTCCTCAGACCCGAACTCGAAGATTGACTTCCTCGACCCGCCCGAGGCCGTGCGCAAGAAGATCAAGGCCGCCTTCTGCGAGGAGGGCAACGTCGCCGACAACGGGCTGCTCGCGTTCGTCAAGGAGGTGCTCATCCCCATCAGTGAGATGCGCATCGAGCGCTCGAAGGGGCAGACGGATGCCGACCCTGAGGAGGGCAAGAGCGCGCTGGGCGAGCAGAAGCCGTTCGTGGGCGAAGACGCACCCGAGGGCACGGTGTTCACGATCCACCGCGACCCGAAGTTCGGCGGACCGAGCCATTACAAGAATTACGAGGAGCTCAGGGACGATTTCGCGTCGACGAACCTCCACCCGAAGGACCTGAAGACAGCGGTGGCGGACGCTATCAACAAGTTGCTCGACCCCATACGGAGCACGTTTCAGGCGGACGAGGAGTGGCAGAAGGTCGAGAAGCTGGCGTACCCGGATCCGAATGCGAAGCCGGAGAAGAAGAAGAAGGTAAGCAGGATTGCGTTCGCTGACTCTGAAGGACGTGTCGTACTCAAGGGTACATACGTGCAGGTGAAAGTCTACCACCCGCCGCCGCCAGGTAAGGGTAAGAATGCGCAGCCAGCGACCGAGTCTGGCGCAGCGGAACTGAGCCAACCTACTTCGGAGGTAGCAGGTTAGACACGGGTAGAGCATTCGAGTACATAACAATAGTTATGCCATCAGGGGCATGCTTGTCAGGCATTCGTGTGTCCGCGGACAAGTGTGTCTTAAGTCTGTACCTATCAAAATTTCCTACACCATGAAGCTGCAGCTCTTGTGTGACGTAAGTGTAGTGCTTCCCTGCCATGGGTTTTCCTGCACATCATACTTATATCAATGCAAGAAAAGTGTGTATTGCTACTACAAACACATTGTCCATCTTGAGCATTCCTGCCAATGGCACAGTGTGCACACTAAGTCCATCTCCATTTTATATGCATGGACTAGACCAACTGACTTATGGGATAAAGCAGACATCCTGGAGTCTGGACATGGTAATTGTGCTCCGATTTGCAGTACATCCAGCTACAAGGTCTGGACATGCTTGAGCTTCCCACGGAAGTACTCACGGGAGTTGAGGCTAAGAAACCAGCTTGTCAGGAGAATGCATGTACATAAGATACCTGAGAGGCTCACGCTGCAAGCATGCAATTGACATCAACTATGGCAGCCACCACATCAACCATAGTCATCTTTAAGAGGATGCTCATGCTCACCCATTCCCAGTACATAGAACACCTCATCAAAAACAAATGTTCCAGGCAAGGTCATGAACTGCCAAGTAAACATTATGGGATAGCACTGTGATGGAAAGGAAATGGCTCACAGTTATCATATGCAAGATTTCACATATGCTAATGGAAGTTACAAATGTTCATCAGTATTATTGTAATACCAGAGAGGATGCTCACGGACATGGATAATAGACCAGTAGCAAAAGTATAAGTAATCAGAAGTGTTACAACTGATCTGGTAGCATTTTGGAATTACTCTATAATTAGGTCCTGGGTCAAAATGAGTCCAGTACCTTGAGGAGGGGCCTCCAAGTTTCCTTGCAATATGTAGCAAGTAACACATGCCAATTGTTATGCCAACATCAGTGATCAATGCACCAGCTGCAGAGACCATTAGCAGTTTCTGTATGGTAAAACTAGAGATGTATCATGGCGCATCATGTGAGTATATGATACTCACATGTATCATTGGATACTGAGGGGAGTTTGGATCATAATCAAGAAAAGTGGGATATTTGAATAGTCTATAAAATAACATTATTCCAATGGTCTGTAGAAATAGTGGACCTTCAAAGGAGCTCACACTTCTCCAAACTGTGAGAACCCATGAAGTAAGCATAGAAGAGTCTGTGTCTGATATGCCAGCTTGCTGAAGAGGCTGACTACATTTTCATCAGAGCTACAGAAAGTATAGAGAATGTAACAACTTACTGAGACTAATTGTATATGGCACAGCCTGTCATGTCCCATTTGAATCTTAAAGCAAGATGATAGAATTTATGAACTGACTAGGAGCCACATTGCCTTATGTTCAGAAACTATTAAATAGTTGCAGGGTTGAATATCCTGCAATAATTGATTGAAAGACTGTGATACATACATTTCCATATTCTTGCAACAAAGAAGCTGTAGACCATGGATATTGCTGTAGCCCATACTGAAGCATAACTAACTTACCACTTTGTCACAAAGCTGCAAAGTTGCTGCAGGATATTCAGCTGATAAAAGATCTTCAATTAGCCTTGCCTCACCTGGGGTATAGTTTGTGCCTGCATTATGAGAGAGATACACCTAAGAGCCTCACAAATATGAGGGCATGAGGCTCACATTAGGACTCCTATTACATGTAATTGATACTCATCAAACTTAAGATGAACAACATTTATTTACCAGTAACTGTATAAGCAATCATTGCCACACTTCTCCACAAGATAGTGCCACTGTCCATGGATGGCAAGGATCTGGCTCAGAGTCTCACCCTTATGAGCAGTTGAGTCTGGTGCCTTTAAGACCTAAGTGGGTAGTCACACCATCCACACTGCTGCTACCTAGATTCCCAGTATGTCAGACAATTTCTTGAGGGTAACTTGGAATCATACCATCCATTTGATGCCAGGATGATCCCCCATGTATTTACAGTGATACTTCACTACCTGGCCACAGAAAATGCCATACATACTATGGCAGATATACCACAGATGTTAAGACTGGTGAGGAATGTTGCCAGGAAGTGCTTACATTCCAGACACAGTCACACCAACAAACCAAGCATAAGAGCAAGTGCGGAGAGCATGATTGACTATAGAGACCACCAGAATGAGTGTTGCAGTGGGCAAAGACCACAGTCCACCCTTGCCAAATTAAGGCTGAAATGCTTGGTCTTATACTCAGCAAGTCAGTGATACCAACAGATGTTATCAATCTGCTTTTGATACCATTAAAACTTACAGTGGGTCCTTGATATCTAGTGACACATTTTAGAACACCCACTTGACAGAATGACCTATAGTTAGTCCTATATTATTGCCAGGCACAGGGTTATAGGGAGTCATCCAGTAAGTGAATGTATATAAGTGGGAGCACTTGTCCCTGTATCAAACTTTAGGTGTATGATTCTGTTCCATGGGCTGTGTATATACTCTGCTATCAAGTCCACCCATACACCAAAGCAGGGCAAAGCTGTGTAGTATATGAGCACTATTGATGGACCAGGATGATGGTCTTCGGAGCACGGACTGCATCACTGTTACAGCAACAGCCTTACTCGGGCGGGCAGGCATCCCCGACAGGACTAGAAACAGTATGCTGGCTTGGTCCAAGGATGATCCTTACCAAGCCACGAGACGGAAGGCATGCACTATGGAGGTCTTCAGGTGATATCTCCTTCATCATGAGCAGCCATTTAGCCTAACAGCTTGTCCCTGGTCAATCTCCGCAATGTAGCTTGATTGTCAATTTGTCAACGTGCATATCTCCGTCATATCACAGCAATGGACCTACTCGGTCGGCCAGTCCGGCAGAATCAACAGAGCACATCCGCGGAGATTTCCAGCAGAACATGAGCAGACAACTTTCAAGACGACGCAACATCCCCTCTGTCCAACGCTCCCTGCGATCCGTGCGTGAACCTTCGTAAGTTTCGACATGGTATTACATCGGACGTCCAAGGCAGCCGTCTTGGACCGGTCTTGTGGTGGTCATATCGGGCAGGACTTGACACCCCGTCCTCCTCTCACACTTGCCGGAGTCGGGCTGAGTAGACAGGTTCTCGATCATGACTAGTACTGAGGTCCACGGCCACGGCGCCTTGCAAGATTTTGCACGGTAAATGCGAGTTCATCTTGGCTGGTAGGTCGACGCAACATCCAGTTCAATTCTAATGCCTGTCCAGCGAACGACTTTCCAGATGCCCCAGGATTCGAAGCGCCAGAGGTCCACCATATCGGTTTTTTAGCGGGGAGTCCGCGATTTTTCCACCGGCAAATCACCTTTAGGGAGAAGGACAGTCACGTATTGAGAAGTTGGACTCGACCGCAGAAATATACGGCCTGAAGCCATAGAAAGATTGAGTATATACCCATGAGATCAAACTATTCGTAGGGACGTGTCGCGATTATACCGGCCCGTCGGCATATTCCGGAGGGCCTTCAGCAGCGACTCCGATTTACTACGAACGACTTCCTTCAATTCAAGCTATATCCTCATCCCCGAGCAAACGCATTGCGATGTCTGGGCTGCCGAATACCTCCCTCTTTCCTGGATACCGTCAGGTTGACCCGTTCGAACCTGACGAAGAATACGAAGAGGAAGAGGAAGTTTCCTACGTAACCCTGGACATGGGCTCGATAGACCCCACGTTGTTGCCTAGCCTGTCGGCCTTTCGCCTTATTGTCAGTTTTTGCAAGCGCTGTAATCCAGCGTTTCAGCTGAATAAGCTATGATCGGTGATACCCTCCACATTTTAACGACGTATTACAGGGCCTCGATACGCCGACACCTTTCATTCAGCTCGGCGGCTGCATCTTCAAGGGTCAACACCACAATCTTCTCGGGACGGAACTACTCTTTACAGATGAAGGTAATCTCTGCTCCACCTATCATTTACACTTCGTAATGCTCTTGGTGCAGACAGCCAACCTAGTCGCCGCGGAGTTATATGCATCGGAACGTCAGAGCGACGAATCCTCTTCAAAGAAGTTCATGTAAAGCCTCGCCAGGCCGAGGAATCCGACGATGTAGAAGAACCATCGCAGAAGCCCTCGGGGATTACCCCTGCTGTTCGTAGCATCGAGTCTTTGACAAAAGCAAAGAAGGGTCGGCCCGGTCGTCGTCCCAAACAGCCGCCACAGGTGGAACTACGTGACAACAGTCACACAGCGATGTCGGATAGCCAGATGCCAGATGCGCAGGCTCACACAGATATTGCACCTGAAGGCGATGAGGCAATGGACATCGATGAAACCTGAAGGTATGCTTCCTGGAAGCTGCATAGGAAGATCCTATGACCAAGCTAGTTATAACAGTTCTTCTGCCTTGGGGAAGCTGTGATATATCCGCGTATATTGCACATGAACGAGGCACAACGTCTCTGCTTAAGAGCCGATGCAAAGCCTCAAGCCTCCTCGATACCTCTGTAGATCCAGCCGGGGCGAAGGTTGAACGTCACATGTTAATTGCGGACCTCTTGGATAGACGACACCTTTGCCCTTACAGGCCACATCTTTCTAAATATCATCACAAGACCTGTACAGGACGTAAAAAGGTGGTTTCCTGCCTATAGTCGGACCCCTAGTCGCAGGAACCTGATTGAATCACGACTACTGACGATAGTAAGTTGCAAAACGCAATGATACTGTACCTTTGTTGGGGTCGTGTGCATTATATCTATGTCGAGTAACATACCAGGCGTCCAACCGTTCACGACACGAATGCCTTACTGACACTTAGCCCAAAGGTAATCGGTGCGAGAGCGTTGACCAGGTCAGTGATGCGTCACCTCATGTCTTTTTCACGCCCTTTTTATATTGAGCTCGTGGTATTTATGACATTACCTCCGGGCAGGCGTTATTATGTTTCGTGGGCTATCGGCACAAAAAGACTCTGCTCAAATGCGCAATGCGTAGGTCATTCTCGACTCTTCTGATTATGTCTCATTCATTTCTTCGCGCGCAAAGGTTGGGTGGGGGGGGGGCGTTTCTGATATCTGCCCGCCTCCCGAGCTCGACTTGCAGCGGTGATGGGAGTTGCTTATGTAATCCGATTAAGACCGTAAACTTTCCTATGATCAGATTCACGTCTCGGGTGGGTCTTGGAGTAAAAGGGAAGGGCGCCTGAAGCTCATGCCTGTGGCAAGTGGCACTTTGAGTCTTATCTGTCGAAAATAGCACGACTTGATTTACGTTCAACATCGCTCGGTCGTTCGACTGCTTTCCCACAGCCATGCTCTCTCTAATCAAGGAACCTCGGCTATGCACTCGATTTCTATGTCGGCGCCCAATGGAAGAACCACAACTCCCACGCAAGTTCGAGCCGGAGGGTCGCCCTTGAAGAACTGGATGTTGGTCGTAGGTAAGTCAGTGTAATGGATGCACAGCTATATGTTCATTGACTGACCTCCAGGTAGGCTTCGTTCATCGCAACATAGTCCCTCTGCATGTTGCTCAGATAGCAATTCGCTTTCACGATATGTTCTAACCCCGAGCCCGCGGCTTTCAATACCTTTTCAAGATTCTCAAGGGCTGCCCGCTAGCGAAGGCGGACGAACATGAGGACCGCAACCATTGATAAAACATTCTGACGCCGACCGTCTGAGGCTTGATTCCGCCTGGCACCAAGACAAACTCTTTGTCACATCCCACGCTCCCTGAAGCATAGACCTTTCCTTCAGAGACTACGGCCTGAGCTGTGTATGGAAGAGATCAGCTGCTGGTTGATGCTATCCTCGAGAACAACACACAGAAGGCGGGCAATGGGGGTACTGCATCGGGTGCCGATATGACTTTCTTCATGATCACTGACTTATGGGTGAAGGCTGAGGGCAAGCGTGTCGCAGGTGAGTCTGACAGTGATATACTATCCATGGACATCGAACTCAGCAGCATGGACTTCTCATCAAGATCTTACAGTGATAAGACGCTGTCATACTTGAGAGCATATCAGAGCCGAAGCGAGTGAGCCGGAACGTCTGGGAATAGCACTGATCATGAGAATCAAGTTCTGCCGGGTTGTAGGGACAATTCGCCGCGGCGAATGTCACGGTTTGTCTTCCCTATTTCCACGCCACAGCTTCATTTATAATGAGATCGCCATCCTCAAGATTGTGCCTTGGCGTATGCTTGGGTGTGTTACCGTGTGTATCAGTGACCTCCCCAAACAATCAAGTGAAGAGCGATGGAACAGATTTCGCATGGTGTTTTCGGGTACATCGGGCTATGCCCATCGCTTCCGAGCGGGCTCTTGCCACAGCCCTGAGCATGGTGGGATCTATGTCTGTAGCTCTGCAACAAACTCCCGGCACCTCTGATGCCTGTCAATCAAGACCACCATCTGTTAAGTACTTAAGGCGCAGGCCCAGTGGTCAACATGGATATCTGGTTCCATTGCTGAGTTCAGATCGGAATGCCCTACCCCGCAGACAAAGCATATCTGGTTGGGTTTGTTATCGAAGCCATCCTATATGGTGAGGTACATCTGTAATATGCAGCTTTCGATAATACTGATGTCTCAAGATAGGAATATATATTGTCCTGTTTGGGTGCTCCCTTGCTTTTCTCCTGTGGCGGCGGAGAACCATGGATTTCAACTGGCTCATGATAATATCGACATGCATTCTCTTTACCGCATCGACGATACATTTCGGGTTTGGGTTTAACAATGTTGTTTCGGCTTTCGTAAGAGTCAACTAGACCTACTTCATCGTATCGCACTCCTAGATTAAAGTTCTTTGTCCACCAGATCACCCGTCGCAACGAACCTGGAGGGCCTGCTGTCATCGTCGAAGAGCCCAGCTTCGATTTACGGATCGATGTTATGTTTAGTGTGAATAATTTTCTTGGCGATGCATTACTGGTATGCCCTTCCTTCGTAATGTGACACCCCACTCCTGAGTATGCTCTTTTATGCCTCGATAGACCTATCGCTGTTGGGTTGTATGGCAGAAAGATTTCCGTATCGTGCTGGTTCCTATTCTCATCCTCCTCGTCTATGCGGGTATGTTTTAAGCTGCATCGGTGGCGCAGCGCCTCACGTACAACACAGCGTCTGCCATCGTCGGGCTATACAACCTTTCCCAAGTAGGAACTGGCGGCAACCAATACAGTGCGACCGTCGTCAACTTTGGGACCGCCTCATTTGCATTGTCCTTAGTCCTCAATTTCGTCGTGACATCTCTGATCGCTGGGCGAATCTATCATCTAGCTCGGAAGCACAAGGATATTGTGCCTATGCGTCATACGAGACAGTATATGAACATTATCATCATCCTTATCGAATCTGGTGCTGTCTTCTGCTTTGCTCAGGTCGTTTTTGTGACTCTCTGGGCGATTCGGAGCAATGCTCATTGGATAGGCGCCAATCCAGCGTCCCAGATATACGTACGTATCCTACTTTTTCGGGTAGAGTATCTTGGCGTTTATCGGCCTTCCAGTGCATCGTTCCGACACTGATCATAGTTCGAGTTGGCTTGGGTGTATCTACGGAGCAGACAACGCAACAAACCGGGTCTATGAGCGCGCTACGATTCGCCAGCAAAGCGAACCCAAATCCCATAGAGATAGCGATGGAACGACGGCAGTATGGCTCGAATACAACTGGAACGGCCGATAGTACCGATTACAGTTCCGGCATTAATGCAACTCACAACCCTAGCGCTGTTATTTTCGACAAGGACTGCGAGATAGTATGAAGCCAGTTTCAGGTATTTACAGCTTGGCTAGTTGACTACCAAACCTGTGGAGTGAGCAATAAAGTAGTGAGCATAAGTACCATGCTCTAGTGACGCGCGGCAGATAAAACTTCCCGTATTAATACAGCTTCTCGGAAAGACAGTCACTTTTAACTTCCCCTGAGATTTGTTGACCACTACTGATCGAGCTAGACATTTGTCTGCAACATATTTCAACCAACATCACTGAGCAGCATGCATTCCATTCCACAACCTACCAGGCAAGCCGAATATCCCTCCCCTCCGGTAAATCTCCTCCATGGCATCCGGGCTCAACTCACTCCCCATAGCTCCGACGACCTTCACCACCACAACCTTTTCCTTTTCTGGCTCGTACTTCACTGTGATCTCCACGACATCGGATATGGGTGGCTTTCCAGAGGAAGTCATGATTATTTTCAGACGGCAGGCAGAGAAGGTGGGAACGGATGAGTCGAAGAGCGGATGGTGCGCGGGGTCGAAATCTGAGGAAGCGACGTAGACGTTCACGGGGATTTTCCGGGGTGCAATGGAGCCTACCAAATTACATTGATGTTAGTAATTGATACCGGAGAGAGTTGAAAAGATACTGACCACTCAGTACGGCGTGTAGGTCTTCTTCCGAACCATCAGCGTCTTCGTCTTCGTGCGACGCTTCCATCGGGGGTCTTTCATGTTAGCCAAGCCCTCCGGCAATCATTTGCAGCCGAGAAGAGTCTAGTTGAACTAGATAATATTAGTACGAACAACCAAGCCTGAACAACTCCCTTACCTCCAAGATTCCCCGAACTTCTTTTATGTTTCTTACCTGCACCCGTTCCAGGAGGAAGCCTGGTTCCTCTGGGGCAGTAAGACGAAGTTAAAGGTCCGGATGTACTGCAGTGGGGATTTCTTGAGCTCATTCAGCAATCAGGCTGCTGATATATTAAAGGTCTATACACGTCTAGACAGCGGTACTGTACCGATACGACCTTAGGCAACGCAACGGCTTATGTAATTCACCGTGGGAATGTGGCAGGTCAAGCAACGTCTCCGTCGGGACAAGGGACACATGCAACGCAACCTGCAGTTGCGCGTACTAAGGTGAGGGTAATGCAATGTTGATACACTCCTCAGATAGATCTGAGGCTCAAATCGCTGAGAGAAGACTCAGAAGAAGCTTCAAGAGGGCTGCTCAATTCTAAACTGGCACCGGTCGTTCAAGCGGTCGTTCGTTCAATCGCTCCCAAAGGAGCGAGGAGGAAGTGATGGCCGGTGATCCGGCACCACGGTCATGTGATGCTTTGCCCGGAGCAGCGGCCGAGCGTCCGGAATGTCTTGCTGTACGATTCTAAGTCTACGTGCTCGGTGTCTAATGTAACAATACCATGAGCGACGAGCTGTGGAATCTTCTCGGCCCAATTCTCTGTCCACAGCAACAATCTCAGCATGCAGCTCCTGGTCCAGGGACAAATATTCAATTCCCGCAAGAACAAGTACAATCCTTTGACGGGACCTATGTAAGACAGTACCCTCTTGCAGGAATGTATTGCTCACTGTACCAATTCAGTATAACATGCAGCAAGTCCTGTCACAGCAGCCGGAGCAATGGCAGGCTATGCCCCAAGTACCAACTTCTCAGCGGGAGCATCTCCAGCCACGGGAGGAGGTGCTGAACATCACCCCGCCGGCTCCCAGTCAGCACGGAGTAAAGAGGACTTGCGAGGCTGCGCGAGAAGAGGAGAAAGCTGGAAAGAAGTTGAGGAAGGAGAACCGTATGCAGTCCACTGCCCCGAGTAAGCCATCGCGCAGAGATGAGAAGATCACACCCGAGAAGCAGGGAAGCAACTCGACGGGCCGCAACTACTCCGATGAGGAGACAACACGGCTCCTGCACGCAGTCTTGTCACCGGACGGGTGCTTCGATCTGGTGCAAAGGAACCCAGCCCGGGCATTTAAAAAGGTGAGTATAAAGTATGAGAACTTGTGAATGTATACCTGAATTCTCACTGTGTTGTTCAGATCTCCGAAGAGACCTTTAAGTTCAAACGAAGTGACGAGTCAATCCGCGGTCGCTACGGCCGCCTGCGAGCCATATACAAAGAAATCGTCGAGTACGAATCTTTCACTGGCGGTGACGGGGATCCGGATGTTGATCCGGATGACACGGATGCAGTTGCTGAGCGCATAGAGAAGGCGAAGCGTGACGGGAAGGACTGTAAGAAGCTTGATGCAAAAACTGTGAAGCAATGGAATCAGAATGGCTGGTATGAGTTGTTTAATCAGAGGTATGCTGATGACAATTGTTCTACCCGATGTGATACTCACTGCTTCCAGGTTGGGAGAGAACCCAGGTATATCGCGAGAGGTTGAACATCATTCGGGCGCGATATCCGACGCACGCATCAGTTCGGAATCCGAAGACGAGAGCGAGGTGTTTAGCGGGTGGGAGGCTTCGGACAAGGAGGAAACATCTAGCCCGCGTCAACATCGACCCTCTCCTTCACCAGCACCCTCACAACCAAAAGCGAGGACACCTGCAAAGGCTCAGTCCAGGAAGCAGAAAGGAAAGCAGAAGCAATGCCAAGGAGGTGTTCCAGAGCCCCGCCATGAACGCCGCAAATCTGGAGCTGCTAGTCTTACCAGTGAGTTCTTCCAGGCAAACACCGAGTGGCTGAAAGCTACGAATGAAGACTCGCGAGCCCGCCTTGAGATTCTCCGAAAGAAGGAGGAACGGGAGGAAGCAGTGCAGCGCCGCGAGGAGAGCCAGCGAGAACAAGATAAAGCCAAGGATAAGGTTGAACTTGCAAGGCAGCTCGTAGCTGATGGAAACATGCCGGAAGAGGTCCGAGAAAAAGCACGGAAGTGCTTGCTTGCTTTCTTAGAGTAGGAAGTCCAGAGTTTAGTTGATAGCACAAAGCAGAATAATGGAGACAACCTGATTTTGAAAGAAAGGAATGATACATGGGCAACAAGTTTACCTCGGAAACAATTCATTCATTATTTCCTCCCTCATCTGATGTCCAGCCTGCTTCAATACCTCATCATCTAGTTCCCACTCTGGTACTTGAATCTCTTCCATGCCCTCAACCCCGCCATAGTCGGGCAGCTCAATGTCAAGGTCTTGATCATCCGGTGTGGCATCTTCATCGACCAGGTCAAAGGCAGGGATATCTTCGGGTGCATCACCAAGATCAATACAAAGGTTATGAACTACCATCATTGCTTGGATTGCGCGGTATATTTCCTGTATGTCGTGATGGGCCCCAAGCTCCTTGAGTGAAGGGAAGCGGCCCTTCAACATCCCATAGGAATGCTCGACCCGGATGCGGATTGACGAGATACGGCGGTTGAATTGTTTTCGGCGGTGACGCTCATCCGGGGCTTGGCTATAGACTTCCGGGTCCGTGAAAGGACGGAGCGCATATGGTGATGAAGGATATCCTGTCATATACATGACTAACCAGGCCGCAGAAGAGTGCTATCTACTTACCTTTATCTGCCAGAACATACTCACCCCGGCGAAAATACTGGTGCCTGTGTGTCCATAAGTGGCTCCTCTTCCAGATTGTCGCATCGGAGACAGATCCAGGCCAGCCCATATCAAACGCGATAAACCGTCGATCAGCATCTGTGACAGCTTGTACATTCACCTGAAGTGTATCAGTGCACATCTCACCCACGGAATGATGTAACAAACCGCTGGATACTTCTTCCGACAGAAAAAAACCACACCATTCACACACGGCGCATCCGTGAGCTTGATGAGTGTCCCATCGACAATCCCGATGCAGTTCTTGAACCCGTACTGCTGCCGTATGCGTTCCGAGACGTCTTGGTGTCGTTCTTCATCACCCCACGTGATAACATCAAGGCCGAGCTCTCTCAGTGCGCGAGTCACTCGTCGGCAGTAGAGGAAGACAGTCCCGAAGCCGATACCGAGCTCCTTCGCCACCTGCAGAGCATCGGAGCCTCGCCTGCCATACCGCATGAGAAAACAGGCAAGTTGGAAGCGAACCGGCCGCTGCGGTTTCCGTCCAGTTGAGTGAAAGAGGGGATTCGGCTCCAGGAGGCCGACGAGCCGGTCGAAAGTCAGCCGTGACACTCTACGAAGTGTATCAGTATAGGAAACAGTGCCACGGAAGTGTAGACACACCTGAATGTATGCCGGAACTCCCTGTCTGGCCATGTCAGTGCCGTAGGGAAATACTCGTGGCACTTTGCAATCTGATCATAGGGCCCTCTCGATCCTGGCCCAGACAACCCAGCTCCCAGATGGAATAGCTGTGAGCTGGTGACTCGCAGCCTCGCGCAGGCTTCGCGCTCACTCTCGAGCAGCTCCTGGTACAATGGGTCATCCTCCCTAACGAGCTCTTCCTCAAGGTCTACAGCGGTAGCTTTCTGGATAGCCATGTTGCGATATTGAGCCCCAGTCAAGTAGAGCATATCTTGAAGATCACGCTGCGTTCGAACAGCCATAGCGAAAGATTACACATTGAAAGCTTGGTACAGCACTGCGCAACGTCCAAGGGACTCAGCAGATAATGGCCTTCGTTGATTATCGGCACGTCCGAGAGAGCTCCGGGCGAAGCATCACATGACCGTGGTGCCGGATCACCGGCCATCACTTCTTCCTCGCTCCTTTGGGAGCGATTGAACGAACGACCGCTTGAACGACGGGTGCCAGTTTAGAATTGAGCAGCCCTAAGAGGGTTTCTAAAGCACCTGCGAATAAATTTGCTCATTTTTCCCCATTTAGCGCGGATTTAGGCTCCGCGGCCCCAAGCAACGAGGTGTCCGGGACACGGGACAAATCTCAAAATAGGCAACGGCGACGGACCTCTCGGGACACGGGACGTTGCCTAAGGTCGTATCGGTACAGTATATTTTTCGGGAGAGACCAGGTTCGAGGCATTGGGGTCAGCTGTGCCGCGACGGAAGCAGAAAGCACGTGAGTAAGGAGTTCGATACTGGTGTTACACAAGGAACTATAGACACGCACTAGTAAGTTCACCCAGCTGCCCCCTCCGAAGCTCATCATGCCTCCCATTTCACCCGCTGTCATACCCCCTAACGGATTCACGATAACCTCAATCTCATGCATCCGACTCTGAGTCATGACCATGACCCTCGACCTCCCACCCTCCGCGAAGCCTGAGTCCCACCTCTCCGAGGGACCCTAATTTGGATGGGGCTGAGGCTGAGGGCCAGGAGAAGCGTAGCTCGTGTCCTCGAGCATGGAGAGCAAAAGAAAGTCGGTCGAGTGCTCAATGGGGGCATTTCCATCGAGTCATCCGACATGTGGATTTGGGACTGCGCTTGCTGGGCGAGGTACAGGCTAGCTAGCGTGACCCCCGGTGGCTTCGGGTGGGAGTTGAGGTAGGTGCGGAGGTGAGGGTCAGGTATGTCGATTGAGCTTCCTGAGGAAAACTGGCGGGTTTGGGATGGGGGAGGAGCAGAGGAGCGCGAGGCATGAAAGCGGGAGATGTGGATGAGGAAGGACATTGTAGGAGAATTAGTGTAAGATAATGGAGTGAGTGCGCCCGCATGAGATAAATATCGAGAGGCGTTGGGTTCAAGGATAACGATCTGCCTCGAAGGATGCTACCTCCCTAGTTCCATGAATACGCCAATACACTCGTGGAAAATGACCCATTCCGGCTGGTTGTCGAGGCCACATGATGGATGCAAAGCAACGACCTATGGTAACGCCTCGAGTCTCACGCTCATATTGATCAGCGTGCGCTCCGAACCTGATTGTCCTTAACTGTCACTGTGCGCGCCAGGCCGGCCTAAATTAGACCGGTAATGGGTCAATTTTGTACTTTCGGCCAAAAAGTGGTCGAATAAGGTCGAAATAGCTTGCCGTATGGAAACCAGTTGGAATTCCGAACTTGGGCATTTTATACGGTAAACGGTCGAATTCTGTCTGTTGAATCCGCAGCAGCAGTCGTGAGAACCCACAGGTCGGAGTTCGAAGATCGGAATGATAGCCCCACTTGCGTCACTTCGTGACATGTTCAACTTGCCTCTGACCTCGACGCCGGCCCTTGCCATGCGCTCGCTGTTGCGCCGTCGTCGTCGCCGCCGACGCCGCCGACGCCGCAGTGAGCAGCTCCGCTGGTATACATGGCCCTTCTTCCCCGGTGAGCGTGTACTGTCGCAGGCTGATGATGGCCGCGGTTCGGTCACTAAGGTGCGTCCATTCTCTCGATCCTGCGTCTCGACGAAGTCTAATACGTGTCTGTGTCGTAGGCCTGATAGTTGGTTGGTTGTTGTAAAGTGAGTATGGTGCCCGTTGTACAATATGTTTACTGAATCTAAGATATCTCGACAGGATCGGTGTATCAACCACCTTGCCGCCATCTCCAGTGTCGAGCTATGCAAGTACGTGAGTGCTTCCTTGAGGCCGTGGTATGACTTCTACTGATCTAACATCTGGCAGGTAGTCTTTGTGTTGTTGCTGTTGGTAGGGATTTGAATAGGGAGCCCCGAGGAGGGGGGGCTGGGGGATGCATGGTTCAGGGTCAGGGCGGGTATGACACAGTTTGCTGTACTATTCTACATAGAGAATATACAAATATGTTGGTGCCTCAACTGCATTGCACACTGACTGCTAGGGGTGCCAAAGCCAAGGAATGGTGGTTTGCATGACCAGATGGAAATAGACCACTAAACGGTTGGAAAATGTCATTTTTGGCCGTTCTGAGGGGGGTCGAAATTCACAATTTGGTGGGACAAAATGATATGGTGTCTTTCGTACGGTAAGCGGACAATTTCAGCCTTCTACCGACCGAAATTGATTTGTCTAGCGAACGAATATACCGGTCGATTTTAGACCGGTCTCACGCCTCCAGAGTGTTAGATAACTGCCCTTCTCACCCTCCTTGTGTGCAACCTGCATGAAGAACCCGCAGACAAGCGCCATCCGAATGGCGGCGTAGGATTTATTCGAGTCACCTGTGGAGACCAGGTCGATGTCGAACTTTTCCATGATGCACTGTAACTGCAGGCGAACATTGTCCACCTCTTGCAGAGCACGAGCAGAGACGAAATTCTTCCAACACCAGTTTTTGTCCTGACCATCTGCAATCGACTGAGTGAGCGTAAAAACACCCGAGTGCAGATACGTACTGGCACCATATTTGGTGTGTATATTGAGCAGTGTCAGATGGTCGCCGCCACGCAAAGTCAGCATATGCTTCGCAGGGTCTGCTTCTGTTCTTTGACTGGGAGGCTGCATCCAGACGCTTTGGACTGCATGCTACTCGTCAGTAACGCTGGACCAGTGGAGCTTCATGAACGACTCACCTGAAAGCATCGTAACGATGGTCAAGATCTCGTTGCTACACTTGAACTCCGGGCTTACGATGAACATCTTGGCAAGCTGAGGATCGAGCAGGAATTCGCCATAATCCCACCAAGGGCAGTTAGGTTGCCATCATCATCCAGAGCAGCTAAGTTCAGAGTCTCTAGACCAGATCCTTGATCCCAAGTTTCACCAACTCCAGACAATGCTCGCCATATTGCTCCGCAGAATCTCCGGGTGGGTCTGCTCATCAAGTTCCTTCATGAAATCGCGCTCGGTGTACAGCCTGAAGCACTTGCCCGGCCTCGTTCGCCCGGCTCGTCCAGCCAGCTGCTTCGCGCTCACCTTCGAGATTGGGCTTACGAGCAGAGTCTCTACGCGTATCCGCGGGTTGTACACTTTCTGCTTCGAAAACCCAGGATCGATGACGTAGACCATGCCGTCTATGGTCAGACCGGTCTCCGCGATATTAGTAGAGATGACGACCTTGCGCCGTGGCGGGCCATCAGGAGTCCGAGTGGGGGGCGGCGGGTCAAAGATACGCTGCTGTTGCTGTGGCGGGAGGGAGGAATAGAGGGGTATGCAGATGAAGGGCCCAATGTTGTCTGGGTCTTGGCTCGTAAGCTCGTCAGCCTTGATTTTGATCCTCCTGCAGGCATCTTCAATCTCTTCTTCGCCGGTCAGGAACAGGAGGATGTCTCCCGGTTCCTCGGGGCGGTGTATCATGAGCACGGTGCGGATGGCGGCCTCTACGTAATCCGGTTCGGGCTCTTGCGTGTAAAAGACTTCGACGGGGTGTGTGCGACCGGGAACTTTGAACAGCGGGACAACCTCACCGTGTTTGGGCGAGAAGTACTTTTGATATTTCAGTGCGTCGAGGGTAGCAGACATCACGATGCGTTTTAGGTCTGACCGACGTTTTGCGAGAGTCTTCAGAATACACATGAGGATATCTGTTGCAAGTGTGCGTTCGTGGGCCTCGTCAAGGATGATAGTGGAGTAGCGAGTCAAATCGGGGTCGTTCATTGCTTCCCGGAGTAGCATACCATCGGTCATGTAGTTCAGAAATGTTGTCCCAGGTTCTGTCATATCCTCGAAACGAATCGATTAACCGACGTGCTTACCCAGGGGAACTTCAAAGAGCATGAGATAACTGATAAGCACGTGTGATTAGTGTAGAGTACGCACCATCCATCTCATCCGCTACACGCTGCGCTACCGACAAAGCAGTCACCCTCCGAGGCTGCGTACAAGCGACCATCTTTCCTTTCGTATGTGGCAAATCCGAGTAGCATACGAATTGGGGTATTCTACGAGACGTTCGTCAAACCGAAAGGTCATAAAGTAAGTCATCTGCCGTATACGTACTGCGTCGTCTTCCCTGATCCCGTCTCGCCCACTATGATAATGATCTGATTTTTAGAGAACTGGCTCCTCATGCATCAGCGGGGTGTTACCGGGATATTATCTAGTCTACCCTTGCGAGGGAAGGTGGAGGACCGAACTCACTATCTTCAAGAACTCGTCCATCTGCGAGTACACCGGCAGCTTCTTCCGTGCCTCGAGGATCTTCTTGTGCTGCGGTGTATGGGACTGCATCGTGAAGGGGTTGACATCGGATTCCTGAAGGGATCATGATCATGCATAATCCGGTTAGTTACACGGAATAAACGGGATGCAACACGAAGCGCACCAAGGCTTCGCGGACTTGCTCGCCAGTAACTCTCCGGGCCAGAAGACCATGCAGTGGATTGTCCACTATTTGCTTTGATTTGCCCCCTCTCTTCGGCTTCAAGTGCGCCAGGTACGGATTGTCGGTAGCCATGGTCAATTCAGGCCGTCCGTGGGCGATACAACTGATACCGCAAGCGAGCGATGGAAGCTAGAATACCCATGACCCTCAAGCGCCCACAACTGACGCTTCTGAGCGACTAAGTATGGGTATAGAACAACTTCTCATGACGTGTTAGCGGTCCTGAGAAGTTGAATTTTATATACCAACGCGGTCCCCACAAAGAACTGACACAGTACCAGGGCTCTAGGGCAACACGGCAGGTGCAATAACGTGCCACTTGCGTACGATATACGTTGTTCACGGCTTTACAGCATTGCGAGGAAATGCGCTAGGTCGGAACCAGGCATGGATGTGCACATCAAATCAGCCGGATTATCCCGACGTGCAGTACCCGATGCCATTGGCTCCCTGACCTGAACTGGATTCGCCACGGATTCCTTCGAGCCGGGGGAACCCCCTCCGCACGAATATCCCCCACTAAATAGTCCAGCACGCAGCAACGCTATGGGTACAAAATTAAGCAACGGAGATAACTATGCTACAGAGCCAACGTCCCTCGCCTACACCTCATCACCGCGGTTGCGACCGGATCGACTCCCTCTCCCGACTCTGTCTCGTATCCACCTTCACATACTCACTCTCCTCTCTTCCCTCCTCGCCTTCCTTCTTGACGCTGAGATACGCCTCTCCAAGGATTTGCAGCGCGACCGCTCGCAACTCCGCCTTGGCACGAGGGATAGACGGGTCGGAAAGGACGCGATCGCAGGTTTCGCGCAGTACGGATTCGATTTCGAGCTTCGCGCCCTGCAGACCATCGTCAGCTCCCTGAGCCGAAAACATGAGAAGAATCGTACCTTGAAAAGAGCCTGGAGGCCTTTCTCGGCTGCTTGCTCTTCCAGCCGCTTCCTCTCCTCCGGACTCAGGTTTCCTGCCTTCTCCGCCGCTGCTATTTGGTCGAAAACGCCTTTAAGCTCGATAGCAGAGCGTAATGTAGATACGCTATTGTCTTCAAGGTCAAATTGACGTTATGCGAAAACTGAGGTACTCACGTCTCGCTGAAGACATGGTACTTTCCCTGGACATTATGTAGCCAGCCACCGACACCCATAAAGGTCTGATTGCTAGCTATGTGAGTTTTGGCCTTGGAGACGTACACGCCGCCAATGGCATGTAACAGTTCGACGCCATAAGATTCACGCTTCAAATCCCTGAGTCGTGAGACTGCATGAAGACCAATGGAAGAACCTGCAGCAGAAACAGAGTACGCACTCAGCTTCCAGGGCACATATCTCCCTCCAACTCCTCAACACATCCCTATCACTCGGACCCGTCGCACTCTCCGTAAATATCCCCAGCTTCCTCTCCAAATTCTCGACCAGCTTATCCACCCGCTCCTTCCTTGCCGCCGCTTTCTACACATGTCACCCGTCACACACACCACCCCAGAGATACAAAATCCACCCACCTCCAGCGCATCCCTCCTCGCCTTCTCCTCCTTCTTCGCCTTTTCCTCGGGGCTTAGCACCGGGCGCCCCTTCGCGTCCACCACCACCTGCCCCTCGGGCTCCTCGTCCGCCTCCTGCATCGCCGCCTTCATATCGCGCGCCAAGCTGATGTGCCCGATAATGGGCACGAAGCGGTCGCCGCCGAAGATGCTGCCAAATATCTCCTCGGGGTCGACGTACCCGCCCTCGGGCGCGCTCTCCTTCGGCCCGAACTCGTTGTACTTCTTGCGCAGTGCGGGGTCCGAGAGCGTCTGGTACGCAATCGCGAGCTCCTTGAAGCGCTCCTCCGCGCCGGGGTCGTTCGGGTTCTTGTCCGGGTGCAGCTTGATCGCGAGCCGTCCTGCGCGCCGTCAGGTCATTTACGCCATGATACAGTCGTAACAAGACGTACTGTACGCCTTCTTGATATCGTCCGTGCTCGCATCCACCGGCACGCCGAGGATATCATAATACCTCGTCTCGAGCGGCTTCTCCTGCGTCCCGATCTTCCTCCCCTTCCTCCCCATCCCCCCCATCCCCGAGAAACTCGTCGTGCGCCCGCCACCGCCACTCCCACTGGCCATGGCACTAGCATTATGGACCTGCGTCGGGTAAAACGCATGGCTGAACGTCTTCTGGCACTTGTAACACCGGATACTAAGCACCGTCGCAGGGCGCGGCGGCGGCGCGGGCACCGCGAACTCGACGGGGGCGCTGCATTGCGGGCAGGATGAGAGGACGCGCGGGACGACTGGTGATGAGTCGATTATTGGGTAGGACGAGCTCATAGCGTTCAGGGAGAGGAGAGAAGAAAGGCCGGCGCCGTCATCGCCGCAGTGAGCACTTGCAGGCAGGGCTGCTGCTCGGCCTTTTCCGGTCCGTATTTTGGGCGCTTGTGCCACTTTATGCACCGCCCTGATACGGATGGGTCGAGTGCGATTCATTATGCCATCTCGAACTCGAAAGACGTGAAAGAGAATAATGTATTGCGCGGGCTACGAGGATCGGATGGTACAGGAACGACGTGGTACAATTAGAAGTCAAGTGGATGTGGCTATGGATACAGCAGTCCGTGCAGAGGGAGTATGTACTAGGGTAGTCTATGGATATCTAGAGAGGATCAGTGTTGCAGGGAGGTCTATGTGTTGCGTGCGAGATAGAGAGAAATGGAGGGTTAGAGACGATAGAAAGCAGAGGAGACGAAGATAAGCAAGAAAACCCGAAAACCCAAAACAGATGAGAAGGAGAGAAAGAAAACCCGTCTATACTTGCTCGGTAGCGTAACCCTTGTCTAACCTTGGAAGTTCGTGGACAGCTTCTTGCGTGTCGTGGTTTTCGTAAATGTATTCGTTACTGCTCGCAGCCGATGGCTGGTGGTCGATATCGAGTCCATACCGAGCATCGTTGGTCTTTGGTTGTGGTTCGGCGTGCGCAACCGGTGCGTCCGCCACCTTCTCGTCCGACGTCCTCGCACTGGGGAACGCCTCGGGGTCCTTGACATAATCCGCCCCCTTCGCGTACGCCGCATCCTTCTCCTGCACAACCGTCGCCGTCTCCTCCTCGCACGCCTTCACGCCCGGGCGGTAGAACACACTGATCGCCACCGCCTCCACACACACGATGCCCAGCAAAAACCAAAACGCCGCGCGGCGCCCAAAGTACGCCGTGAACCCGCCCTCCTTCCCCTCCACGCTCGTCTCGATGCTCGTGACCGCCGCGATGCCCACCGCGCTCCCGAGCTGCAGCGCGCCGTTGAAGATCGCGCCGACGGTGCCCGCCATGCTGCTCGGCGTCGTGCGGAAGATCGCGATGTTGACGTGCGTGTACGTGAGCATCGCGCCGCCGCTGCCGAGCAGGAACGCGGGGAACACGAAGCTCCAATACCGCTCGGGCCGATCCGCGAACGCGAGCAGCACCGTCGCGACCACGAGGAACCCGTGCCCAATGAGGATGAGGTACTTTGAGTCGATCTTGCGGTTGAGGGGCCCGGTCCAGGACATGGCAAAGGAGATGACGCCGATCGGGACGAAGTGCACCGCGGAGTCGATCACGCGCCATTGGTAAACGCTCTGCCAGAGCGTCGTGAATATCGTGAAGACGGTCGTCCACCAAAGGTACGGGAGGAGCGCGACGCCGAAGAGCACCGCGAAGTTCGGGAGGAACCACGTCTGCGGCGGGACGGCCGCCTGGTCGCGCGGCAGTAAAGTCTCCCAGTAGAGGAACCCGCCGATCATGAGGAGGGAGATAACGAGCGGCGCGAGGACCATCGCGGAGGCCCACTGTCCGGTGGACCCAGATGTGAGCGCGAAGATGAAGAGGATGAGCGCGATGGTGAGCGTGGAGACGCCCGGGAGGTCGAGTTTCTTGAGCTTGGTGGATTGCGACATGGGGAGGACGTGCGTGTCCGAGGGGAGGAGGAAGATGCAGGCGAGGGAGACGGGGGTGGCGACGAGGGCGACGAACCAGAAGACCCAGTGCCAGGAGGCGTACTGTACGAAGACGCCGCCGATGACTAGGCCGAGGACTGGAAACCAGGGCGTAAGGACTTTGAGAAGAGAGGAAGCTAGTTTAGTATTCACCATTGGCGACTGCTCCGCAACCACCGAAAATACCGATGGCGCGAGCTTGCTCTTGGGTCTCCGGAAATGTATTGACAAGAAGGGTGAGAGCGGAGGGAATAGTCATAGAGGCAGCTAAATAGGACAGTCAGCGATCGCTCAAAGCCCTCAAGGCTTGCTCAGACTCACCAATACCCGTAAGAGCTCGTAAAACAATGATCGTGATCTTGTCCTTCGAAAACCCGGCACCCAGAGAGATGAGTCCTTCCCCGGCCAGTCCGACCACAAAGGCACCCTTGGGACTGTAGAGGTCGCTGATCTTGCCGCTCATGAGGAGGAAGGACGCAAAGGTGAGCTGGAAAGCACTGATGAGCCACGCCGACTCGCCCTCGGTCATGTTCATAGCCTCGTCGAGCGAGGGGATGGCGGAGAACAAAGCCGAGTTATTGAACGAGTCGATGAACTGGGCCAGGCAGAATATCGACAGGAGCAGATACTTTTTGGCCGTGGACGGCCCTCTCAGCTGGCCGTCGACGAGGGTAACCGCCGGGGAGAGAGCAGTGCTGGCGGTGGGGGGCAACATGACGAGGAGCAGCTGCACCCGGGCGACTGGGAACAAGGCGTCGTTGGATGAGGCTGAGGAGTGTGGCACCATGGTCGGAATTTATGGGACGGGGGGCTGCTGACTGACCAGGTAATAATTTGTGATGGAAGCGCATCGAAAGGCCGGGCAGCCAATAGGATGGGCCGATAACAGGGGAGGTAATACATTACGTGTCTGAAACACTATTGACTAGTAATGAGGCGGTCTGCCTTGACTCGGTCCTGGACTGCTGGACCGCGTCGGCCCCGGCCACAAACAAAATTATTGGCTTCAGATCAAACACCCGCCACCCGATCGCCGGCACGTGGCCCGGAGATTCATCGGAGATCTCGAGAAGCACAAAGAGAAGCCTCCTGCTGACAAAGCCCTGCCGCATATGGCAGGTGTCTAGAATCGCCGGAGGTCTGCAAAAATTGTCGATTGCGACGGTAAATCAGCCTCCCCCGCATTCCGTCCTCGCTCGGGCCCTTGGCCATCACCTTAATTCATCGGGACTTGTGCCCACCCGTACCAAGACCACCGGGGCATGGTAGACTGCAACTGACTCAACTCCTATAGACGGTCAGAAACGCTGATGGGAATAGCCATCATCCGTGCGTGTTATACAGTCGACTCTGTCTTAACCCATAACGGGTCGTGGAACCCAAAAGTTATGGGTTTATGCAGACTATGGGTTACCAGAACGTGTGACATTGTGTGACTACCTAGTAAGCGTGACAGACAGCCTATCCGGTATAGGCCGGACGTCGTTTATGACAACGTTTAGATACGGAATCTTGAGTCTGGTATGGGCTATCTTCTGAAATACCACGAGAACCAAAAATCAAGGGTCCAGATGGTCCAGGGTCTCGTGGGAAGGAGACCTGTACCTTCCTAATATAGGTTGTTTTATGGGTTATAACCCTCCAAAAAGCTATGGGTTATGGGATACGGCAGACTTATGGGTTTTTACTATCTACCATGTTGGTGGAAGCCAAAAACTTATGGGTTATTACAGGTTATGGGTTATGACAGGTATGGGTTAGGACAGAGTCGACTGTATACAGCGCAATGACTACACTGCGGAGATGAAAGGAGCTTTGGGGGCATTTGATCATCGTTATTCAGGGGACCTCGGGACTTCGGTCCATCCACGCCAATCACGGCGGTCCGCTTTCATCCTCGTTCCCAAGTTTGGTGCGGCTGGTCGAAGCATCCGAATGCGTATCTCCAGGACCGTGCCCTCTGCCCAAGGCGACGTGCAGGCTGCTCATGTACGTCTATCGCAGCATGTTCAGCTTCCAGATACTTTTGCTCTTCTCTATTATTACTCTCAGCTGCCTTCCCTTTCTCAGAATCAAGGTAGCAAAACAGGTGGTAGCACGCAGGTCGTGCTACCCCTCGCGCAACACAGTTGGCACGGTATCGTCCGCGCGTACAGGAGACAAAGTCTCACGCGGCAAGAGACTCCCCATCTAGGGGCGTAGGGCTGGTCCGAAGAATGCATCATTCCGGACGATATCGCTCCGCGGAGACCGATATCGTCATGTATGATACTTTCTTTGCCCACCTCGCGGGACGACTAGTGCTGACTCATTGGCTGCCGTGTCGGCATTGGATCGCTCATATGTCTCCCTCATACGCCATCGTGATCAACGTCCAACCCCAGTCATCCTCTCGAGCTCCGACACCTAATCACAGGAGCCTCGCGGGTCTGCGAGAACGTTCGTTCGATTGCTTTTGGTGGACAGACTCATGCTAGCGCCGAACCGCCGATCCTACCCCCATCTGGTCTCGGACGAACGTCGGCGGTATTTATCCTTAGAAAGGTAAACAAGGTAAACATGAATGCCCCTTCTACTGTTGGCTCTAGGCTTGAGTCTTGAACACCGAAGGCTTCTTCTGCGGACTTAGGTCTCTCTTGACTTTGGGGCACGTCCTCGGAAAGAAGGTTCCCCTTCTCCTCCTCCGTAGGTTGGCCCCATTCAATACTCGTAATTGTAGTACCGCATCACGACCTTCACCCCACCGAGATGTTGCTCAGTTTCGCTCAGCGCGGGGTGGGTTCTCTATCATACCCAGTCCCACTGTGGGCCCAGCTTCATTAGCAGGGTATATCATGAAATCAATTCCCCGCGTTCCCGCCTGCGGGGAACCCCACGAGGGGTGTCGTTAATACCATCCAAGTCGCCTGATGATGTCGAACACAATGGTATGGTACTGCGCCTTAATAGGTACGCCTCGGACTATGCCTCGGACGGCGCGCGAGAACGTTAACGTAGTCTGTACATCCCCTTCGAGGTCTCCTATGACCCAGAGGACTTTTAGGCTTGATGCGCAAGACTCTTTTCTAAATCCTTCATCATCGCGCGAGGTCATTTGTAAGCCCCTCCCTTGATGGTACAGGGTTAACAAGGTGGCGACTGAGTAATGCAGGTCGTTCAGATGATGCTTATTGGACATGGTGAGCCCTTCTAGCATTCACATCACCCCTTCGTATGCTCGCTTTTGGCAGATCCCCTTGAGAAGCTGACTACACGAACTTCGTCTTCGATGCAGGCTGAGATGAACAATGGGTATCTGTATCTCATTAATTATTAGACGAGGATTAACGAGCCTATGGGCAGCAGGGCTTCTACCGAGGCTTGTTGGCGTCATATATCTGTAACAGCATGAGCATGTTAAATGACCACCCGTTAGCTCCGGCGGATCCCCCGGAGATGAGGTGCGTGAGGTGCGCAGGTGTTCATTCCTAGAGCATCGATGTACAGTGAACGAGATGAACATTTTCACGAGAATTCAGATAGGTATCTTGTCCATCTCGTAGGCGGGGATCAATGACGCTGCGATTCATAATCGGTGAACTTCTACCCAAGCCTATCAACGTCGTATCTCTATAACAGCCAGCATGACTTATAGGTCTTGCCTTCGCAGCTTTGAAAGGATCCGCCTGACATTACGCTGCGACGGTGCATGCGTATTTCTTGCTGTATGACTGATCTGGCGGGATAGGGGTGCATGAGATGCAAGCAACCATATGTCATCAGGTGCGTACCACCAATCGTTGCCTAGAGCGACTTGTATGGTGGATTATAGTCATCGATCCTAGGTATGTGACTCTTTTCTAGAGCAGCGCACGGGTGGCGTGGCCTCGCCTCGCCTTCCTGGGGGCCTTCTGTGGCTTGGCTGACGACATAGTCGACGGGACTTCCCAGCAGAGGCCTGACCCGTACAGTATGGGCTACGCACCTAGGCAATGTCTTACGGCGGAAAAAGGTAGCCGCCGTTATATACAGGGTGCAGACCTTGGTGCGTTTGTTCATCCCTTCCGCCCTTCACCATCCTCTCGACTATGCCGCGAAGCAAGCTTCCTCCCTATACGCAGTCGTCGAACCGGACATCGTCGGGGAGCCGTGATGCACTTCTGTGTGCCATACACCAGGCGAGCGCTCCTTCTCTCCTGATGGATGTACACGGGAGTCTTGCGGCTACCCAGACGTCCCTATATTCCGCACTGATGACACAAGTAGTGGTTGGAGTGCCATCTTGCACTTCAGTGTCCACACACCAGGCGAGCGCTTCTTCTCCCCTGATGGATGTACACGGGAGTCCAGCAGTTACCCAGAGCACGGGCCCGTTGGGATGATTAAGACTCGAGCAAAGCTGTGGCTGCGCTTTGGCCAGGTGTGGATCCGAGCCCAGGGTTGGTAGGACGGGAGGGAAGAGCTGTTCTATACATCGTAATGAGTGAGTATAGGTTTTTATACAGTTCTTTCCAAAAGCTGTGGTGCACAGCAGGTATAGCTTTTGACAAGAAGGGTGAGATGGCCCACGGGACTGCCACAGGTGGCAGGGCATGGGAGTTGTTTGACCTGAATTAGATTGACACAGAGTATCGTCATATCACTGCTTCCAGGCGCTGTATGTCCCAGTGAGCGCCGAAATAGCCTGACTGTGGGGGCGCTCAGACGCCACCGAGAGGTCCCCGATGGGTTTCGTGGGAGATTGAGTCCGTGAACTGTGACTACCCGGCCTTGAAGTTCCACTAAACATTCATGTATATAATATGACAAGACACTCTGTCTGCAGCTGGCATTTGGCTGGCATCCGCAACCTCTTCCTCAAGGTAGCCATCATCATCCAACATGGAAAAGGTAGCAAACTGGGACTTGACTCCGGCAGATTTCGTATTTCACAGGTAAAGATTTGCTCTCTTCCGCCTTGCGATCGCCAACATGTTATACCAAGACGCCCGGGGAGACGCATCGCCATCTGGGCAGCCTGGCTTTGTATTGCGCCAAGCTGGGTGCGGCTGGCGGTATACCGCATCCTGAAGCAGCGAGACATCATCGTCCCGCGTGTCCCGTCTACTCTTCAGCCTCTACGCGAAACATGGCAAGTACGTTACGGTTACTGAAGCCTTTGCCACTCAATATGTGTCCATAAACACAACAATCCCCGACTAGGAAGTTCTAGACGTCCTCCGCGACTCGAAGGGCACCCCTCATGACGCGCGTGCCGGGGAAGCAGCTTCCTCAAATGCCCCGCAACGCAAATGAACTGTCTGAGGAACAGCTCGAAGTATTTGCCAAAAATATGCGTGAATGGCTGACGCAGCTGCGAAGCCTGGGGCCGCCTCCATAATTATAATAATAATTATGGTCTGCGGATTCATGGGCACGCACTTCATGAGCTACCGTATAGACCACAGCAATTTTGTCGGTCCCTTCGCCTCCCCGGCGGAGTTCCACGCCCAGTACTTCTGTACTCTCCCTCGCAAGGCGGACCCGGAGATCCGTGCGCTCGCAATGCGCATGCGCCGGAAGCCGTACCGCATCTGCTTCACCCATGGTGACTCTCGCCAAATAACATTCTGGTAGACGAGAACTACGTGCCCGTTGGGCTGGTTGACTTCAAATGCGCGGCGTGGATGCCGGAGTATATACATCAGACAGCGGTACAAGGGGTGGGTGCGGATTTTGACTGGGGCGCTTCCTGGATGCGAGGATGAGTTGGCGGCAGAGATGGAGCTGTGGAAGTACATCTGTCCCTACTGATAAGCACCGAAGCCTTGACTCGGCTACATATATCCGGGAGCTTTGAACGAACAAAAGCTGAATCGATAAGTACATACTGTATTCGAAATCTGAGGATAATACCGTCCAGGCAGTGTCGGGTCCATGAAATATATCAGATAATTTCAATGATGCAATTACATCTCAACGGACGAGGTGCGAGGAGTCGCGTCTGGTGAGCATGTAGTGATATTCCATGACGGCTCAAACGACTCGACTTGAACTGTGGCAATAGTGACCGTGACAGAGTCACAGCAATTACGCCCGACTGCTTACGCGCTTGCCTGCGGCCGTGCCAGTAGTACCTTCTCAGGTCCTCCAATCCTTCTTCCTGCCATCGTCAACGACCCAGCGACAATGCCGAGCTTCAACTTAGGTGCGCCCATCAACACCGCGCTCCTCCTCTACATTCTCTACGCCGTGCAGCGCATCCTCTTCCCGCCAGCCTCGGCCAAGGCGAAGTCAATCCCGACGGAGTTCAAGCACGGGTACAGCTGGATGCCCAAGGCGCACCCGCCGACGGTGCTGTTTACGACATACACACCCAAGACGCTCGCACCGTTTAATGGAAAGGACGGGGGGAGAATATTGCTGGCGATTGATGGGACGGTGTTCGATGTAACTGCAGGGCGGAACTTCTATGGACCTAGTGAGTTCTACTAGTGAAGGCTTGGGGCTGGCGCTGGGAGAGTCTGACACCACATGGCGTTGAGATGGGATGTACGGCAACTTTGCGGGGCGCGATGCGAGTCGCGGGATGGCGAAACAGTCTTTCGACGAAGGTTCGTCTCATTACCTTGCTTCCCTCGTTCACCCCCATTTCACGGATTACCCGTCCTCAGAAATGCTGACCCCCATCGACCAACCGCTCGACAAATGCGACGATCTGACGCCGGAAGAGATGTGCGTGTCATACAGTCCTTATCTAGCTTTGGGTTTCGTTGTAACAGGTATCCTCCCGAACGTAGCGAGAACATGAAAGGCTGGTATGATCACTTTGCGAACAAGTATATCATTTGCGGCAAGCTCGTCGAGAACGATGCCATCTAATTACGCTGAGGATTGGTGCCTCAGGCCGAATATTGCGGATCATTTAGAGGTTTGTACCCGCCTCAAGTCTGTGTCTCCGTTCCGCCATATTCAATTGATCTAGTTTGTCAGTGTTATACGTCCCGGAATTCTGTCGCTATGTGTAATATAGTTGATCTCATCGCCCGTCTATGCTGTTGCATCCTCACCACCCTCTGAAGTCTACGCCGGAGTGTAAGACTCTCATATGGATTCCCTGCTCGTGACATGGTACTTGGTGTGTGTTCCACGTAACTCGGTATGTGCAGACTGGGATTCCAGACAACCTTACCCTAGTTCTTGTTGGAACGGTAGCCACTTCCTCTTTTAATAGGTCCATCATGCGAACCCATGTTACTACCGCTCTGTCTATCTCGCGATCGCTACACTACATAGGACTTGGATGTTCCTGGCAAAGACTGGCTTGGAGTTCCCATGCTTCCCCGCATTCGCCCCGGGCCGGTGTCCCGCCGGCTACGTACGTCGGACATGCACCGACGGTCACGACGCCCTTGGACGGTGGCCAGTTCTGATATTTCGAGCGCGTATGCCCTTGTGACCCAGCATTCCTCTCACAGTACAGCGTACTTGATTGTGATAAAATGTCGCCGGGCATGGTCAAGAACCTCTTCGGTTCCAAGTTGCGATGTGGTTTGCACGGTGTACAGCGATCGTTGCCTTGTGTGCGTGGTCGGCGGCGGCGGAGAACATATTGCAGACGATTGGATGGACTTCCCTAGGTCCTGATCCGCAGACAGTAAACAGGCTTAACGGTGAGTCGTTCCAGCAGGACGCGTTAGTAACGTTTGGAGGTACGTCCTTTCCCTTGTCCTTGTTTGCCTTACACAAGTGGACCGCTCCTAGCGTACCAGTACGCGGTACACTACCTCCCCTCCACAACGAACGCGTCCGTCCGGCACCCTGCGCTCTCGAGGCGCGCTTTGGATGGCAGCAGTAGCGGCCCGTGGCAGACGGCCACGTTCGCGGATTACGACCAGACGGATGACGACGGTCATAATATGTACGTGGTCTTCCCGTCTCCCTATTCCCGCCATTCTCATCTCAAATACTGAGCAGCATCTCGCTCGGCATCTCCCCCGGCGACGGCACCCTCCACCTCGCTTTCGACCAGCACGACAACCCGCTCAACTACCGCATCTCGGAGGCGGCGCTCGCGACCTCGCCCCCTCCCGACTCTGCCTGGGCGAATATCACTGCGCTTTTCTCCCCCGTCATGAATTTCCTCCCGAATCTGACTGAGCTGGACAAGGACACGTACTTCATCAACATCACATACCCGAGGTTCTTGAGGGTTCCGGAGGGCCTGCGAGGAGAGGATAAGCCTGATTTGGTGCTGGAGCTGAGGGTGGGGCGGTCGGGGCTTGGGGATGATTGGTTGTATACGTATGCGCCTGGCGAGGGGTGGGCGCTCGTAGGGAGGTATTTGGAGGTCAGTCACCCATTGTTCTGGTTGGGCAAGGCAAGCTGAACTGAGATGGGGGGTCAGGGTGTGAACAATAACGCCTACATTAACGGCTTGGACTTCGACTTGCGTGGCAACCTACACGTCACTTGGTTTGTTCTCTTTCGTATCCCTCTATCTTCTTCCTCACGACAGTGGTGAAAGGACGTACCGCGACTATGTTAACGACATCGGCCAGAACGTCGCGGTAGAAGCGGGGCCGAACGGACCCGAGAACGTCCGTCTCTTCCCTCCCTCCCGCTGATCTGTTTACGACTGCCATCCACAGAATCACGACTTGAACTATGCCTTCTCCCCGCCTGGTGCTTCTCCACTCATGACGTGGAAGAACAACTGGGGTCAGATGGTCGGGAACTTATCTGCTAGTCAGTTACAATCCACTTCGTCCACGTATCATGACAACTGATGAGCATGGTGCGATAGGCGACGTCCCGCTCGACGCAGAACCCATCCTCCCCAATAGCGCCGGTATCGTAATGTTCGGCATCCCAAAATACGGGTACGTACTATTTGCACTGTCCTCCGTGTCACGCCACTAATCGTCGCACGCGGAGTGGCATCCTGAACCAGGAAGCACAGACGGTTGACCGCGACGGCCGCGTGCACGTCCTCAACCGGGAGAACACGACGGGCGTCGAGCGGTGGTACCACTACTGGCGGAGCACGACGGGCGACTGGACGCGAACGCCCCTGCCGCTCACGTTCGACCCGCCGAGTGTGAATAATGTCACGGGCACACCGACGGTTATCGGGAAGCGGGGAAAGCTCGTGGCCATTCCGCCTTCCCAGTCGCCCGCACCCCTGTTCGACTCGTCCTTCCCCACAACACTGCTTTACGTCCTCCCTTCTAACGCAGCGAACTCCAGTGCGCTGACGATCCTCGCGTCCACGGCACCCGGCCACTTCCGAGATTGGCGCGTCGTATGGGAGGTGAGCGCGGGGTGCGGGTGGGAGCCACTGTTTGATCGGTATAGGCTGGAGAAAGACGGGGTGCTCAGCTTTTACCTGGTTAATGGGACGGACGTGGGAGTGTTGGATTTAGGGATGGAGGGGCTATGAATGAGGTGGAAAGAGATGCGGGCCGGGGATGTGAATATGAGGCGACGTGAAGGAGTCGTGAGGAGGGGCAACGACATGAGACATGACATACAGAAGCTCCTCCTTTCGATATGGTATTGAATAGCATGCGAGGCGAATGGGCGCTTCCTCAGCGAGCAATGCCACACTGATCGTGACGGTGACGAAAGCACGCACTGTGACCGAACGCGTGCGTGGAGGCGCCACAACAACGATGCGTTTTCCCATCTCGCATCTCCAGCTCAAACAGGATATCTGTCCAGGAAACAAACCTACATGACTCTCTTAAGTTATCAATTTCGTATCGTGGTGAACTGGAACGTAATTATCGACAACTTGCCCGTGTATTTAGCGTTGCTGTGTGACCATTGTTCTCGTTTCGGGCGTTTGCGGCTTCTACGGTTTGTTCATGTTTTGACAGCGGATGGCTGATGTTGATATTCCTTATGAAGCTCAGGCCTCAGGCTCGCAACCCCTCCTTATTTCCCCCATCCGTCCCATATCTACATTTCGCCCCCGTCTGGAATCCCGGAGGAAAGACGTTCGCCCAAAAAACGCGGCCTCCGACATCAAATTATACCCTCAGCCACATTCCGGAAATCCGCGTAACTCCGATATGGTGAAGAATAAGATCGACGTCGTGGTGGAAGATGGTCTTATCGACTGTCTTTTCCCTGACGCCATTCTCCCGGGACCCGTCGACGACATCTACACCGGGATCACGACTGGAGAACACCCCCTGTACTCATCCGACCGAAAGCTCTGGATAAATTGTCCTGAGCTTACTAGGCAGTCCGACGACGGAGACCAAGAAGAAGCCCTAGCCGCATTTTTCACGACGGTCACTCGAAGAATCTCAGAGGTCGTGGGCAAACCCTGCAATCGAGTCATTACAGGTGCCTATGCGACCACCAAAAACCCTCTCCCTAGAGGGCCTGGTGGCGGACGCCGCCCCGAGATTGTAATCTTCGAGAACTCTGGCGGCGAGCCACAAACTTGGAAAACAGTGATGTCGCACTGGGAGCTGAAGAATAATGCGAAACCCAAGGCCAAGAAGGAGGCGGCCAAGCTTGTGGCAGACGGTGTCGAACTCATTTATGGCTTCCAGTACAGTCGCCGGTTTGTTGCATCACTGTCGATCCTCGGATACCAGATCACTCTACACATCAACGACCGCGCCGGAGAGGTGTTGTCCAAGCCGTTCGACATGCATGCAGATCCTCATGCGTTCCTGCGAGTCCTGACAGCGTTCATGTTCGCAAGCAAGGAATACCTTGGGTTTGATCCCAGCCTCAGGCTGCTCGAAGATGGTTATCGAGCCGTGGTTATTGCAAATAAGGAGTATGTGATCGAGCAATGGATCTGCACGAGCGGTCATGTCCAGGGACGTGGAACATCATGTTGGCGGGCGACTCGTGGCGGAGTCACGTATGCTATTAAAGACTATTGGACGAACGGAATCGACTGGTCCTCCGAAGCCGAGTTGTTGAAGGAAGCGCGCGGCATCGAAGGCGTATGCCAGCTGGTGGATGAGGAGGTCGTCATGTTCCAAGGCAAGATCGACTCGACTGACTTGGTACGACCCAGTATTGCAGGGAATAGGTGCCTAGATGCACCTCAGCCGGTGTACTGTTGGACGCATAGACGTTTGGTGCTGGACCCATTTGCAATACCCATCACATATTTCGAAACGAAGAAGGAGTTGGTAGGGGCTTTCATAGACACTATCAAAGGAAAGTTCCTCGAATCCTCAGTACTGGCTCCATGCTCACGTCCACCTACAGCCCATAAAACGCTGCTTGAAGAGGCGAAAATACTCCATCGTGATATCAGCATCAACAATATCATGCTGGTCGACTCCAAGGATTCTACCAATCGTCGCAGAGGAATTCTTATTGACTTCGATACCGCAACGCGGTATAACAACGGAGCTGCAGAGTCTAATTTAGAGAGAAAACCTGGGGAAACTGAGTGGATTGTGAGTGGTTGCAGAACTGAAAAAAATTGTACAGTGCTGACGGTCTCCCAGGGCACTAAACCCTTCATGGCCATAGAGCTGTTGGCCTTCGGCGACAAATACGAATTGACCTACACACCCGAATGGGACCTCGAGTCGTACTTTTACGTATTCGTCTGGATCTGTGTCCTCTACGACGGTCCAAACAACTCTAAAAGGGACATCAATTTCGAGGAAACTATGCTGCGCCACTGGACAAATGGCGATTTTGAGACGGTGGGAGTGCGCAAGTCCGCGGCTGTCAAGGACGGGATCTTCTGGCGACGCCTGATCGCCGAGGTATCACCCTACTTTGAAGAGCTTAAGCCATGCCTGGAAAGATGGCGTGGTCTCCTTTTTGACTCGGAAAGCAAGACACACCGCGCGGTGCTCTCCGTACTCGACGAGGTATACGAAAGCTTGCCGGACCAGGAACCCTGTGCTGATGTTCAAAGTGGAGAAGAGACCTCTTGTTCCGAGTCGGAGAATGACAAAGTAGACGGAGAGGCGGCTGCGGCGTTTCAGGATACGCTGGTGGGCACTAGGACGAGAAATTGTTCCCATATTCATCTACGGAGTTCGATAGGTGAATCACCTACCCGAAAGAGACCACGAGACTCGGAGGAAAGCGACGAGGGAAGTAGTCGCTGCAATACAGAGTATGGCACCTTTCCCTCGTCTAGGGAGGCCGCCAACAAGGGTTCTCCGACATTGCTGGAGGGTCCGCCGAGAGAGCAATCTTCTTCCACACTAGAATCCGAACATGGGCCACGTATGAGGGGGCCAAGCAAGCGGCTGCGGCGTGAAGCCGAGACATCCACCGACAGTAGCTGATTTACCTCCTTGTACACTTATGGAGGGCGCCCCCGCTGGGGCATGTAGAGTGGCGTCGTGGCTGCGCTATCGTGTCGGGCATCAGGATGGTATTAGAGTATTGTACGTCTGAATTCATCGATTTCGGAACAGACTTGGTGCAGTTGTAAAAATCTCGTTAGTAAGCGGGCCGCTGCTGCGAAATATCAAGGGCCAAAAAGGAGTCTGCTGGACCTTGCAAGGTGAAAGCACCAAAACGCCAATGTCAGTTGTTTTGCAGAAATACTGGCTATCTCAGTATCTGACGGAGGAATGAGTAAACCCCGACTTTGTGATGAATGCTCAGTCGGAAATACTTGCTGGAACATGACTACTCTCGCAAAAAATATATGACAATGCTCAGGATGCCATGTGTTCAGCATGCTACCCAAATATCTATGTCTACGGTAGCGGGCTCTGCCGTGCTTGCGCCGCTGGACCGTAATGGTCTTAATCTGATGTCTTTGCTGTGTTTGCTGTGTATGCTGTCCGTGTGTCGCTATGTTCTGCTTTATTGGAACATTCAATGATGATATCTGTGTAGACTGTCCTTAGTGATGCTAAGTGTACGCAGACTCAAGCAGTAAAGGCCCTTCAGCCTTTCAGTTGAAGCTGATGGAGCCTGAGTACCTAGGATTAAATCGCCGTCTGCACTGGGTGTCGTTGTCGAGCATGCCGATAACGTTGGGCCGAGAGGACCTGTGGCAGTGCAAAACCACCTCGGGTTAGCTATAGCCAATGGCGACGCGTGTCGACCAAGTACGTTGACTAGGGAGACTTTCCGCGTATGTCATTGGTGTATTGACTACCGCTGCAACATATACGCATTATATACGCCTCTACATGAAGAAACTTCACTCCGCGTGAGACTGGCCTTATAATTCAGACGTGCTCGTATTGACTGCCGCAGACTCACTCTTGAACGTCTACAGCACATCACATCTACATTCATTGCACTGCTCCCTTCTACGAACTCACCATGCCTTCACTCACAAGTGTTTTAAAGCATCTGCAGGTAAAGCTGAACCCCGTCATGAACTCGCCCAGGCTCGCCGTCATGGCTTGACTTCTTCAGAAGAAGGCATCCCCTCCGAAGAGATCCCCTGGCGACAGCTCTATTATGGATGCTTCTGAAAACAATGAGGTACTCGTCGAATTGTACAGCTACACGAACATTGATACCACCCCTTTTTCCAAGCTTGAACCACTCATCGTTGACCTCGCCCCGCAGGGTATTACTCGCGACGACCCCATCATTATCGCAGAAGGAGAGCCCTCTCGAGGCTCTACCTGCTGCCCCCACCCTGATACCCTCTTCAGATTTTGCCTGTGACTTATTCACTGCTACTTCCATGGTTGACTTCGTTACCCAAGGCCTTACTCACAACGACCCTATATTCGTTACAGATGGAGAAGACCTCGTTCCCTCCCGCAGCTGCGCCGCCATCCCCACTTCTGCACGAAGCCAGAGTCTGAACCATTCCTCGCTCCTTTCATTGTTGACTTCAACCCCAAAGGCCTTACTATTCCCCTGGAGCGAAGGCCATGTCCGCTCGCGCTTCCGCCACTACTGCATACAAGCCCAGTCATTGGTCACCTTGGGACTGCGAAAGGATTGCGGTGCTTGCGTGCCAAGGGTTCCCGGAGACTATGCTCGAGATCGCGTCGCAGCCCGAGGTTAAGGCACAGCCCGAGGGCAAGACGCTCCGGCCGATGAAGCCCCTGCCCGAGAGGAAGGCGAGAAGTACCCCACTCGAGACCGGAGTGCAGGGGGCAAAGGTGTCGAACACGAAGACCGACGTGCATGTGATGGAGTCAGCCACCGAGAAGTTCGAGGAGGATCGCAGAACGGAGGTGCTCGTGACTGCTCTGCGCGAGGAGGAGAAGGCCGCCGCCCGCGGCATTATCATGCTCGTCTCGCGTGTCGCGCAAATGCAAGCTGTGTGAAGGCTAAGGAGCAAGCAGCGACTATCGCGTCACAGGCGGAGGAGATTGAGCGGCTGCGGGTGCTGTTCAGGGTGGCGGGTGTGGTATGCAAGCGGAAGAGCGAAAGTATAGCAAGGATGGAGAACGATGCAGGGTTTGCTAGCGTAGGGGGGGGGGGGAGCCGCGAGTGGAAGGGTGAGGGGCCAGGGGTTGGTGAGAGAGGAGGACGACCTACGGGGTACGAAGGATGAAGGATAGCAGTTGAAAAGGTTCTCCACGGCCGGAAGAATTCGCTGGGCCCGTGCTCATCCACGAGGATCTCCACCATCTACGACTGGCGTCAACGATACGGACGTATACCCGACCGTTGCTCTCTGGTTCACTTCCCAGTGATATATGTCCTTTTGCGAATGGTAAGTCTGGCGCTTCGCTCCTTGATGTGTCGACACTGATCTACCCTGTCACTAACCACGCACTGCAGTCCCTCGTTCTCTTTGTCCAAGCGCGTCTATCAGGCGCCATCAGTCGATCATTACGGAGCCGTCGTTCGCATAGCTAAACCAAGCCAGACGTCAGCGCAGCCAACCTCCCTCAGCCTGTCGACACCAGCGGTAAGTAGGTGGTACAGAGCCTGATCAACTCATCGTATCGGGTGTGATCAGCCCGCACCGTTCCTCAAGCCTCATACCACTGATTGGCGTTCTTCAACATCTGGTAACTCCAGCTGCTTTCTGGGTGGCATCCACAATTTCTAGGACTGTCCCTCAGTGTTTCCTACACACCTCGAGCATGGTGCGACGAGTCGCAAAGCGGAAATATCTGACAATGGACTGGTAGCGTGGACGGGCAGGCAGGTGGCTGCTGGGAAGGGCGGAGAGCAGAGAGGTAGGCAGTTTCGGAGATCTAGAAGGGCGTAGTGGTGTCGTGGACATGTTATCATTTCACTTAGGGTTTTGGGTATTACTGGCTATGCATTGACTACATGGAAAACAATGACAATCTGTTAGCCCCTGGCTGCGCCATGGTTTCACCAGGGTTTCACTACCAGAACGGTACCGGTCACCAAGATACGATGTCAGCTTCCTCGGCCTCCTTTTGGTGTCTACATTTCCAATGGAGGAATCAGTTCAATACCACTAGTAACCGGCGACCTGTACGTACTTTGTCCTTATGTGATGCACAATTACTTCCTTGCTGCCGTAGTTTCTACCCACCGAGCGTGGACAGATACCGCATAGCCACGGCGCGTTGCTGTTATCAAAGGGCAGGTGGCCGAGGGTGCCACTCACCACAGGCCCCTGAACGACTTCGTCGCGCAAGACGAAGATATGCTCGTCTCCTTCCAGATCGTGGTCGTTTACGAAGGTCGCGTGCTGTTCTGTGCATCCAGGATGGATAGCAAGGTAGTCTAGGACGTTCTGGTACCACCGATTTGATTCGAGGATGTGGTTCACCTATCGCGGCATGAGTACGAGACCTGCATAAAGGGCAATGACTACTCACAAGTGCACCAAAGCTCATCGGCTGCAGGAGCCCCGGGTTCCTGCACAGGCACTCCAGCCGTCCGCGCAGCCCCTCGAGCATACTCTGGGAGCTATCCTCCGGCAACCCCAGGATGCGGAGCACTTTCAATGCGATATCGACAGTCTGCTCCTTGCAATAGGCGAGCGCAGGCACCAGCAAGCCGTCCTCGCGGGCAGTCCAGGCGTACTGCACATGTGGGTGCAGCTGGATCTCTGGGAATCTGCAGAGCTCGTGGCAACCCACTACAGGGCAAGCGTAAAGAGCTTGGGGACTAGACAGGAACGCCTCGTCAAGCTGAAGAGAGGACGGAGCCGCGCCCCAGCCAGGCTGCTCGCTCGTAAAGACTTGGGATAGGTACTGTTTCCTGATCTCGGGCTCAGCTTTCTTGGCGGACGTCATGAACTCGTCCTGGATCGAAGACCAGCGCTCCTCCGTGACGGGAATGGTGCATCCTTGTTCGTCAATGAAGGACACCACTGGCTCCAACTCGACTGCTCTGCCGAAATCGGGCATCCGAGCTGCCTTGGCGTCGTCCAGGTCATGTAAGAATGCCATGTAGATTGCAAAGAACTCCTTCTTTCTGATGCAGCGGAGCCGCCGGCGCTCCTCCTCCGCGTGTACTTCCTTCACCTCTTCAATGCACGAGAGGAGTTTTGGCAGTACCGCGCTCCAGACTGTATAGCATTGAGTATGTATGTAGTTCCTGTTGAGGAGAAAGACACGTACTTCTGGGCGTCAGTTCGCGAGGCTGATCCAATACCTTTGTCCAGGTTCCGTAACAAGGATATCGGTAGGACGTAGGCCATGTACGTGGGCCATGTCCCAGCTCGATTAGTTTGGCCTTGATACTAAATCCAATAGTCAGGAGGGAGCCGATCGATGAAACGGAGGTGCACGAACCTCTGCTGACGGCGCCGCTGCTTCAAAGATTCTTCGGCGGCCTGTTCATATCTTGCTTGTTGCTTCCATTCATTGATTTCGAAACCATGCTACAACAGAGATCAGAGGCATATCTTACAAATAAAACTCTGATCAGACCTTCATGATTGCCTCTGTCGAGTCCCGCCTGTCTTGTATATATTTCACGCGACTCTCAGTGTCACGCGCGCCGAAGGAGAGGTACTTCTGCACAACTTCTTCGAACTCGGCCTTATGGTAGTGTAGCTTACCGTTGTTCGCATAGGAACCACTCCAGGACATCGAAGAGTCGGGGTCTTGGTAGTATCCGTCTGGACAGAGGATCATCATACTTACTGACTGCACATAAGCGAAGCACGCACTGGTTGCGCAGGGTAGAAGGGTGTAGACTACATCGTCGATCGCCTTACCGTATGTCTTTGCCATGGTAGCCCCTTTCTTGACACTGGTGGGCATTGTTAGGAGGAGCTCACTTGGTAGCGAGGACGTACGGACTTCCATCTATAGCAACGTTTACAATACCTGACTCGCAAGACATAGTCGATCATCTTTGACGGGCTAGACCCGCATTCCTATATATGCATATCAGGATCTAGCCCTATTGTGCAAGCGTTTCGAGTTACCATGCAATTGTGCTCGAACAGCAAATTGGCGTAGCGAGGCTCGCTGAGGTCGGCAGGACAATCAGGGCAGCCAGGGAAGTTATTTTGCCTGGACGCGGCCCATATATGCTTTGCGCTGCGAGACATGAGCTCCGCACGAAACGCTTTCGAGACTCTGGAGAGTTGCAGAAGATCCAGGGGCGCAAGTTGAGACAGTATCTACAACGCGTACAACGTGTGTCAGATCAATGGAAGACGAAGGGATCAACACCAAAGGAATGAACCTCAAAGAAGATGTCCATTGGCACATCGAGGAGATACGCTAGTTTCCCGGTTCTGCTCTTACCCCGTCCTTTGTTCTTGCCATCCGACGGACGATTTTTTGTCCGCTTATAATGTGGGGCAGAAGCTGAGCCTAATGAGGAAAACCGTCGTTCTCAATGCATACATTATACGACTGCGCTGCTCTCTAGCGAGGCTGGCGCCTAACGAACACTCACCCGACGACACCGCCTCTTCGTCTGCCTTACCAGACTCTACGTTCATTAGTAGCCCTCGAGGCATAGTGGCAACCGGAGTATCCAGGTGACGGCGAGCGAGACGACGTGACTCGCTGCCGAGGCGCCCACAAGCATAGCAATGTTTAGGGCCGGTTTACTCATCACAGCACATTGCTGGCGATTCTCTTAATATTACTTGGAATAATATGAACGTACGAGTACGAGTGGTGAATTCACAGATGCGAAAAACTTCTTTTCTGCGTTCCTGGTATTTTTGTTAGGCCATAGATGAACGCCACAGACGCGTACGACGCGGATGCCACGTGACACGCACTCTATATCACATGCTAGGTCAACGAACTACTTGCGCCACAGTGAAACTGGCATATAAAGACTCTTGCAACAACGTTAGATAAACGAACCTCTTGCTATTTGCTTTCGTCTTCGAAATAACTAGACTCGACATGGATCTCGACCTGGATGCGCCGAAGTCGAAACTAAAGAACAAGAACAAAGTGACCAAATTTCCGGTGGTGAGTAGCCACTGTTCAGTCTATGCCCGTGGTCGATGTCGCGTGGAGTGCGATACTTTCGTGTTGCCTTGAACGGGGAGATATGTTCTTCTTCAACTGGAATGTCCGCGCTCGGTGTCTGACGATGAACCCCTCACCAGGCGCGAATCAAGCGCATTATGCAGAAGGACGAGGAAGTAGGCAAAGTTGCGCAAGCCACGCCCATTGTCATTTGTAAGTCCGCATCGCATCTTCCAGCGTTACGATTCGGACAGGTATATGTATTGATTAGCTCCTTAAACCCCCTTCTGCCCGGACGGCGTTCCCCCGATCTCCAGCGAAAGCCCTCGAACTCTTCCTCGCGCTCATCGTCGAAGAGGCGCACAAAGTGACCGCTGAGCGGGGATCGAAGAAGGTCGAAGCGTACCACCTGTGCGTCCTCCTCATCCCTCCTGTTCGTCAGTCATTAACAGTCCTCTCACCGTATTCCTGGCTCAGGAAACATGCCGTCGAGCGCACCGACATGCTCGACTTCCTGAAAGAGATTGTCGAGTCCGTGCCGGACCCCTCCGCCGGCGGCACCGTCGACGTCGACGCCGAAAACGGGCGCGGTGAAGGTGGCAAGAAGAAGCGCGGCAAGGCGAAGGCGAAGGACGAGGAGGGCGAGGGCGCGCCCAAGAAGCGCCGCAGGAGAAAGCCCAAGCAGGAGAAAGAACAGGAGGAAGAACACGCTGGTGCTGGGATGGAGGCCGAGGCGGAAGAGGGGGTGAATGACGAGGCGGAGTACGAGCGGGAGAAGGAGGAACCTGCGGATGATGGATGGGGTGATGAGGATAAGCCGTACATGCCCCGATGAGGGACTTACGACCGTGCATCTTGGTAATGTAACGAGTGAAACTTGGTTGGTTGTTGTATTCTATCTTTGCTCACCTCAAATTGACAACCCGAAGACACGTCGAATCTGAAACCGGGACATGATACGTACGTCGATTGAGATAACGGACCGTTGGGCGTGCTGTACCCTCCCTGTGAGTCATTATAACGGAGACCGAGTGAGTTGACAATGCTCTATAATCATGCTGCCTAGCCTATAAACGTTCCTATAACCGTACTAATTCCCAGACATAATACCCCAAGTGAAAATCATAACATGGTCGCGTCACCATTCCATGAACCCCAATTCATGTTCTCCATAACCTCATACCCACTACTGCTGTAAGTCCCGGAGCGTCCCCAGCCCGCGGCCTCCGTGGCTGCCCATCGGCGTCATAGTCCACGCTACCACTCGCAGTGCTGTCGTCGCCGCCTCGCCTTGCCGTAACCGTCGAACAGCGCCCAAAGCAACACTTCAGACCAGCCGTCCATTTTGAAGAAACCAACCCAGATGAAGACCATAAGAAGCCGAAAGATGGCCTCCCTAGCGCAGCGGCGTAAGACACGAAGAACGACGGGGTTGATCAGGCCCGGTACGAGTTGATCAGACTCGATTATATGTCTTCACCGCTGTGCGTTGTCGTTGGGTTTGCTGGTTAGATATCTTCACCGCTCGTGATGGCTAATTGAGCAGAAAGCTAGCTCTTGGCTGACGGTCGAACGACAGCAGATAGGTGCGAATATCGGCCTGGCCTGGAAGCGTGCACAGTGGATGTCCTCATAAGTGAGCATGGGCCCGGTGGAATTCCGCCGGCCGTGGAGAACCTCCTCGTCAGGTGTCCTTCGTCTTCGGTCTCTTCATCCCTATATCTCCTCTCCCCCACCTCCCTGAAATCCTGAAACTCCTCTACAGCACCCGCGAGACTGGAAGGCTTGGCGGCGGTCGGCGCTAGCTGACAACAGTCGGGCGATAGACGCTGTCGCTAATCAGCTACTCAAAGGACCTGACTATAGCCTAACGCAAGGGCGGATCAGTGTCACAACACGTAAAGAGCAAAGGAAGAGACTGACCATTCGCAGAAGGACATAGGTGAGCCGAGGCGAGCAGGAGAGCGACGGCGGGTGATTGTCAGTATCGTCGACGCTCGTCGGTGACGATGGAAGTCCTCGTGAATGAGCATGGGCCCGGTGGAATTCCGCCGGCCATGGAGAACCCCCTCGTCTGCTATCCTTCGTCCTCAGTCCTTGGCCCGGTCTTCGCCCCCCCTCCGCCTCTCCTTTCCTGTCTATCCCCCCTCCCCCCACACCCTCCTCCCACACCTCTACGCCACAACCTCCAGCCTCGCCTTCAACTCGCGAATCTCCCTCTCCATCCCCTCAATCTCCTCGCTCTTCCTCGCGCACACCGCGCCGGCGGCCCTGAACTGCAACCGGAGCCCTTCGATCTCCTTCGCCTGTGCCTCGATCTCCTTCGCCTGTGCCTCGACCGTTGCGGCCTGCTCCTTAACCTTCCCCCGACTCGCGCGCGCCTCCGCCTGCATCTTCACGACATGCGAGATGAGCATAATGACCTGGCGGGCAGGATTCTTATCATCGCACGATAGGTTCAAGTTCTCGAACTGCTCCTTCTTCTCCATGGTGGCTGACTCCACGAGCGCATCGGTATTCGCGCTCGCGACCTCCTTCGAGCCCTCGAGTGGGATGTTGCTCGCCTTCCTCTCGGGCACGAGTTTCATCGAGCGGATCGTCTTGGTCTCAATCTCGGGTTCGGGGAGCGCCTTGACCTCAGGCTTGCGCTCATAATGCTTCGGCGACCAGCGCCTGGGCTTGAACGCAAGTGGGATGGCGGGGCGCTCCGGCACGCGTTTCGCGCCAGAGAAAGTAAGGCCCTGCGCGGCGAGCTCGACGATGAAGGGAGCGGGGGAGTCCTCGGGCATAGGAGAGGGTGTGGGACTGGGGACGGCGGTGGAACTGCGGGAGGGGGCGAGGACCACTTCCTCTATAATAATAATCGGGTCGTCTCTAGTAGACCCCATCTGAGAGGGTGTGTCCTTGGAGATGTAAGAGATGGCCATGGGCTTGGGCGTCTCGACGGTAGGCTTGGAAGGTCTCAGCTTGGCCTGGAGGCGTTTGAAGACTTTCTTGAAAGAAGGCATCTCGAAGTGTTATGGACTGAAGTGGATATGGAGTGGATGACGATGTAGAACGTGAATGTAGTGCACTCGAATAACCAGTGAAGGTGGATGCAGAGGAATGAGTTGTGATGAAGGACGTACGACTTGAGAGCCCCCTTTTATCTTCCGTGAAACTGGGCGGCTGACTTGGGGCTGGCATCCATTGCGAATGTCAACCAGCAGCGGCGTCAGCCTCTCAGGCTGACGACGCCAGTCCGATTAGACGTAGTCAGCCACCGGAGCGGCAGTATCCTCTGTGCTGTAAATCCGTTCGGACGTGCAAGGGATCTTCATAGGCTCAATTATTCGTAATGCTCGCATATAGATTCAAGTTAATCATAATGGATTTCGACTCACAAGAAGCGTAGCCAGTCGTCATCGAGAACAACTATCAACACGGATGTCAGACGCATGTATGTATACTTCTGATAGCCAAGTCAGTGCCTGAAGAGAATTTATGAAGTCCATACAGCCAAAAGCAGGGAGAGCAAGACTAGAGAAGACAATCGAACGAAGTAGTACAGTATGTAGCAGACGTCGATACGCGTCGTGATTGGCGGGGTGAGGTCGACGATGAGTGGTTCAAGCTTGGAAAAGGGGGTGGTATCAACGTTCGTGTAGCTGTACAATTCGACGAGTAGCTCATTGTTTTCAGAAGCATCCAATATAGAGCTGTCGCCAGGGGATCTCGTCGCAGCGGGTGCCTTCTCCTGAAGAAGTTGAGCCATGACGGCGAGCCTGGGGGAGTTCATGACGGGTTCAGCTTTGCCTGGAGATGCTTGAAAATACTTGTGAGTGAAGGCATGGTGAGTTCGTAGAAGGGAGCAGTGCAACGAATGTAGATGTGATGTGCTGTAGACGTTCAAGAGTGAGTCTGCGGCAGTCAATACAAGCACGTCTGAATTATAAGGCCAGTGTCAAGCGGAGTGAAATTTCTTCATGTAGAGGCGTATATAATGCGTATATGTTGCAGCGGTAGGCAATACATCAATGACATACGCGGAAAAGTCTCCCTAGTCAGCGTACTTGGTCGACACGCGTCGCCATTGGCTATACCTAACCCGAGGTGGTTTTGCACTGCCACAGGTCCTCTCGGCTCAACTCGGACAACGACATCCAGAGCAGACGGCGATTTATTCCTAGGTACTCCATCAGTTTCGACTGAAAGGCTGAAGCGTGCAATTAGCATCACTAAAAACAGTTCACACAAATATCATCATTGAATATTCCAATCAAGCAGAGCATACACAACATAGCGACGGACGGACAGCGTACATAGCAAAGACGTCAGATTACGAGATATTCCACGAATGCAAAGATATGAACGGAGATATTGCACAAGAAGACAATTCAGCTATCAGACCCTGTGCTTCGCAGCCTCTTGCTTGGTCCAAGGTCCCTTTGGGAGCCGGATTGTGTCTTCCAGGAGGAAGATTGCCTTCTCTGAACCTTTGTCACTGAGGGGGAGAGCTCCTCCTGAGTTCCGAGCGAAGTGTTCGAAAACAGCGGACTGGGCGGGAAACTGAGGTTGGTAAAATCGCGACGCCCTCCCTCCCTGGACGAGGGGTAGATGCCATGCTCAGTGTAGCTGTCGTGACCCTCCTCGCTTTCCTTGTGTGTCCTCTTACGCCTAGGCGCGCCGTCGCTTGCGACCTCCGTCCTCGAGCGCACAGGAGTAGTGGGACCGGATAGGGGGATCTGGGAGCTACCCTCGTCATATCTGCTGGGGTTGCCAAGGGGTTCCACATGTTCTTGTCTGTGTGCTTCATCTTCCACAGGTTCCGGGACTGCGGCGTCTTCTTCATCCTCGAGATAGGTTCCAGTGCGATACTGCTGCACTGCGCTCATTTGAAGATCGGACCGGCTCCGAGAATCGAGCACGGTGAGCGGAAGCTCCTGTTCCGGTAAGCTCCTATAAGTTTCTTCGAGAACGGCAACAACAGCGTCGTGTGTGGACTCGTCGTCCACGAAGAGGACCTTGCGCCACTTACTCAGGCATGGCTTCAGGTCTTCAAAGTAAGGAGCAAATTCGTCAAGGGTGTCTGGCCAATTAGTCCTCCCCTCAACGCAGCCGGACTTGTTCCTCCCCACCTGCTTGAAACTGCCATAGGTCCAGTCCTTCAATAGCGTCTCTGAAAACAAGATCTTCCGTTCGGAGTTGTTCGGGCCGTCGTAGAGGATACAGATCCAAATGAGGACGTAGAACCATGACTCTAGGTCCCACTCGGGCCTATGCATCAATGTGCCGTCGGACTTCAGCAAGGCCAGTGCCATGAATGGCGTAGTGCCCTGAAAGACTGTTAGCATACGCGAGTGAGTCCCTTGGATCGACGGCTACTCACAGTCCGCTCCGCCTGGCCCACTTTCCGCTCCTGACCTGCCGACACACCACCTCTGGGATACCGCATTGCATAATCCAAATCAATAAGGAGTCCTCGACGACGACCATTCGCGTCCCTGGAGGCGACCAGCATGATGTTGTTGACGCTGATATCCCGATGGAGTATCTCTGCCTCCTCGAGGAGTGCTTTGTGGGCTGCGGGAGAAGATTAGCATGAGCCCTGCGCTGAAGCAGATGATTCGAGTGACTTGCCTTTGATTGTATCGATGAAAGCACCTATCAACTCTTTCTTGGTTTCGAAGAACGTGATGGGTATCGCATATGGCTCCAGCACCAAGCGTCGATGCATCCGGCATTCGGCGTGGAGGGACGGATCACGCGATCGCTTTGCTGAGGCGGGTCGCACCCGGTCGGTCGAGTCGTTCTGGCCTTGAGAAGCGACTATTTCTTCATCAACTAGATGGCACACGCCCTCCACGCCCCGCGCCGCTTTTAAAAATTCAGCCTCGGTCGTCGCGCGGGTAACGTCCGTCCAATAGTCTTTGATAGCGTACGTGGTCCCGTCACGGGTCGCCCGCCAACATGATGTTCCGCGTCCTCGAATAGAATGGCTGTGATAGACCCACTCTTCGATCTCGTACTCCTTCTTTGCCACAGTCACACATCGACGACCATCTGTCATTGTCGTGATAGTAGCGTCGTACCCAAGGTATTCCTTGCTCGCGAACATAAATGCCGTCAGGATCCGCAAGAAAACGCGAGGATGGGCGTTGATGTCGAATGGCTTGGAGGACACCTCGCCGGCGCGATCGATGATGTGCAGAATAATGTCGTACCCCAGGATTGACAGCGATGGAACGAACCTGCGACCGTACTGAGACTCGTAGATGAGGCGTACACCTTCTGCCACACATCGGCCAGCATCCCTTTTGTTTTTGGGTTTGGCATTGTTCTTCAGCTCCCAATGCGATATGACTGTCTCCCAAGCTTGTCGCTCTTCGCCTGAGTCGAATATGAGGACGTCGGGTCGGCGTTTGAATCCAGGTCCTCCCGGGAGATGGGTTTTGTTTGATGCATAGGCGCCTGTGGCGATTCGGTCGCAAGGTTGGTCCACGATCTCCGCAATCCGCTGGGTGACCTTCATGAGAAATCTGGCCAACGCTTCTTCTTGATCTCCGTTATCTGATTCCCTCGTTAGCTGAGGGCACTTGAACCATCTTTTCGCCCGAGGGAAATAGAGACGATCCTTTCCAGTGGCCAGCCCCTTGTAAATATCGTCGACGGGTGCAGGAAGGACAGTGTCGGGGAAAATATGTTCAATGAGTAAATCTCTGTTCTGGGATTTGTGACCTTCGAGTTCTCTGTCAATTTTGTCCTTCATCGCTTCAACGTTGAACTCAAGCGGTGCCGCAGAGTGTGGTTGAGTGCTCAGCTTGATACCGTAGGGCGTATTATTCGGCGGAGGGTCGGTGTTCACTTTCCGGATGTCCGGGCGTTGGCTATGCGCCATGCGGGGAAACGTGAGTGAGGGTAGAAGAGATGCCAGAAGGAAGCACGCACCTCGAGCTTCGGCTTATATAGGTTGTTTGTTTGGACTGAAGAAGCTATGCACGAAATCAACATCGATCAAATCCACCAAAACATGTACAAACCGTAGTAGGTGCCGGTCAGCAATGGACGAAGAGAGAATAAGGGCTGCACAGCAACAGTACACGTGGACGATAACCACCTCGTGTGCAGGCAGTTTGGGATTTGAGAAGTAAGAGAAAGGGGTTACCCAACGGCAGGGGATCTGCGGGAGATCACAGCTTGATTGTACGGGCGCGTCAGAATGAGTTGTGGCGCAAACGCGTTCGTCGCGTATGTCACAGCTAATGCGTGACCATTGTCCTGTGTGACAACCGTTCCCCTCGCCATGCCTCCTCCAGGTGTTTGGTTGCACAGCCACATTTAACTCAGCTACATCTACATCCTCCTCGTCCCACATGTTGAATATTCTTTGTAAATGCTTCGCGGTTCCAGCTGCACAGGTGACCTCTTCATCTTTGAGAGGGATGCAAGTACTGTGATAGGAGGATACATAGTACTCCGCCGGGTAGCGCCCTCCAGCCTCGACAGCATCACTCAACTCTCCTAGGTCTCCGGTGGACAACTCGATCTCTGCAGCCTTGGCATTTTCCTGTAGTACTGGTCGACTCACATCCCTCGTCCCTGGGATGGGGACAATGTCCGGATATTCTGTGAACATCCGGGGAAGCGCCGTCTGACGCGGCGTCTCACCGTACTGGTCACCTGTAAGTAGCTCTGAGCTTCTCAACTCCTGAACAAATTCTCGTCCGATAATTCGGGCATTCTGTGACTTAGTAGTCTGGAGCGGGCTCTTTGCGAGATCTATACTTCAAAGTCAAAGGTGGTGTGCTCTACAAAGTCGAGACATTGCCACTTCGACATACCTCCCCGTGATAAGCCCTTCATCGCATCGCTAGCGCTGCCTCACCGGCATTCTGATAGCCCGACGTTCTAATAGCTTCACGTACCTCTACCAAGGGGAGAATATGCCACAATCCCCACGCCGAGCTCTTGTGTCGCAGCAGGGCATCCAGACTCGATAACCTCCGGGTCAAATGGATTGACTACTATCTGGACGGCAATTATATACTTGATCTTACCTGATTCGACACGTGGGCGGAGGGACTCCACCACGAGTTCTCCGCTGAACAGACGAGCAGCGCCAGAGGATGAGAGTCGACTACTCAACTCACCATCGATGGGCACCCCAGGATCCACTCGTGCTGGTGATACAAATCGATATAATCCGTGCGACGCGAATTGTCCAATTGTCGTTTGATGTATGACGGCATGCTGTTCTGTACGGGTTCTCCGCCCCAGGAGTCTGGTCGACCGCGCCGAACTTGGTCGCCAGGAAAATATCCGACTGCCTTCCGGTGGTCGTGAACCATTTGCGGATCGTCTCGCCTGTCATCCCCCTGAATCCTGCGCCGTCAGTGGGAGAGACAAGCCATATCCTCTATGATACCGTATGCCCCAGAAGGTAATACCCCCGTCGGCGGTGTAGGTCAGCGTGCCGAGGCATTGCCTTTCATCGGCTATCCCGTAGTACGTGCCGATGCCTGCATGCCTGTTCAATGTATGAAGACCGGCATATAAATATGAGCGGACTCACCCATCGCCCCATAGCTCAAGGCGCTGACCGATGGCCCATTCGCATCCAGTTTGCGTGTGAGATAGGAACAGGGGGTCATGTTGACTCAAGCGTAGCCCACGCTTTTGAACGGCGGGGAATAACGAGTCCGTGTCTGGTCGCTACACATAAGATTTCCTGTGACTGCTACCGTACAATCGGCCAAGTCGGGGCGGGCTATCGCGGTCAGCAATACTGGACGAGATGCGCCTGACGTGCGATCTCTTGTCGGAAAATCACCAGCCGATAGCACAAAGCTTGATGATAAAATCCTGGCTACGAACCAATCTCATCATCGCACGCAGCCCCAGTAACGACCTCGAAGCTCAACATTCTCATCGCCGGGTGCAAAGAGAGCAGAGGATAATATCCGCGTAAGTCGACGCACCGAAGTCATGAGCAGCGAGCACGCATGAGACTGAGAGGTCCACGACCAGTGAAGGATGTGGATCAGACAAGCTCTACTTCTCCCCGCGCGAGTAACTGTTCTACAACATAGTAAGGTGTAAGCGATATCTGTCCCTTTTCCATCTCCGAGGTGCTTCCGCTGCCGGGAAATACGTGAGTAAGCTAGGAATTGTAGGTGTATGGTGCAACGTACTCTGGCAATCGCACTGGCGGGCAATTTGTTCGGGCCATCGCAAATACAGCCCGCGTCTTGTCAGGTTCGGGGACTGATGTCGAATCAGAATCGACGATGCAGACAGCAAGGCGTTGATGGACACGTACTCATGGGAGGCATGAAGGCCGTTTCATCTGCCAAGCCTCTCTGTTCCTCTGGTAAGCTCTGTAGTACCGTCCTGTGGAAGTGGGACTCCACAAGATGGGCGTATCTGAGTAAACAGATACATATGAGAACATGGTGCGTTGAAAGGGAATGATGACACGCACCTCCGTGCATGCTGAAGCTCAGTTTCTGACAGTCGCTCCTGTACCTCTGGTGTGGCCACGATATATCTCGCGTATTTCTCAATCTGGACGACGACACGACCTCTGTTATCACCATTACAATATGTGGAAATCAACAAGATTAGAGATGACGAAACTCATACCTTGTATAATCGTGTCCGTACATACGATCGCACGATGAACTTGACGCGTTCGATCTCCGTCTGGGCAAGCATTATCCGAAAGTGCTCCTCCTCGGACGAGTCAGGGTCCGCTCTCAGCAACTGCACGGTGTCATTCTACTCCAGCCATCCATAAGCCCTCCTCAGACCACCCTCATCACATACAAAATCCGTACTACTCACCTGTTTCCTGATATGATCCAGCAGTCTCCCCAGCAACACACTCTGCGCAGGCAGAATGTCCGGCGCGTGCCGCTCGTTCATCCAGTGCCGCGTGAGCTCCTGCAGCTTCGTCTCCTCGCCCGCTTGCAACTCGAACTGCACGGGCGGACCCCGCGCGTCCAGCATATCCTCGTCCTCGTCCGGCGCATTGCGCAGGCGGCTCACGAATGAAGGGCCGGCCTGACCGATGACGAGGGGCTCGTCGAGGGACTCGTCCAGCCAGGACATTCTGGGACGATGTGAAGGAGACCTAAAGGAGACCGAGAGGTCTGTGGCCTGCGAGCGCGGTGCAGCTGAGACGATGAGAATACCACGCGTCCGCGACAGGTCCAATTGCAAGAAGTGGATCGGTAACGCGTATTGACCGGCCCTCAGCAAACCATACTCTGGCTGGCGAGTGAGATAAACTGAGTATGATATATAACTAAAGCACTGCTTGTTATCATGCATTAATGGGGTAGTGGTAACCTGGGTCGTTGCCATTCTCGGGCTTGTCCGAAGCTCGACCCGCCGGGGGTTCGATTCCCCCTTAATGCAGAACATCTTATACAGGGTTTCTTTTTGGATGTTTCGGGGAAGCTTATCTCAATCCAGGTTTGCCCTCAGCTCATTCAGCACTGTAAGGTTATAAGCAGGAGCTGGCGAGTAAAGAAAGGGCCCGAGAATAAGGCATAACCCATGGAAGACACGGACCCGTCAATTCATACAAGTACACTTGGCCTACTTCTTCACCTACAAATCAGCTCTGGCCTCCTCACCAGCCCACGCCCTCCTAATCAGCTCCCTGATCTTCTCCTTCTCGACGGGGCGCGGGTTATAATACGGATTACTAACCGCAATCTCCGCAGCCCTATCAATATCCTCCTCCTTCATGCCATACTCCCTCAGGCCCCTCTTGACCTTGAGCTTCGCGAGTAGGACATTGACCCCCTTAACCGCGTCGCCCCCGCCGAACGCCGCGCCGAGGCGCTCCATAACATCGGGGATGGCGGGCGCGTTGTACGCGAGCGCGTGCGGGAGCACGATGGTGTGCGTCTCCGCGTGCGGGAGGTTGAACGACCCGCCGAGGGCGTGGCAGAGCTTGTGGTGCAGCGCCATGCCGACGCTGCCAAGGCACGTCCCGCAGAGCCAGGCGCCGTAGAGCGCTTTCTGGCGCGCGGGCACGGAGAGGGGATCCTCGACAATCGCGGGGAGGGAGGAGGTCAGCGCGGAGATGCCCTCGAGGGCGAGGAGGGAGATGATGGGGTTCGTGTTCTTCGCGTAGAGCGCCTCGACTATGGTAAATGTCAGTTTATGTGGTAGCACCGGATAGTACGCACATACCTGCGTGGGCGATGGCGTTGACGCCGCTGGTCGCACTCAGCCCCGCGGGGAGGGACATAGTGAGGTCCACATCGTATATGACCGTGCCGGGCAGGATCTTCGGGTCCGTCCTCGTCGTCTTCCTCCCGTCCGCCGTCTCGCCCAGGATGGGCGTCATCTCGCTCCCGGCGTACGTCGTCGGGATGCAGACGTGCGGGAGCCCCGTGCGCACGCTGATCGCCTTGCCGAGGCCGATGGTGCTCCCCCCGCCGATGGACACGACGCAGTCCGCGCCGGCCTCCTTAGCATATGCGAGCGCCTTCTCCGTTACGCTCGTGGGCGTGTGCATCGTCGCCTCTGTGAAAAGGCCTGCGATCTTGCCGGCGAGCACATCCTTGAGCGCGTTCGCCTGGTCGACCTGCTGCGGGGTGGAGAGCAGGAGCGGCGCGGAGAGCTTGAGGCGGGCGAGCTCGTCGGGCAGGCGCTGGAGGGTGCCGTTGCCGAAGATGACGCGCGCGGGGTTGGCGTTGTACTCGAAGGTGTCCATGTTCGTCGCCCAAAGTAATCAGATAATGAGAGCACTGCGCATCTCGAGGACACTTATCCGAATTATCATTCGAGTCGACGTTCCCCGCAAGATCCGTTCACCCTGGGGCCGTGATCGACATTCAACACGTATGGTGCGGGCCAGCTACATAAATGTATGCTTTAATTTGAACTGCTTACTCACAAGTTCAAGCATTTATGGTTCCACCGTATGAAACAGATGGGAACCTTGGCACATGAATATTGCGTATGGGAGGGATATGATTGATGTTACGGATCCAGACATATCGATATCATTATAATTAACGATCATCCGTCTCGACTGGGACTCTCAGATCTGATTGGGTACCCCATTGGAATTTGGAACACCAACAGGAACTGCAACTCTGAGGTCTGTCGGCGCTCGATAGGGAATTGTAGAATGTTGGCAACGTCTTACACCAGGAAACCCATACGCTTAGCCGGGTACTCTAGCTATGGATTTCGGTAGTCATTGCCCAATCAAAAACCCGCTACATAGAAAGAGCATCACGGATATCAGTAGGGACAGATGTACTTCCACTGCTCCATTTCCACTGCCAGCTCATCCTCATATCCCGGAAGCGCACTCGTCAGGATACGCACCCACCCAGTGTACCGTTGTCGGATATAAATGCTTGTCGTCATGTCCCAATATTCTGGCATCCACGCCGCGCAGTCAAAGTCAATCAGCCCAACGGGTACGTAGTTCTCATCAACTAGGACATTGTTGGGTGCTAGGTCACCGTGCGTGAAGTACACGCGGTAGGGCTTCTTGCGGATGCGCTCCGCGAGGGCACGAATCTCCGGGTCCGCCTCGGGAGGTAGAGTGCAGAAATACTGAGCGTGGAACTCCTCCGGTGACGCGAAGGGGCCTACGTAGTTGCAATGATCTATGCGGTAACTCAGGAAGGGCGTGCCCATAAATCCGCTGACCGCCTGACCGCTGGGAGGGGGTCCTAGGCTGCGCAGCTGTGTTAGCCAATTGCGAATACTGGCCGAAAACACTTCGAGTTCCCTCTCAGTGAGTTGATTTGCGTTGCGGGGCATCTGAGGAAAGGACTTCCCCGGAACGCGTGTCATGAGGATGAATGGGCCTCTGGAGTCGACGAGAACGTCGAGAACGGAAGGTACAGGGATGCTGGTGTTGACGGAGACATACTGTGTGGCGAAGGCCTCCGTAACCGTGATAAACGGGCCGTGTTTAGCGTAGAGGCCGAATGGCAAGCGAGAGACGCGTGGCGAGGTTGTCTCGTTGCTGAAACGCATAAGGCATCGATATGCTGCGAGTCTCAACCACGACGGCATACAACGCCACACGGCCCACAGGATGCTAGATATCGAGGCCCGTCTACACAGAACCAATGGACAATCTCGGATAGGAGCAGGCGGAGACACACTTACCTGTGGTATACAAAGTCTTCCGGCTTCAGATCTTTATCCTGAAGCAAGCTCATCCTGAGCGAATAGGTTTGCGAAAAAGATAGGTGGTCCGAACGTGGATACCCCGAGCCTTCCGAAGTTCAAGTTAGTTACTTTAAATTAGTATCACTGTCTGACCTTCCAGTGGGTCGACTTTCTGGTCACCAGTCCGTTCGCAAGCTCATGCCTTCCATCATTCCGAGACCTAAAAAGGAAAGCGTGTGCATTGCGTACAGGACTGGTCGCGAGTCTAGTGTACAGGAACAATACAGGAAGTACGAAGATTGGGCAAAGGCCAAGCGGGCTCTTCACAGACTTGGGCTGAGGCTGCAGCTTGACTTCAGTCCGGGCTGTTGAATAGCGTTTATTGTCCACCATGGCCTTGTCGCTCTCGTCGACCGTTCGTCTGTCTACCGGTACGTCGTCGTCGATCGCTTTGGGCCGGACCGATCTGACCGGGAGCAGGATACGCGATGCCCCTGCTGGGCTTTGGCGTCTACCAGAATTACAACGCAAAGCCGGCTTGTCTGGAGGCGTTCAAGGCTGGATATCGGTATTGACTTTTGCTTTAACTCGAGGTGAATTGGGCTTGACGAGACGTGATTCAGGCATGTCGATTCAGCGCAGGTGTACCGGAATGAAGCGGACGTGGGCGCGGCGGTCAAGGAGAGCGGCTTGGATCGCGGAGACTTGTTCATCAGTACGTCCATGCGCGTTACGTATTGTTTTCTCTTTTTGAACACCACATATCTCCGACAGCGACCAAGTGTGCCAGCAAGACCCATGGCTATGAGAGCACACTGAAAGGCGTCGACGAATCCCTCGCACGCTTCGACTTCAGTAAGTTCGTGTGTCCAAGCAACTTACCCCCCCTCACTTACATTCGCTGCCTGCCAGACTACATCGACCTCTTCCTCATCCACGACCCCCTCTCGGGCCCGGAGAAGCGCATGGAGACCTACCGCGCCCTCCTCGAGTCGCAGAAAGCGGGCAAGATCAGGACCGTCGGCGTCTCGAACTAGTATGTCCCTCTTCATTCCCCGCTCGGGCGAGGCTGAGACGCGTCCGACCCAGCGGTGTGCGCCATCTCGAGGAGATCAAGAACGCCGGACTCCCTATGCCCGCGGTGAACCAGATCGAGGTGAGTTTATCATGTATCTCCGGGAATGGTGGTCCTGCTCTATCGACCTGCCCTTGATTTCGGTAAAAATCTACATATGCATAGACTCACGCCGGCCCACAGCTCCACCCCTTCTGCCAACAAAAGCCCATCGTCTCGTACTGCCGCGAGCACTCTATCGTCGTCCAGGCCTACTGCCCGATCATCCGCGGCAACATGCGCGACCCAGTTATCCAGGAGCTCGCGAGCAAAGTGTGTTTTATCCGCTATTACCTCATACGTCCTCCCTCCACTCACCGTTCCTATGCGTACATAGCACAACCGCGACCCCGCACAGGTCCTCCTGCGCTGGTCTCTTCAACGCGGGTAAGCAACTCTACACCTACTCGTGTATTCCTCTGGGCTGTGTCGTTGATGTTGATTGTTGAAGCTTCGTCCCGCTGCCCAAGTCCGCGACGCCCGCGCGCATCCACTCGAACGCGAAGCTGTACGATTTCGAGTTGTCGAGCGAGGACATGGGGAAGCTGGACGCGCTCGATAAGGGTAAGGACGGCGCGATTAGCTGGAACCCCGTCGACGCGCCTTAGAGTACGCTGTACAACGTTTGTAGGTAACGGGTCTGGATGGCGAGACTCCTAGTGAATAAGTGCTGTGGTGGACGATGAACTGTATGTTGTATATCATCATGTATTGTAGATAGGAAGTGAGTCTATTCGCCGATGACCCAGTCCTGACGCATGCATTGCATTATCATCCAATCGATAACGCAGGAAAGTTCAAAATACCTCCGGGCAACATATGTACGTATATACGTGCTCCCTAGCAGAGCACTGACCCTACGGACACTAATCGTCCACCTCCATCCCCGCCTCACCCTTCTCCTTCCGCCTCGCTATGCGCTCCTGCATCTTCTTCCGTGCGCCCTCCCGTGCAGGCTCCAACTTGCCCGCCTTCGCCATCGCGACCAGCAGCGCGTGGATGAGGCCAAGGTGGTTATGCCGCCGTAGCGAATTTTCGAACTAAGCAGAGACGCGTTACTTGAGTTCGATGTTACGTGGAAAGCGACAGCAACAGATAACGTACCGCCCAGCGCTCTCGCTTCGAGTTTTCGTTCGCGAGCTTGACGATGAGCTCGGCGGCCTCGGAGTCGTTCCCCCGCCCAGCTTCTTGCAGCTCCTTTAGCCGCGCCTGGAGCGAGGGTAATGGATCGTCGCGGAGCGCGAGGAGCGAAAACTCAAGCTGTCAGACGAGCGTGGTGAGACGCGCAAGCCAGTGAGACTCGACACATAGAATCTCACCGAGCCCGGCGGGTACGTCGCTATCCGTGCTTCCACAACCTCCCTAGCCATCCCTTCACAACCCGCCACGCACCAGTCAAAGCAACACATACCTCGCTTTCGCAATCCACCCCTCGCCCCCCTCCTCATACGCGCCATGCCGTATCGGGTGCCTCTTCAGCCCGTCAAACTCGTACACGCACCCCATCGCGGGCATGTACACGATGAAATGGTACGCGTCCTCGCTCGTCTTCGGCAGCCCGAGCCCGTCGAGCGAGATCGCGGACGGCGGCGTGAGCGCGTTGTGGGCTTCCCTGAGCCAGTCCGACGACGTGATCACCAGCCCGCGCGTCTGCGCGTCCATGCCCGCCGTGAACGCGAGCAGCTCCTGCAGCGGCGCGCCGGACTGCAGGGCGGGGATGTTGCCCAGGGCGTTCATCACCGCTAAGGTGGCGCATGCGTTGTTGACCACCTGGTGCGCGAAGAAGCCGGGGAAGTCGGGGTCGTACTGCGCGCCTGAGCCGGAGGACAGGGACGGGTCAGGCTCTGTGCCAGACTGGGGTAGCCATTTAAACAGGAATATCAGAGCACGAATGGGTTGAAGGGCTGCGAGGGAGTCAGGGTCGAGCGAGTAGAGGTCGTCAACGATAAGCGGCACGCCTAGTGTTTTAAGCAGTTCACTGCAGAGCGCAGAAGGGTGTTATTCGAATCACGAGGAGTAAAATAGATAACATACGTGAAGACTCCTGGATCAGACTCGGTCAAATTCCAGCCGCTTTCTTCGTCAGACATGGCGCCAGTTAGTATCGTGGACCAGAGTTCGTCGCAGAGCGAAATGAGGACGCGTAAGCTGTGGCGAATGTGCTAAGACGCGTCGGTCACGCCACCTCGCACGGGAAGACCACAGCAGTGAAAGCCAGAGACTCGAGCCTCACAGGAAAGCCACAACGGCGATCACACATCATCCATCTCACACTACGCAGATAATATATACCATCCTTGATGAAGTCATCATTTTCGTTGTAAAGAACCATGAGACAAACTAAAAGGTAGAGAATGTAAGACACAACGCATGCGAGACAAGGGTAACTGGATTGACGGGGTGATCAGAGAAGAGAGACAGGAACAGTGCGAGGGGGAGAACACCAATATGAAACAACACCAAAAGGGTTTTCCGATTAAAGGGGGTGATATGACGGAACGACAGCGAACAGAACCCGAGGAAAGCATCTACTGCTCCTCCTCGACGACCTCCTCCTCGTACTCGCCCTCCTCCTCGGCGGTAGCATCCTGGTACTGCTGGTACTCAGCTACCAGATCCTGCATGTTCGACTCCGCCTCGGTGAACTCCATCTCGTCCATACCCTCCTGGGTGTACCAATGCAAGAACGCCTTCCTCTTGAACATGGCAGTGAACTGGTCGCTGACACGTTTGAACAGCTCCTGAATAGCGGTCGAGTTGCCCAGGAAAGTGACGGCCATCTTGTAATGCCGGGGAGGGATCTCACACTGAGCAGCGAGCACATTGTTGGGAATCCACTCGACGAAGTAGGCAGAGTTCTTGTTCTGGACGTTCTGCATCTGCTCCTCGACCTCCTTCATGGAGACCTTGCCACGGAAGATGGCCGCAACAGTGAGGTAACGACCGTGTCTCGGGTCGGATGCAGCCATCATGTTCTTGGCATCGAACATCTGCTGGGTCAGCTCCGGGACGGTGACAGCGCGGTACTGCTGGCTGCCACGGGCGGTCAGGGGAGCGAAACCAGTCATGAAGAAGTGGAGACGCGGGAAAGGAACTGCGGCAGTTGTGAGTGAAACCTAGCATACAGCACATACAAGATACTCACCCATGTTGACAGCCAACTTCCGGAGATCAGAGTTGAGCTGACCGGGGAAACGCAAGCAAGTCGTGATACCAGACATGACAATAGAGACGAGGTGGTTGAGGTCACCGTACGTGGGTGTTGACAGCTTCAATGTACGGAAGCAGATGTCGTAGAGCGCCTCATTATCAATGCAGAAGGTCTCGTCGGAGTTCTCGACAAGCTGGTGCACTGACAGGGTTGCGTTGTAAGGCTGACTTCTGGATTAGCACGCGCATATAGTCACTCAGAGACAAGCATACCTCAACAACGGTATCGGAGACCTTCGGCGACGGCACAACGGAATATGTGCACATCATACGATCGGGGTACTCTTCTCTGATCTTGGAAATCAGGAGGGTACCCATGCCAGCACCGGTTCCACCTCCTAACGAGTGCGTGATCTGGAAACCTGATGGACGAAATCAATACATGCGACAAGCTGCGAGAAGGCCTTCACTCGTGGATGCATACCTTGCAGACAGTCCGTCCCCTCGGCCTCCTTCCGTACAACGTCGAGGACGGAGTCGACGAGCTCAGCTCCCTCCGTGTAGTCTGTACAATAACCACATCAGCACCATTCAGACTCCCATTGAGGATATATACGCAGTTTTCGCGCCTAAGGAGAATCACTCACGTCCTTTCGCCCAGTTGTTACCAGCTCCGCTTTGCCCGAAAACGAAGTTGTCCGGGCGGAAGAGGTTACCGAGGGGGCCCGAACGAACGGAGTCCATGGTACCAGGCTCGAGGTCAACAAGCACGGCACGAGGCACGTACTTGTTGGCACCAACCTCATTGTAGTAGACGTTGATGCGCTCGAGCTGGAGATCGTTCGTGCCCTTGTAGGTACCATCCTTGTCGATCCCGTGTTCATCCGACACAACCTCCCAGAACTTGGCACCTGCACATCATCCGCGACGTGTCACTCAGCACAAAAACTTCACGCTGCAAACACGCGACATAGTCGTACCAATTTGGTTACCGCACTGCGGAGGCGAACAGGAGCGATTAGAAAAGCTCTACCGCGCTGCGTGATCTGCACTCACTTGACCAGTTTGGAGGTGGACGATTTCACGCATGCTGTAGGTGTCGCGTCAGTCCGAGGATCGATTCAACAAAAGTGGGACGATATTGCGACGCGACATGTTCCACGCGTCTTCCGCCATTCTCGTCGGCCTTCACGGCGGAGACGCGCAGTCCATCCACGGGCAGCCCGACCAGGACACTCACATGAAGAAGGACGGAGAGCGAAAGGGGTATTAGCCGTCAAGGATGGGGATGGTTGGAACGGACGTCGAATCAAAAAAGGGCGTTCGGGTTTAGGGCAGTTAGGTCGTCGCTTAAATTCAAGCGCCGACCAATTACAACGTGGCCTAGGTGGCACCAACTTCTCCCCGTCTCCGGTCATTGTCCTCGCAAAGTAAGTAGGTGCTATATCCCCGAGTTGCGATAGTAACCAGGAGATTTCGAAAGATAGATGACGATACGATCATCTCCTCTTACAGAAGAGACGACCTCTGCATCCCTACTTGAGTCGGCTCAGTTTCGAATTCGTGATTTCTACCTCTCTGGTCACGGTGTACACTTCTACATGTCCTTTCGATCTGAAATAGTTTTCCCTCAATTGAGTACTGCAGTAGCTTCTTTCATACTGTATTCTGGTGATGTTCTCCATTCGCACTTGAACACCTCACGCATGCGAATGCCCGATGCGCACGGCCCACAATGTAAAAGGCGTGGATGACTGACATAGTAATAATCACAGCTTCCTCGACAACAGATGAGGTTTTGTGTGAGGAGTCGCTGGGCTCAGGCCTCGGATTAATGTAGTCGGGACCACACCATCGGAGCTTGTCTGCCAAATTCTGTGAAGACACCCTGTACAAGATTCGACGGGAGAATCATTAGAGAAGGGATACGAATTCACGAATATGTGTTTGCTTGTTTTGCTATCGCTCTCATGTGGGCCTAGCGCTATAGTATCGTGCATGTACCGAGTACTTAAAGCATGAATGACACTGAATGTGGCAAAGACTGTGGGAAGTTGATCCAGGTAGATCTCACGCTTCAGTCTGAGTGTGGCAGAACTCGAACGTTCTGTGCAACCCTACAGCGTGGACGGCCCTTTCACTTTAGCAAACTACTGTGCTCGTTTTGTAGCATAACGCTATGGGGCAGGATTTTATGCTGTAAGTACTTGCATGCCTCGACCTATGATATATCGCTATAGTTAAGTCATGGCCCTTGCCGCCTTGTTTACTGAAACCCTGTCCGTCAGGATAAATATCGACAAAAGAGGATGGACTACACCCTTGGGAAGACTGGGGTGCTTTTCATCCTCAGGGTATGGGGTGACAGACAAGATAGAAGAGTGCCTTGATTGGCCCCTCTCCTTCCGCAAGTATGAATTCTTGACGTCTTTGCTGCTCGCAACCACACTTACAGTACCTAAAGACTTTATAGATTATCTGAAATTATTAAGAAGAAGAGATCGACGAAGCCTACTGGCTTTCATAAACTGCCAGACGAAATTATCGACATGATATTTGGTGAAATGACCGATTTCGAGGACGCAATATGCCTGGCGGTCACAAGCAGTCTTCTTTTTCACATCGGTGTACCGCATATTCAAGCTCTCGCAGAACGATGCGCGAGCGACATCTCCTGGGAAGGTTGCCGAATGATCCTTGCGGGGGACTATTCCAGTGACGAGCTACCACCTGGCATGCTCACCGACGAGGAACAAGCCGAATATCGAGCTTTCCGTTCTTCAGAAAGGGGTGCTGAAGATGGAGGCAATACCGGAAGGCTCGTGGAGATCGCTCGTGAGTGGTTTCAGTATCTCCGGACTCGGCGCAACTGGAAGTTCTGGGGTATGCGCACACAATTCATGAGAGGCCCTGCGATGGACCGATTCGTGATCCACATGATCACGAATGAATGGGATAACAACCGGTATTGCAAAGACAAATCATCCCTCGTGATTGCCAATGGTACGAAGAAGGAGTGGATACGGTACAGTGAATTTCAGAAAGACATCAAAGACTGGGACCCAAAGGGACGGGTAAGCGTCGGGGATATTATTTCTGAGTCAATCTGCTGGTCGCCTGGGACTGGAGGGGATATGGAAGCCTACGTTCGCGGGCCTTGGGCCGGTAATCGGCTTTGGTTGGTAAACATGGAGGAGTTCAGGGATGTATTGAGCGTTGAGGAAAGGCGTGAATGGAGGGACGTCACGCAGGAGGTTGCGCATGCGGTTTCAGTCCATAAAGCCCTGTACATGTAGTATTACTGGTTACGGTGACGGGGAATGGAGTCTGGGGGGCACAAAGTAGAAGCAGCTCGGCTCCTACATCTCATGTATCCGCAATACTATAGAACGACGTCCAAAATGGCAGACCAAGGACCTGGACTCAGTTGTGATTATCAACACTACAAAGAAGGAGCGGATCAGCTATAAAGAAGTCCAACGATGTATCGAGCCATGGGGATTCAAGGGTGTGGTACGTGTTGGAGATATACTCGCCCAGCTCATCTGCTGGTCTTCCGGGCCTGGAGGAAGCAACGGGAGCCTTCGCAGGTGTTGGGCTGGTGATAGGTTCCACCTGACAGGAATGGGATGCTAGGTTAGCAGCCGATGAAAAAAATCAATTCAGGGGTGTTAGCGAAGAGGTGGCTAATGATCGAATGACACTGAGCATCGTGCCACTGGGGTGAAGGCGAATTCGTGAACGGAGCATTGGGTTGTAACGTATGTATTCTAGTTCTAGAGCACTCACAATGGCTTGAACAATAAACATATAGGCAGATTTGGCGTATCAGCATATAAGAAAGCGCATATATCACTCTCCTGCTGGAGAGTGAGCTTACCCCAGTCTGGGTAAAAGCGTCGACGGTTGACATGATGAAGATCGCCTTCGAAATTCATTGCGTCTGTTCGATATCTCACGAGTCGATAAAGACTCATAAGTATACTGTAGTGGAATGTCTTGAAACTACTAGGAGGAAGATCCGCATTCAAAAAGGGCGAGAGCTAGTCAGGGTGCGATGAACAGACATGCAAGACTTCGTAGTACACAGAATGGATCAAACACGGGCAGCGTAGGATTGTGACCGATGAAGGTCCCGTATGTGAGACCCGGAGACTCGTCGTGTAAGCATTTGCACATCCCCGCGAGCTATGCAGTGTTTGTTACGGCCAATCGCATCGCAACGATAGCAGGGACGAATCACGGGCAACGGACTCTTTGTGGCATTCACAACATCGGGAACTGCCGCAGGACCATTCGTTCTTTCAAGCACTCCTACACCACACACGTCTCTGTGTTGAATCAATCTTTCCCCAGTACCTGCTATATCACTTGGAGGCAATGGAATTGTAGCTAAGCGCGTTAGGTATTCTTCGTAAATGTTTAGGCCTCACTCATTTACAAGGCGGTAACCTCCTGTAACTTGACTGGGAGTAAATGCATATTCCCGTCAGATGACCACGTCCAGCTGATAGAAGGACAGACACGGCTCAGTTAGTACTGTGCACTGATCCGCGTTTAGCTTGCGTATACGGAGAATATGTTCGTCCAGCAGCTCATATGACAAGCTCGTTCCTGCGAGGTTCGCATACTTAATGGTCTTGCACTACGCTCTGCGCGTCTCCCCGCGGGCCTGCCTCTTGCTGCTGACCAGACCACAGCTTGCTGGACGAGATGGGGATTGACAACCTTGGAAATGCAGTTCTCTCGCAGCTGCGGCTATTGGCTGCTCGGGCGAGCTACTCTGACCTGCTGGTCCTCCTGCCCATCTGCGCACTGGTCCTGGTTCTGGACTATGCGCGCATGCTCTATCTGCATTTCAAGATGGTGAGTGGTTCGCTTGAGTGCCCTGATTTCAGCTCATGTTCAACTCTGCTTGGCTAGCCTCCAGGGCCGATTCCTCTGCCAATCATCGGGTGCACACACCTACTCCCAGATGAGAAGCCATGGATCTTCTTCGAGGAGCTATCCAAGCGATACAACACCCCCATGATTACCTACTGGATTGGACGGAACCCGACAGTCTGGATTAACGACGCCTGGGCCGCCTCAGAGCTCCTCGACAAGCGCGCCGCCATATACTCCTCTCGTCCTCGCATGGTAGTCTTCGGTGACCTCGGTAGCGGACAAAGCAACCTCGTCACGATGAAGTACGGTGACCGCTGGCGCCTGCACCGTAAGCTCACACACATGGGCGTCGGCCTGCAGAAGGTGCGCGATTACCGCCCCTTCCAGAACGATGAGAGTCGTGTCGTTGCGTACGACCTCTTGAGCAACCCCGAGGATTATGTACTGCACTTTGAGAGGTACGCGGCTAGTGTCGTGTCCATTATTGGCTTTGGGCGGAGAGTCTCGACGTTCAAGGACCCAATCATCCCGGAGGTTATTGCGGTGATGCACCGTGCTGCTGATCTGAACGTCCCGGGGAAGAAATTCCCCATGCTCATGGAAACGTTCCCAAGTGCGCATACACGTCAATCGTGTTATTGTTGTACCGCGTACTCACTCCACCCACCTCTGCTAGTTCTCGCGAAGTTCCCGACGAAGATCGCACCGTGGAAACACGGTCTCGGGGGCGGCCGCCAGCGCGGACGCAACTTCTTCTACGCGCTCGCGGACGAAGCTAACAAGGAGTCTGAGCAGCCCTGTTACTCCAAGACGCTCTTCGAGAGCCGCGAGCAGACGCAGCTCTCCGACCAGGAGATCGCCGCGCTCTCGGGCAACCTCTTCGGCGCGGGGAGCGACACCTCCGCCTCGACACTCATCACGTTCGTGCTCGCGTGCTGTGCGTTCCCCGAGGCTTTGCCGCGCGCATGGGAAGAGCTGGATAGGGTCGTGGGGCCGAATCGGAGCCCGGACTTTGACGACGAGCCGAAATTGCCGTACGTGAAGGCGTTCGTGAAAGAGGTATTCCGCTGGCGGTCGGTCGCTATCATAGGCGGGCAACCTCACGCGCCAATCCAAGATGATTACTACCAGGTATGTAACAATATTATCGGCATTGACCATGGACATTGCAAGCACTTACGCGTACCGTATCCGACAGAACTGGTACATTCCTAAAGATACTTGGGTGCAGGGTAACGTATGGGCAATCCACCACAACGACCGCGAGTTCCCAGAGCCAGACCGGTTCGCCCCTGAGCGGTTCTTCGAGGACAGTCCGCTCCACCGCTCCTTCCCCAATGACCGCGGATACATGACATTCGGCTGGGGGCGGCGAGTATGCAGCGGTCAGGGTCTCGCTGAGCAGGGCACCTTTATTACCATTGCGAGATTGCTGTGGGGATTCCGGATCCAGAAGGCGCTGAATGAACAGGGGAAGGAGATCCCCGTCGACATTTTCGCGTATACGTGCGTTCTATTTTCTTGTCGTCTGTGAAGCAGAAACTTATTGCGTATGTGCGTAGGAATGGGCTGAATATGCGTCCCCAGCCGTTCAAGTGCCGTATCACACCACGCTCGGAGGCCATCAAAGAGACGATAGAGCGGGAAGGCAAGCAGGCACTGGATGATCTAGCCAAATACGAGGGGGAGACCAAGTACCGGATGAGCACATTCTACAAGATGGATCTTTGAGCGGTTTTAGAGTTGTCGGTCACTGTATTGTTCTGTACGTTCGTGTGTTGTACTTTCCTCCAGGAATAGCATTATATTTATGAACTTGCCTGGTCTAATGACCATGAGTCGATGAGAATAACTGGAAGACTCATCTCTTACGCCTGCATTGGTGGACCCACAGAGGATCCGCTGATTGCGTCGGGGTTTCTTTGATCGTGTCTGGGCTCTGTCATGAAAGCGAACCACTGAAGCTGTTCGCCCCCAGCTACTTCTGCGACTTCGATGCCAGCCAAAAGCCTCCAGTCCCGCAGACAGGGTCTTGCAGGATATGTGGTCAGCACATGTGCGCCACGCATTCTGCCCCTCCGCATATGCCATATCTCCCGTCACTGGCAGACGACGCCACAAGCCCTCTTTGCCTGGTAAACTGACTTACCCTTGCTTAGGATGATCAGGATGAATGCAAGGCCGTCTTCCGAGGACACAGAAGCAGTTAGATACCAGAAGGCCAGGTTCGGGCTCGTCACTGGCAACTGCGCTGGCGAGAATGGTGATACAGTAGCATTTTAGATAGAATATTCAGACAACAAAGTCCGCTTCAGAAACTACATTGATCGCCGTCACGCAGAGTACTTTATCAGCAACTGCTTCAGTCTCTCTTCATCTCTGTACTTGTCCATTGCAATTTCCTTCCACTCCTTCCATATTTTACTTGGATCGTCGGGACTCCTCCCCTCCAGAGCTGCCAGAAGTCCCGCGAAAAGATTCGGGAACGATTCTTTGTCGTCTATGTCTCCCGCAAGACAATGAGTCAGGCGGTGATGGATACGGCCATTGCTCACAAACGAGGCAAGATCGTCCCGCCCTTTCTCCTTCAAGATCTCCGAGAACATCTTCTCGTCTTCGCTTAATTCGTTTTGCCCATCGTAGTAGGCGCCAACGTCGAGCAGAAATAGAGGTGCAGAGAACGCTTCTCCCTCCGAAGTGGTCTGTGCCCATTCCCAGTCAATTATACCCGTGATGTTGTCCTCGTCGTCTACAAGGATATGATCTCCTTTATCATCCATGTGCTTAAGGTAAAACGGTGGCTGTCCGCCAGAGTTCAGCACTGAATATCGGGTCAGATAGTCCTTGAGGGATCGATGGACGAGATATGCGTCGACGCCGGAGGTGCTGTAAGCCTCGCCACTGCAAATCAAATCCAACTGCCTCTCAATCCACGCCAGGCGATATTCTAGCGAGGACATGAAAGGGCCAAGGAGATGCAGCGTCCCATCACGGATGTCTGTTGTACTCTCTGCGACCAATGGGCCGATAGACAACTTTTGAGGATGGAGCAGGCTCCCGATGGAGTCAAAGCGACATGCCCGCAATTTGACGAATATGTCCGCCAATTGGTTCAGAACCTTGGCTTTGCTGTGCTCGTCCTTGTCGTACCAGTCTAAAGGCTTTCCTTCCAGCTTCGACATCATGATGTAGTTGACGCCGATTGTTGTTGGAATCCTGCTGACCTCGTAATCATAGACACGAGGAACGGGGATGCCAGCATCAGCGAGGAACCGCAGGGTAGCCGCTTCGCTCAGGAGAATGCGGCGTCTGAGCTCAGCAGGGGCGGTCCCGGCGTGCAGTCGCGGGATCCGACAGATCCAGCTCACTCCATCTTCGAAGTCAATGGTAACATGGTAGTTCATGCCGCCCATCCTAGTCAAGATGAGGCTTTCTTCGGGCTCGCAGGAAAGGCCCTTCAGAGAGCATGTCTTCCCGCCCCGAAGGAGACTCGCTCGGGAACAAAGAGCGTCGGCGTTCACGAGCGAGAGCAAAGTTGTGATCTCGTCCATTTCGGCGGCAGAGGTGGCAGTTCTCCAGGCCTCTTCGTCTGTCTGTTGTGACCGCGTCATGAGGAACCTAATGGCCTAATGGTGGGACTTACCTCCCAGCGAGGACAGGTATGGTGAGGGGCCCTGCTGTGTGTGGCGCAGAGGTGCCGTTTGCACATAACACAGGAACCGCTCCTCCGGACGGATGGATGGATGCAGTTGGCAATATCGCACTGGTGCAATGGCATAATATGACTATAAGATGTCAGATATCAAGAGGAGGTGGTACGGTGCGCGCTCTGGGGCTAAGGGTGAACTTATGGTTTAGTGAACGTCTCTGGGATGAGCTCGACGTGGTCACGTGAGAATGGCCTGAGAGCTGATAGGCGCCGTGTTCGTGATTCGAATTGTAGGTCCCCATAGGTCCAGAACGGTTATCCTTCCCATATTAAACGCGTTCACAGCTTCTAGCTTGTGATTCCCGGACCATCTGTTACCATCATATGGAATAGAACTCTCATCCATATGACGGCGTGCCTTACGGTGCTGATAATTGCGACAGGACTCCGCCAGCCAATCCGCCAGCCATCTTGCGGGGCATCTCGAAAAATATGAAACATGGGAGGCCCAACCCTCCGTTCCCATGCGTGAGCCATCTTTTCAGGGGAGGGTATGATCGAGGAGAGTAGCTCGGTGGTATCGTTAGCGCCGCACGGCGCTATCCAGACGATGGGTTCTGTCCCATGACTGATGCCCTTAGCCCAGGTGGCGCGTAAGACGTCCGTGAAGCCGCATTGCCAAACGAACAGCAAAATATCGTCTGTTGGCCCTGTCGACGCGCCACGTTACATCCTACAATCTGCTTGTTCCGCATATGGATCGGTGCTCTCGAAAACTGGATTAGGTTCGTAATGAACGGCGGAATACGACCCTTGACAAGTGTATAGCCCCAGCTGAGAGACAATGAAGTATCGCCATAAGAATTCGGCTTGAACGCCACAAGGTGGACCCACAAACACTCGTCGGAACCGGAGATCTATGGTATTGGTCGCCACAAGGTGGCACGGTATGATCATCCCCAGAGCAAGGGATGTGTATGTACTGCGGTGCTAGTTGGAGACAGCAGTACTGAGGAATTGCCAGAAGGAGTGCCGCATATCGGTTAGATCGGGAGTAGCAGCGCCCAGATAGCTTCTCGCGCAATCGAGTCAGTATACTCAAGGCTCCCCAGCACTCCCAGTGCAGAGTCTAGTTCGGATACACGCCACCCTGTCCGTAAGATATATAAGAGCACCCCAGGAGCGTATTCATTAAGATTAACCCACCTCACAACCTCTTCTGCAATCGCTAAATTTTGACCACTCACCGCACTTTCTCGCATTACAATGGTCGCACAGAGATGTCGTACGCCTGGCTGCACCAGATGGGCAGTCACTGGAGCGAACCATTGTTCGCTGCGTGAGTGCGTTGCACTCAGGATTTATTCATCTTCTGACTTGCGTCTCGAGACAGACGGCGACAAGAACAGAGCTTTCTCAGCCTTCAAGAGGTTCATAGGAAGTTCCTCTCACGTCAGAGGTAGTATTTTGTATGCGCAACAATATCACAGATCGCTTACCTAGACGCAGGTTTCTTTGGCATTCCCGTCCTAGTCGCGGGATCTAAGGACGTCAGCGACGCCGGAGGCGTCTGAATTGGTCGTCTCCCTCCAGTCTCTTTCACCTCAAGTGTATGAATATATCGCTCCGGTTCAAATGTCCTTTCTTGCTGTCTTTTCTTGAGTGTTGTACTCACACGAGTTCGCCTTATTTGTATCCTACGCACGGCTCCCCGAGTTCACAAGCCGGGTGGTTCCAAGTCAGCATCAGTCTAAGGATTGATCATAGGCCGCTCTACATGTTACCTTGTATTCTGTTCCCGCCCATATATTTGTAACCCCTTTTGAATGAGCATTTTGTCAGATTTGCCCAGCCAGGCGAGATTTCTCTGATAACCACCTTCCTGTATTGCAAGGGTTTGCAAACTTGAATGCGACTATTCGACCCGAGCACGGATCGATTTGCGCAAGGCCACTATGACATAAGATCTGATACAACAATAACTGAGTACGTTCACAGAAACCAACAAACTTAGGCTCATACACACTAAGGTTTTGAGTGGATCGAGGGCGGATATCTTCTTGACATTGAAACATCACCGTTGCCACTCATGGTGCACTTACATAGCCGTGACCTCACGACAGCACTTGAGTATGGGTTCGCCAGAGTCCTCCATAGTTAGCTGCTGTACGCCTCCTAATCGTCATATCCATGGACGACAGTTCCTATGTTAAGCTCCTCCGCTCTCTTCACGACGGCACTCGTGATCATCACGTCCTGAACGCCTACGCCCACCGACTTGAATATAGTGACATCTCCTGTCTTCCTCACTTCCTGGACCAACTCTTGCTTCGCTTTACCTTCCGGAGCGTCCACCAACTCTCCCAACTCGACGAGGTCTTGTCCCGGGATGCGAGCTTCTATGAGTTCCCCAGCTTCTTGCAAGCATGCCGAACGGGAATCGACCACGATCCTTCCCGCTCTTCTGATCACGGAAGTTGATACTTCATGCATATTCGGCTTGTAGGAGCCGACCAGAATGATGTGTGCCCCAGGCTGCACGCAGTCCGCGTCAAATAGGGGTACCGTAGATGATGTGGCAGTCACGATTATATGGGCGGACTTAACCGCCTCTTGGACAGCACCTGAGTTCCCAGTCAAAGCAGAGACTTGAGCGTGGGGGAATTCGGACTTGAGGGCCGCCATGAGGGACTCCAAGCGTGCATTGGACGTGCGATTGACTATATTAGCCCTCTGGATAGATCCGAATTGCCGCATATGGAGGGAGACATGGGCATAGATCTGTGCTCCAGCACCGAACGCCGTCAGAGTAGTCGGCTGAGAATCAGAGAGCAGGAACACGGTCGACAGGAGGGACCCTTGTTAAAACAGCACATCCCCGTATAAGTTACCTGCCCGGTATTTAGCTTCACGTTCTTGGTAAATACGCACCGCCAGCGGTTCTGATAGCTGTCAAGCTCCTTGCGTTGACTAGGGCTTTGACCGCACCTGTCTCTTCGTCAAGGACCATGGTAGACGCAGGAAGGCCTCCGCTTCGGGCTTTATCCGTCACTGGCACAGACACGACCTTGATTGCCGTGCCAATGTGTCTCACTCTTGACGGCATAAACAAAACGTTATGGTTGACTGTCTGAACGGAAGTTCGGTGAGGAGAGGATATGATCTCTGCATCACTCGCATGCCCTTCATCCTTGGAAGAAAGCAGTGAGAATATCGTCGCAGACTGTGCTAGCAAGTCTTGGGTCGAAAAGCTCGAGGTGATCTTCCGGACATCCGCAGAGGAGAGTATTCGCACAGACATCAGGATCCAAGATCATCAGGCGTTAATGCGAGAGTTTGGGAGAAGTTTGGGCTTCAAGGGGACAGATCGTCACCGGCCCGGTTCGAGCCGGTGCCACCGTATTCCTACACAGGATGGTACAGAGTGTAAAGCACAAATATGCGCTGCGAAAAGCGGTCGCGATCCCTAAGAAATCACTCCGGGGCCATCAGCTCCCGTCTTTCTTGCTCATCTCTTTCCTCATTGTCTCTCTGTCTCTATCACGCTTAGCGAAGAGCTTGTGGCGGGTCGTGTCTTGCTTGAGCTTCTTGTTGGCAGAGACGTTCTGCTCCCGATAAGACATATGTTCCCCGCCAGCAAGAGATGCAAGGGATCCAGTGGTACGAGAGCTCACGCTCGGTCGTTCAACTGGCATCGGCACCCGTCGCACAACAGCGTTAACATCATCTCCGATCTCAGCTGCGCTCTCATTTGCGAGCAGGACCGAGGACAATAGCTCCGTTTGCTCCGCCTTCGTTTTGAACGCAAGGTCAGGGTACTCGGACATACCCTCGAGATGCGTAATGACTTTGAAGGCATATCCCTGGTCGATCAAGAATTGCTGGCGCTTCGTGCTGTAGAACATCTCTTGGGTGTCCGTAGAAACCAAAGAGTAAAAAAACGCGTTAAAACCTGCGTCATTTCGGCGCTTCGCACGCAGAATGCGACCTGGACGAGACATCAGTAAGCGCGAGCCATCATTCGAGATTGCTTACCGAGTCGTTGCGCCTCTTGCCTTCGCGATCCAAAGTGAGATGATACCTGGATCAAGCATGTGGCTTCGGGCAGGTCTATTGAGGTGTCCCCGACCTAGCCTCATTTCAGCTCTGATAAACGTGAGGTTGAAGGGAGGCTACCTTAGACAAGAAGATTGTGTTATACCGGCTGTCATGCTGGAACATACGCAGAACAGCCATGCGCTCCTGATGAGGTGTACCTCCGTGAATAAAAGGCTTCCCCAGCTTGATCGCGTATGCCTGTGATCAAATCGATGAGCGACACTGCATGTCTTCAATAGTGAAAGGTAAGGCTTACCTCCAGCGCATAGACATTATCTGAGAAGACGATGATCTTGTCGCCACGCTGCTCGTGGAACCGTATCAAGAACTGGCAAGCTTGGATCTTGGTCGGGTTCATGCAGTACAGTAGGGTCCGCTTGCGAGTCTTTTCTCTGAGGTACTCTCTGTAGAACTCGGGGGTCATTGGGCACCACACCTCCGCGCACTGACGAACCACATGAGCATCCGATCGAGTGAGGCGGGGCATCGGTACACACCTGCACATTCGCGATGTGACCCTTGGCCGCTAGGTCCATCCAGTTCGCTTCGTACAGCTTGGGTCCGATCATATAATTCAAGTCCGTGATCTTGTCATCCTCTCGGACCAAGGTCGCTGGTTTTCATGAGAATATCAATAGAGAGACTGTGCACTCCATACTTCTCTACCCACCAGTGAGACCGAGTTTCGCATGCGCTTTGATGGTCGTTACGACCCGTCTGAACATCGCCGCCGGCACGACGTGGACCTCGTCGAGTATGACGAGACCCCACTCGCGCGAGGTGAGGAACTCCATCATCCTCTTGGACTCGTGGGACCGGTTGTGCGTGTTGGCCACCATGGAGTAGGTTGAGACGATTAAGCCACTCTCACCCGCGAACTAGGCCACGCGACTTCAGCTTAGACGGAGGACGTATATAGCAGAAGGCGGTACCTTCTCTTTCTGATCTGCTGTGAACACGGCGATCTGCCGATCCGTGACATTGCACCACTGCATGAATTGTTGCTTCCATTGCATGACGGAGACGCTGGGCAGTATCCGTCAGCCTGAAACGCGGAACTAGGTAGAGAATGCATACGCCGAGGTACAAAGCACGAGGCAGCTCTTCTTCACAGTACAAGCTGCGGTAATACCAACCAACGTCTTTCCCGCGCCACATGGCAAGACGATAATGCCAGACCTCGCTCGCCTGGAAGCAAGTCACTAACGGCAAAGAAAGCAGGTGCATGGAAATGCAGCACGTACCCGTTACCAAACATCTTGCTCAAGCTCAGCTCCTGGTATGGTCGGATGACGGTAGCAGGCTTCAGATCGATGTCGAGATCAGGGTTCGCCGTGTCGTTGCGGAAGTCGTACTCCTCGAGCGCGGGGTATCCGAGTTCGCTGCAGCGCTTCTTGACATTCTATATGGCAATCGAGTGAAAAAAAAATCTGGGGAAATTTGCGCAGGGCTCACATCGATCTCCCGGTCCACTATTTCGATAGAGTGGAGGGTATCGTCGTCGCCTTCGGTATCACCACCTGCGCCAATGTGAGACAAAGACCGCTGGGAATGTCATGGCACGGATAACCTTCAATGATCTCGGAGAGGAGGTTAGCGTCTGTGGACGACTTGGGCGGGCCAGACGCAGCTTCAGAAGCACCGGATTTCGCAGCATCTGTATTTTCTGTGTGAAAACCGACATTCACTGGATTTGGTATCTACAAACTCACCTTCGCCCGCTACATTCACCTTGTCGCGAGACTGGGGAAGGGCGTCGTCACGCTGCATCCGCGCTTCCCTGATAACAGGGTCCCGCAGAAGTCGATGCAATACTTCGATATTATTCGATTCGATATAGTACTTGTTACGCTTTAGTACGAGCTTCACTTTGCCGTACGATGAGGTGCAGTCGCGAATAAATTCGAGGACGGACTCCGGCACTGGGGTCTGCAGAGGATTAGGGAAGGGGAAGCCTTCGTAGGGGGGATTTTACCTTCGATAGGCGGTTTAAGACCTGACGGTTGGAGTCCTTGGTTATGAGAAGAGCGATTTCCAATAATCCGCCTGCTTACGTCTATGATGTCCGAGGTCTGTAATCCTACTGAGACCGCGGCGTACAGACTATATGGCGTGAGCTGATACGGAGAGAGAGGATTAGAACAGTCCCAAATATTAAATGCTCCTCGTACTTTGTATTCGTGCATAAACGCAGGCCTGACGGTGTGAGCCTTTTCCTCCGCGTGCAAGGCCAAAAGCCGAAGGCAAAGGCGCACCTGCTGACGGGCTCGCTGATAGCGACCAGAAAGTCGATAGCTTGCTCTGCAATTGGTGACGATGCTTCTAGGATAATGCTGCCGTCCTCAGGATTGACCCATAGTGGCCGCACCGAATGATCTGGTTTCAGCCCCAGGAAGGCGAAGTCGGTGGACCAAAATATATGCGAGAGAATAGATGCTTTCGGATGATGAGTCGCCCCTTCGTCCGTATAACGGGTCACTCTGCGTTTCAGGGAGCTCAGGTTGATCTTGAGCGTGTTCCTTTGTTCCCCTTCGTCGTCGGATAAAACCTCGGGAAGTTCGTCAAGGACGTCGCCAGCCTCTTCGTCTGAAACTAGAGTATGTAAGGGTCAGATTTCATTCTAGCTTCAACCACAGAGTGCAACAGCCATTACCGTCTTGTCTGGAACGTTTGGGCATGTCGACTGCGAATTGTTCGTGATTGTGGGTACGCGCGGATAGCGACACGCTAAAGGGGTCGCACAGGGAGAGGGGGGAAAAGAGGTTGTCTTCAACGTGTTAGCATGTCCCTACGCCACTCCGCCACCGCCTTCCAAGAGCACTACAACAACAATAACTTTCAGATTGGCATCAGAATCGAGACTGAAACAGATAAGCGCCCGCAACGCCACACGCGTCACGTGTTAACCGACAGCGTGTATCGGGCGCGACTTGCCACTTTGGTAACACTTGCTTTGTGTCGGTGGCGATCACTGATGTGGGAGGGTGAACACAAAGAACTTGTTTTGCATCCCTACTCTCGCGATCTCGCATACCTGTTTGCCGTCTCCAGTCCAGAGGTAGTTATTTTGTCAGTCTAAGCTCGTCTGGAGAAAAGGACATCAATCTCCTGAAGAAATCATGACAGTACGCTCATGTGGCTTGCAAGAGCTTCAATGAATACATCTGACTTTCATCTCAGAAATCTTCCGTATCGCCTCTCAACCGCATCAATCCCTTCGCCTTGAACGCAGATGTCGTCTATATGATCCTTTCGTTTCTCCCAGATTTCGAATCGCTGCAGTCGGCACGAAACAGCGGTAAATTCATCCGTGATGTCGTGGATACCCAGTGGAAGTCGATCTCGCGCGCTGTGGGGACGAACGTAGTAGGGTCCGCCTTTCCACACTGCGTGAGGGTTGTTAAGTACAAATACGCCGAACGGAGAAAGTGCGTCTGGGAGGAGTTCACGGATCCATATACCCCGCCAGACATGACCTTATCCTGGGAGGAAGCATGGGAGATATCTGACAGAGCGGAAGTGGCTTTAAGATTAGAGGATATCTACAGCTGGAGGTAAGCAAGATGCCCAGGTCTCTAGACAGGACAGTAATCACCCAGCGATGAAAGGTATAAGGATAGAAAGTCAACCCAATCCCGTCTGAGTGAAGTAGAGTCTCACCGTTTCAACCGCGCGTTGTATCGCATGTGGTTACTCGCAATTGCATATGGCATAGGCGATCCTGAGCCGGAATCAACTTGCTTGTGCTTCACTTTCTTTAATGGCACGCCCACCACACATCTGCGAGAACTTCGGGAGGTATCGTCTTTTGTAGGTGACGTGGCCGTATGGACGGCTAGGATCTCCAAGTCGATCGTGAGTAGTGAGTGATTTTCTCAATACCTCCGGATGATGTCTCACCTGAGACAGTTGACTGGGGCGAATTCGCGACATTCATCGGGCCGGATGTAGTACTCGAATGCTTCGAGAGACTCTCGGTGGACGACATGGCGGCTTGCTGCGAGAGCGGCCGTTACTTCGGATTTCTGTCCGACCCACTAGATAGATGGATTGCAAGGCGTCTCCAAGGCTCCACCGCGTCGAGTCACGTTTCGCTCCAGTCACGTTCCGTAATCCTGGATGCGATTGCGGTCGAAAACGATAAATGTACCCTTCCGTCGACTACGGATGATATGACTTCTAACTCGATATCCTCCAGGCAACCGTTGTCATTCTACCACGCACGATGGTCTGTGGAATCGAACCAGTAAGTCCCTTCTTCCCTCGCTGCACGTATACGATTGACATTGCCAGATTGGATGCTGCTCGAAGGCCATCTTGAGCGAGACCTCCATACCTTCTTAGCCGGGCATCTAGGAAAGAATCCTATTGAATTTCCGGCTATCCGGCCAGTACTAGCGGATATTGAGTTGGAGGTGCTCATGGATGAGTTATTCCTTCTGGGGCGGGGGGTATGTGCGGACTGGGACCCAGAAGAGTGGATATGCATGGATTGCGTGGATGATTTTCTCCGGCACCAATTACATATATGGTGGCTGGACCGTAAGATGAAAGGTTCGTGTATGTTAGTAATCCTTTCGCGGCCTCAACAACCCATCTCTTGTCACAGATGGAAGCATCCTATGGAAAGACTGTCCGTAAGTGCGGCCGAAATCTGCTTTTGCGTCATCTGGCTCATCAGCTGCCCCTTGCAGGAAAGGATATGACTGTGTGGACCAAATTCACGATACGAAACATGCGCGTGACTATAATGTGGGTAGTCATACGATTCGCCTAAAACGTCTTGACATCGTTTCGTACTAGCATCTCTGTGAACCTGCCCCTGCCACTATCACCAATGCGTGATTTGGTAGGGCACAATCGCATTACCTGTAACGCACGTCACCTCATCCAAATGTGAGTGCGCTCTACAAACCGCTTTGCGTCTTTTCTACACTTACAATTGCAATGCATCAAGCATTCGCCAGCCGATGACTGCTGGCATCTGTTAATCCCCGGGAGGGATGGGTTCTGGTCGACTGGTGCTCACGGGACATTCCAATCAGTCAAGATCGGCAGTGCCCATGTCCTAATGGAAATGACGAGCTAGAAACCTCAGGTGATTCGATATGCGAAGGGTCACTATTCTGTATATATAGGATCGACAATGTGATACGCGATACGCTACGATTGACGGCGCCTTTCACGACACAGTGATCGCGTCTAGACTTGAGACGTCCAACCGAACCTGGTAAAAGCCGACCGTTACGCTACCTGCACCTTCCCCTCACATTCCATACTCATATGTCACAACGCTAGCGGACAATGAGCTTGCAGGTGTCTTTGGTTCGTCTCTGCTCCTAGATTTTCGGCTGCTGCTCAAAAATACAACAGCGACGCATAGATCCAAACAACAGGTTCAGGAACAGGAGTAAGTGCCCATTGCGCCCCGCGTCTTTGTTACCCGATCGCCTTGTATTCGATGGACACCTTGTACTTCCCTTGAGACTGGAGATGCCAAGTGATTGGTGTATGGGTATAAGGTGCTTTGTACAAGTGTCACTGGCCACCTTAAAGGTGCTTGATTTCGGAAGGTTTGGACAGTTAAATTCCTGAGACTCCTGTACATTCGGGGTAGCAGCCATTTCAGGTAGAGTGACTCTTCCTCGTTTCCACAGATAATTGTTAAGGCTTCCGTCTTTCCTTGATCTGCGAAACAGGGTACATGTGGTACAGCTGCGATGGTACGTTTTGACAACTTCAGCATTTCGAGAATATCGGATTGATGTCATAAACAGAGGTCGTCTTCATTTCCTTCAAGCCGTTCTACCTCCTTCCCTCTGGACGCCGATGTCATTTATATGATCGTATTGCTGCTTCCGGAATTTCATTCGCTACGATCTGCAAGTCACAGCTGCAAATTTATCCACAACGTGATCGAAACACAATGGAAGGCGATTTCTCGTGCAGTAGCCAGCAACGAGGCTGGACTTGCCTTGCCACATTGCCTCCGATCAGTGGAATATACTGGCACCGGAGAGCATGACCACGTAGCGGCTGAATTCAGGTACCCGTACGAGCGGAGCAATTTGACTCTGGACTGGCACGATGCCCTGCAGCTATCTAAGAAGGGTAGTGTGGCACGAGCTCTGGAGGATATTTATAGTTGGAGGTGAGTCCCGTCTCCAGTCCCCTTGCACCAATGATAATATACTCCATCTGATAGATACAAGGATCGGTCGTCGAGAGTGTCCAAACTGAGCGTGAGCGAATCATTGCGATTTCAGCGCTCGATATATCGCATTTCTCTGTTGTCATCTGCCTACGGAGTGCGTTTCGCTGGCTCAAGAGGGGGTTACAGGCAGCCCCGGGACGACTCTACGTTCTTGCGTCAACTTCCCACCTCGCAACTGGAAGAGCTTTGGGAGAATATCATTTTCTTGGGGAATCTATTGATTTGGATCTCTAGGTTTGAAGCGTGGCCCCCAGATACACATATAACTGGACAGTGGAAGCGCCCCGATGAAGGTGGGGTTATATGCAACTGGGATTGTACTCTATTGAATCGTTTACTATCCAGCAGATGCCTGGCGCGCCTTGGCAGCATATATCGGACCAGAGATGGTTCTGGATGGGTTTAAAAGGTCCTCGATTACCGATATATTTGTTCGCGAGTACGAGACCTACTCAGACTCGTACGGGGAATTCTTAATCCGCCCGCTTCACCGGTTGCTTCTGGCGCGCTGGCGATCACCCAGAGCTGCTGGGGACCTCCGTAAATCCCCCTTCCTGATTTTTGACACGATTGAGGGCCAAGGTGATAGATGTGGGCCTTCATAGTCCGCGTGTGCCGGCTATTGATGCTAATTGAGTATTGCAGGCGACCGCTGCCATGTCGTCTCCCACAACAATTTGTGGAATCAATCCAGTAAGGATGATCCCTGCCTCACTATCTCTTTAGATATTGACTCCTTTAGATTGGACATTATTGCAGGGACATCTAGAGAAACCCGTCTTCCACTACTTACCAGGCAATTTACCCAAGAATTCATTCGAACGCGACTGCATGCAAAAGTTTCTGGTTGTAATGCAGTTCTCAGCTTTCATGGATCGGGTACTACGCTTTAATCATCCGAAATATGGAAACGGTGACCCTCAGCAATGGATATGCCTGAAATGCGCGGAGCGTACCTTACAGGATCGCCTCTTTGATTGGTGGATGGAGTGTGCAAAACATATTAACAAACGGACAGTCCAACCTGAAGCCTGTTTGTGAGTTCCCTGGCGTCCCTTCTCAGCTCGCCTCACTCATCCCGTCTGATTTGTAGGAAAGGGTATTATTGCGAGGCGCAGAGGGACGCGACGCATGCTCTTCGCTACAATGTGGGTATACCGTACATCTATTCCCCAGCGCTATTTAACTTTGGAGGTCAGCATCTCTGCGAGCCCGCGGCGACTCGCACACCACCGCGTCCTTCAATACGCCTATCTCCCTAGTCCTGTGACGGTGGATAGCATAACGTGCAACTCCTAGGGCACTCCTCTCCAATCCGGTTGACGCAGTGTGCGCTTTGGCTCTGCTGCACTGTGTTCTTCCTGAATGTGACCCGGTCGCCGACCTCCAGGCCTCTGAATATTAGCTCGATTTCCTTACTGCAAGGCCAGTATTTCCCCTTGGAGTCCTTCAGCCCAACAAGGGGAGGGTTGTGGTGAATGAAGCAGATTGTCCCGTGATATGTGTTGGGATCGGCGGACGGCATGTTATCTGAGACCTGTATGTGAGCTTCGGATACTCGCCAATATCACTGGATTAAATCTCACCAGTCCTTTGTCGGCGAGGATATGTCCTACAGACCAGTCGGGAACGGCGTCGCAGTGATATACGTAGACGAGGTTTGTACTCTCTGCGACTGGTGTGCCGTCGAGAGGATTGATGGATAGCATGCTTCCTGCTCCCCATGGGAGCAGCGTTTATATCCACGATAGAGTGTGTCCGAGCGTTCATCTTCCAAGCGTCGAGGATTCAAGTTGAAAGTAAATGAGTACGCGCTTTGGACCTTTCGACCTTTTAAGCTGTAGCAGCGGCTGCCAAGCCCGACGAAGGGCGCATTCGCATTCGCATCGTGTATTGTCTTTGTCTCGGATTGAGGGCTGACCATATGACCATCAGAACCTCAGGAAGGAGGTCAAAGCGTCGTCGGCCGTAGCCGATCCTTGTGGTCCTGAGCCACTCGGGACTAGTTCGCATGTGCCAGTGTGATCAAGGCGTCTGATAAGTGGCGGCAGGCATGCCAGAGGGTCTTTCAAGATATAGACTTCGGCGGAGGCAGGTCAGGTACTTCTCGGAGGCCAGATTTTAGTGACGACGCGCTAATTAAAATGAAAATTACTGAGTCGACTGGGATCACTGAGATAGTAGCCAGGGTGAGGTCGGTGTAAGTAATAACATCTTCCGCTGCTTCATCCCCAGGCAGCACTACAGGTCAGTCTTATTTGCGGCAGTTTTCATTCGCGGATACTTATCTAAAACGGAATGGTTATCCACAAACGACCCCATGAAGGCGGGGTGAGGATCAAACGGGTGGACACCGTGAAAGAAAGGTGATGAGAGTTGAACTTACAGGAGCAAATATCAGTTCTGGTCGAGGAGCGCGTAGACATATATGCAATGCGCCTGCTGAATAAGCAACTGTTGCTCGGTGTCCTAGCGCCATTGCGTTTCACTTTAAGTACGGCTCGTATACTCTTGCTTCCATCAATGGATCGAAGGAAAAGCTCTTGCTTTGTAAATACCAGAAGGTTGTCTCTGAGGATGGCGTCAGTGACGGTAAGACAGAGATACGGGGCTGTTGAAAGCGCCGTAAATGTAAGTTAAGAAAGACACACAGCGTAGACAAACATGGGTAGAAACTTGTGATCACTGGTATTTTCTACGCCACCTTGCGACAAGCTCCGAATCGGCATAAAGGAATGATGGAACAAGGAATCTAAATAACAATGTGCGACGACCGCGTTCTGGTCACGTGCCGGGCCACATCCTTTGTGTGGCGTGTGGCATCGTGGTACAAAAAGCAGCACGCCCGGATTGCGTCCCTTCCCATCGTACCACATCTTCGCTACACAGTCGACAGCAAACCTTGCACTCTAACCTTCATCCTCCCCTTGCAACAATTATCAACGCCATGGCCTCCACCACTTCCACCACTTCCACCCCTTCGAGGACGCCGTCCTTCGCCACGCTTCCCGCGTCGCAGCCGGGCCCGTCTCTGGAATATGCCACAATCAGCGACCTACACACCGCGGTCGACAGTTTGCGCACATACCTTGATGCGCAATGCGGCAGCACCAGGGAGATGCTCCGCGCCTTTGAGAACGCGCGCTACAGGCAGGACAACACTGTGCCAACTCTCCTGCGCAGCGTCGACAAGCAGCTAGGCGAGCAGGGCCAGAAGCTCCTCACGTAAGTCCTTCCGTTATATACATATCACGCACACAATGAGAGATGAATGGTGTGGCGGATAGGTTAGAGAAGGATGTGAAGGAGACTAAAGAGACGCTGGAGCGGCTAGAGAGGTTGATGTACAAGCACCTGGTGGATCCGAATAGGGAGCCGACACCTACCGAGGCAGGGTGAGTGTTCCCTCGAAGTAGGTCGAGAGAGTACTGATCGACGATCCGCGGTCCCCTCTTGCCATTGTCTCTTCTGGCAGAGGAAGCCCGCAGCCCGACATGCCGGAGACCAACGGGCCGGCACGATCGAACGGGGAAGCAAACGGGGTGCAGGCGGGGCAGTCAGCGACTACTCCGCAGAAGCCCAATTCACCAAGAAGAGCCGATACACAGAGCAATAACGAGGCCGGTCCGTCGGCGAACGGGCAGACACACTCCCATGCACGCGAAGGCGTGTCGTCGAACAGGTGCACCGAGGGCCCCGGGCCACAACCTGAAAGCGAGAGGAAGAGAGCCCCACCGCTCACCAGGCAGCCGAAGCTGGGGCTGCCATTCCCTTCGGCCAACGGATACAATGGGGGTCGAGTCGAAACAAACGGAGCGGCCGGTCCCTCGACGCGCCCACTGCCAGATCACAGTCTCAGGGTAGCATCACCAGTACAGAGCGCTGCGCTCGCCGAGTCCAGACGGCGCACGCGTCCTCTGGCACGCGCAAACGCCATGGACTTGCGGACTATCCTCGCCTCCGCAGACGGCCCGGGGTCGGACACGGCGCTCAGCGGGTCCGTGATCACTGGCAATGGAGAGCGCATATTCTCGGACATCATAACGGAGGGACTGTCTGCTAGCGAAGGTTCTTTGTTGTTGGGGAGTGGTGGTCCTACTGAGGCTGGAAGCTCACGCGAGGGGCGACGTTGTTGCGGCAGCGCGGCGAACGGAGATCCAGCAGAATCGCGAGGAGACGCCACTGGATCGGCTATGGCTCCAGTGCCAGAGAGTGGCACCGAAGAAACTCACCAGGGCGTAGCGGCATCGATCGAAGCAAACGCTGTACGTGCGGACAGTTCTTCGAAATCGGAGGGAGCTGCGCCAAGGCCGTCGACGGGCTTTATCAAGGAAGAGTCGTCAGAGCCTCAGACGACGGATGTCGGACCCAGTCAGGCTGTTCCTGACAGTATGCCGGACGCTAGCTCCTCGGGCCCCCAGCTCCGGCGTAGTCAGCGGACGAAGAGGAGACGCGTCGAAGATACCGACGCGCAGACGAACACCACGACGGCAGCGAAGAGAGGAGGGGTGAAGCGTCGTAAAACCAGGAACTGAGCTAGTGCTCGCCACTGTATACCATACCTTTGTTGTTATCTTGAACTAACCACCCTAGAGCATTATTTGCATCGCCGTGCGCAATTTACTCTGAATGAGATAGTGAGACTCGGACCAAGGCCTCAATAACTTCCTGAGCGTGTCCCGGTGCTATCGTACTCCCAAGACTTTGTGTTCGATCTATAATGAACGAGTGTGATGGCGACGTGATGGCACGATGACAAAACGCAACGCATCGGAAAGTATGGCACCCCCAGAAGGCAGGCCTGGTTTGAAGTCGACTCAACTTGATCCAGCCTTGTCGTGCTTACCGGCGATATGCCAATGTGACTGTCAGAGCGCGCCTCCAAACCGAGGGGTCCAGGCGGTCGTCGCGGGGAACAAAGTCGCGGTCGTAGCTGCTTCAGGCGTTGCGTACGGTGCTTCGACACAGTGAGCGATGGTCAGTCTGGCCCGCTGAGCATTGCAACGTTGCGCTGTACGATGCATACGAGTCCTGCGTGGGTGGCGGAGAGAGAGACCGGCCGACAGACGCGAGGCTGAGTTAGGGACTGGCACGGGCCCTTCCGGGGACTGCCTGTGGTAATTCCACGGAAAGGATTTCCGCGGAAAGCGGAGTTTGAAACTCCCACGGAAACCGTACTTGGCGATACATACTCGAGTACATCAAGATGTGACAGGCGCGGACATCTCCCAGCCAATGAAAAGCCAGCATTGAGTAACAGTCACTCCATAAACTTCCGCGGAAGCCTTTTTCTGCGGAAGAGGTCCCGCTCAGGCGGGTTCCGGGATTCCCGCGACTGTGCCAGTCCCTAGGCTGAGTAACTGGCAGCGGGCCCCCGGGCCGGTTTTCCAGGTAGCGATGCTCACAACGAACTTGCAAGTGCCCTCAGTTCGTCGACGTCTTTTATGTTCCCGCTGCTACTAAGAGCTTGTCTGCTGTTATTTGTTCAAATACAAGGACGTGCAAACCCAGACAACGGTTCAGGAACAAGTGCCGAATATGTCGCATCTCTGCCTGGAGACTACTTTGTATTCGATAAATACCTTCTTCGAGACCAACAACCAATGATTGGAGAGTACATAAGAACAAGGTGCTTTGCGGTCGAACGACGGTGTCTTGGAAATCGGATGCGACTTTGTCCTCTGAAGGGCACTTCACTTCGGATGGTTTGGGAGATAAATTCCCTCGGACTTCCATTAGTAGAGCAGTCACTTCCTGTCTCTACCGAGTGCCCCTGCTCCAGGTCTAACGTGCCCTCGCTATCGTATAACTGTGGAGACTGCCGTCTTTCTTTCCCATGAAAACAAACACATGCGACGCGACTGACATGGTACGTCTTCAGCTCCAGGGCTTCGATATAAGCATAGTACTGATTATACTACTATACACAGAGGTCCTTGTTGCCTTCGAGGCGTTCTACCTCCTTCCCCCTGAACGCCGACGTCGTCTATGTGATCGTATTGCTACTTCCGGACTTCCGTTCGCTACGCTCCCTAAGCCACAGTTGTAGATTTATCCACAACGTGATCGAAACGGGATGGCAGGGGATCTCTCGCGCAGTTGCAGTTAACGAGGCTGGACTTGCCTTGCCGCACTGCCTCAGATCAGTAGCGTATACAATCTCCGAAGAGGGTGACCACGTGATGGCTGAATTCAGATATCCGTACGAGCCGAGCGATATGGCTCTGGATTGGCGTGTCGCTCTGCATTTGTCCAAAAAGGCTCGAGTGGCGCGAGCTCTCGAAGATATTTATAGTTGGAGGTGAGCGCCATCTCCACTCACTTTTTGCTCCATGATAATATACTTCATATGTTAGATGCAAGGATCGGACGTCAAGGACGTCCAAGCTCAGCGAGATCGAGGCCCTGCGATTCCAGCGCTCCGTATATCGCCTTTCGCTGCTCTCCTCTGCCTACGGAGTTGGCTTGGACTACAGGCGGCCCGAGAGCGATTCCGCCTTCTTGCGTCAGCTTCCCACATCTCAGCTGGAAGAGCTTTGGGAGACGATAGTTTTCTTGGGGAACCTATCGCTTTGGACCTCCCGAATCGAAGCGTGGTCTCTCGGGGCATACGAAACTGGAGAAGGGGAAGGTGCCGATGCAGGTCGGTTGTACGGAACTTGAATTACATTGTTTTCTGACTATCCCGCAGATCAATGGCCAGCCTTGGGAGCATACGTCGGGCCGGAGATGGTACTGGATGGGTTTCAACGGTCCTCGATAGCTGAAGTCCGCAAGTATGAGGTATACTCGTATTCGTACCGGGACTTCTTGGTCCGTCCGCTTCACCGATTGCTCAAGGAGCGTTGGAGATCTCGGGAAGCTTCTCGAGACTCCCGGAAATCTCCCTTTCTCATTTTCGACACGATCGAAGGGTATGGTGATAGATGTGGGCATTTGCGGTCTGTGTGAGCCAGACATAGAAGCTGATGTGATCGTCGCAGGTGGCCGATGCAATGCTGTCTCCCACAATAATTTGTGGAATCAGTCTAGTAAGATTGGATTTCTGCCTGCTCACTGTCCCTTCCAATATTGACTTCTTCAGATTGGGTTCTACTTAAAGGAGAACTCGGGGGACGTATCTTTGACTATTTGCCAGGGAGCTTACCCAAGAATCCATTCGAGCTAACCTGCATGCAAAACTTCCTGAGAAATATGCAGTTCCCAGATTTTATGGATGAATTACTACGATTTAATCACCCGGCTTATGGGAGTGGTGATCCTCAGCAGTGGCTGTGCCTGAAATGCGTGAGCAGTACCATGCGGGAGCGACTCTTGTATTGGTGGGTGGAGTGTACAAAACAATGTTTGTCTTGTCTATTCGTTGCTCCACTGAATTGAACACTAACCTATTCACGTCGACGAATGCATAGTCCAATCTAGAGATTGTTTGTGAGTTCACCAGCATCTCATCATCAGCCTGTCTCGCTCATCGCGTCTGATACGGTAGGAATGGGTACCATTGCGTTGCCCAAGGTCGTGATGCGAGGCACGCCCTCCTCTTTAGAGTGAGTACACCATACACTCCCTCCGGAGCTCGACCTGAATCTTCGATCTCAGCATCTCTGCGAGCCCGCCGGGACTCGCACGTCGAACAAATAACGTGTCCCCTCGAATCGCCGTGCCTCGACACGCCAAGCTCCCTAGTCTCGTGGCGGCGGATAGCATGATGTGCAAATCCTAGCACACTCTTCTCCAATCCGGTTGACACCATACGCGCTCTGGCTTTCCTCTACCTTGTTCTTTCTGAACGTGACCCGCTCCCCGACCTCCAGGCCTCTGAAGATCAGCTCGGTTTCATTACTGCAAGGCCAGTCTTTGCCCTGCAGCCCTTCAGCCCTACGCGGGGAGGGTTGTGGTGGGCGAAGCAGATTGTCCCGTGATATCTGTTGGGATCGGAGGGCAGCGTTCTATCTGCGACTTGTATCTAAGCTTCGAATAACTGGAAATCATGACTGGATCAAACCTCGCCGGTTTTTCTTCGTTGGGGATGTACCCCAGAGATTACTCGGGAGCGGCGTCGCAGTGATATTCGTAGACGAGGTATGTTTTCTCTGCGGTTCGTATGCCGTCGACAGGCTTTGCGAATGGCGTGCTTGCTGGTCCCTATGGAGGCTGCGTCTATATCGTTGAGGATATGAAGCTGCAAAGTTGCAATAAGAAAGGTCAGTCGTCACGAGATGCCGTACGCGAAGATGTTTGAATACGGGAGAACTTGAATGCTGCAAGAGCACTCAGGCCAGACGGCGAGTAGATACTGTCAAATTTGAGTAGGGAGAGTGGTCATGAAAGACGTCCTTGAGGAGCCGAAGGGAAACTCTGGGTGAGATGCATAAGATCTGAGGCCTTCGAGGGCATGTCCGAGAAGTTATGTTACTTTTCCGAAGCGTGCAAGGATACATCATGAGACCGCTGGGAACGGCCTGTCAGGGCGTCTTTCGCGAATTTCCCTGCGCGTTTGGTTTCAAAGGGAAGCCTAAAATCCAAGGCATTCATCATCGGCGGGGGAGATGAAAGAGGACACCGGCCGAACCGCTATATTTCATCCCGGTTCCCCATGTAATCCGTTCGATGTTGGGTAAGAAAGGGCATGCCTGATCGCCGACCAGTTCACCTTTGTGGCTTAACTCAGGGCCCACCACTAGCACTTGAGCCGCTGCGAAAGCCCTCAGTCCTCGACTAGTCCGTGGGATTTCCGAGTGTGAAATATCAATCTGAGTCCCGTGGCCGCAGTAATAGTTCCGCTCGTATGATGGGTTACACTGGACAATAAAGCGATGAGCCTTAAGTGCTCACCCATGCCCGGCCATAGCACCCCCTAGCACCCCCTAGCACCCCCTAGCACCCCCTAGCACGCTCCAGCACCATTGAGCACGCGATTATTATCCATGCTTACTCATGCTACCACATGCGGCACCGAGCCCTGGCATGCCTGGGCCACAGTGCACTACTGTCAGCCCGTGCCACACAGTGCAGCACTCATGCCAGCACCCGCCGGCATTCTCCAGCATTTCACCGGGATCCTGCTCGATACTTCTCCGGCACGCGTGCAGATCCATGCCGCCAGGTTGTCATTCCGGCACTGCCACAATCATCCTTCCTCGACTAAACTAGATCTCAGATTTAATCCACATAATTAGCCACATTCTATTGCCCCTTCCCTATCCAATATCAAATTAATTGCATTTCCTAGACACTTAGCAATAGTTCATAATTTGTCCTGTTACACCTGTGTCATGTATACACCCTTCTCAACATATTTCCTGTCTTCGCAACATGCTCTACCACTCTTAGTTTATTTCCATTCTACACTATCAATGAAACCAATAAATTTTTAACCCTTTGCAACTGAGACATCATCCCCTCCTCTCCAATTCCTATAACACTCCTCGGTGATGGATATTCTTTGCAACTTCCGCACTGCTTACCGCCTTCTATGTGATGATGTTCGTCTCACTGTTCTTACCCGAGTTGGAGATCTACCCCACCTGGACCAGCAGTGGCAGGAAGTCCTAATGTTCCTCGCTGCAGCACAGCAGGTCAGTTTCCAAGTTCCCTCATATATGACTTTTAAACAATCCTTTCTCCAATTACATTAATCTTACAGCACTCACATCACTTCCCCGCGTCTGAGTTTGCCACCCTTTCCTCCAGTATTGCCGACATGCTGCAATGCCTTGACAAAGCGAGACACGCCTCTGCCGACCCTACCCTCCCCCTCAACCATCCGTTACCTGCCGCGATCAACATGGATCTCGCGGCCGCCCCAAGATCTACATCCAGCCTTCATTTCTCACCACTGCCCTTGAACTCTGAGGCCCCAGCGGCATCGCAGACATCTTGCATGTTTCGTCCCGCACTGTCAGACATCGCGCCTTGGAATATGGCCTTGTTGAGCCCGACCCACCTGTCTCTCCCGTTGAAGTGGATGAGGAAGGCAACACTCATCGCACATGGACCTCCCACACCACGGCTTTCTCTGTGATCTCTGATCAAGATTTGGATGCTCACCTCCTACATATCTTGCAGTCCTTTCCCAATTTTGGTCGTCGCATGATTGCCGGCCACCTGCAGTCCATGCGCCTTCGCGTCCAGCATGAGAGGATCGTAGCATCATACCTCCATGTCCATGGCATCCCTCACCTCTTCGGTGACAGGCACATTCTCCAGTGGAAGTACCATGTTGCGGGAGTCAATTGCCTCTGGCATGGTGATGGTCAGCATGGTCAATTTTATCGCACAACACCCTAATTCAGATCCTCACCAACTCCCATTATCCAGTGCTAATACAGTGGAAGCTCATTACCCATGCGTTCATTGAGGGAATGGCCTGACTTGTGGTAGCCATAGGTGTACACAACAATAAGCGGGCCGACACCGTCCTAGCTTTATTCCTCACCGGCGTTGAGAGGTATGGTCTTCCCAGCCGCGTTCGTGGAGACCATGGCACCAAGAATGTTGATGTCGCCCGCTACATGGAGGAAAGCTGTGGCGTAGGTCAAGGGTCTTACATCTGGGGCCGGTCAGTCCCCTCGCCCACTTCTACTGTCAATGTCTCTGAACTCTCACCTGTATATACAGCAGTGCTCACAATACCCATATTGAATGTCTCTGGTATGATGCTATACGGGGATACAATACAAAATGGAAGAATCTTTTTATTGACCGTGAACTCTACTATGGCTTGGACACCGAAAACCCCGCCCACATCTGGCTGCTCCACCTCCTTTTCCTCCCTTCCATCAATGCAGACACCCAGGATTGGGCTGAGGCTTGGAACAACCACACAATGTCTCTCGATGGTCAATGTGATTGCAGCCCTCACAATATGTTTTTCTTCGGACTCCTCCAGTATGGTGCAAGGGGTCTTGAGTCCATGGTTGATCCCATAGATGAGCCTCTCGCACCTGAGGATATCGTGGCCTACAGCATTGACTGGGAAGATATGGACAATCCATGCCTAATGGAACACCTGCTTGTTAACAATGACCATGAATGGGATGAGCATAATCCATTCGCACCTCTATCTCAGCCAGACATGCTCTCCCACATTGAGTGCCTCCCCCCCGACCCCCCTTCCCCGATGACACAGCATCCCAGATCCTCTCCTCACTTGCCTCTCGGTTCGAACTCCTGGTTCACAACATTCAGCTTTGTAAGAGCCTATGGATCGAAGCTCTCTCTCTGGCACAGCAGCTCTACACACACCCTCATGGCTAGACCTGAAGTCCTCATCCCTCATTTTCACCGTCAAACAAAGTTATCAGTGCGCACATGAGATCTGCCCCCCCCTTTCCGAGAATAGGCATCTGGGCTACCTAGCCTAGAGGCGTCATTGTATAGTGTTACCAATTTCGAAGCTAGCGTACTTCACTGACCATGGATCTTCACTGCCATAGCTCCCATCATCACTTGCTTCACTGTCCGAAAGTGTCCGATAACCTGTTTCCCTGTCACATTTGGTGAGTTTGTCATCGGGAACCCTCTTTCAATATGACCCGACATCTACCATGGAATGTCACCTCCATCTTCCCCCACATGTGACCCAACATCATTCCATACCTCTTCCACGCGATCATCCTTCACTCCCCCACATCCCCCCCCCTTCGTCCACAGCCATAATGTTCTCCTGACCGAAGTCAGGAGAACACAGATTCTCAGGCAAGGCTTCTCCCTCTCCCCTGTGGTTGCTGAAAGTGCTACTCATCTCTTCATTCAGAATCCTGGGCACTATCATGCGCCGGACATCTTCTCGCATATGTACAATGTTCTCTTGCCCGGGGATCCCTGTGAACCCCTCCAGAGTATTCACTCCGAGGTAATAAAAGGACCACAACTATGTCAAGTCCTCCATCTCCTCCACCTCACTGAGGACTTGCATGCCATGATGAGGCCGAAATTCTGTGGGTTCCAACGTCCTCATCATACATCAAAACAGACGGTTTAAGCCCCGATTGCCGGTGGTTCTGTATTTGCATGAACACTATCAAGCTGAATTTGACCGCCTTGAGGACGTTGATATGCACAGACACACAACAATCACCAAGGACCAAAAGAAATAAACCTAAACCCCGTGATATGGGTGAAGGCGGTCCGAGACAACTGAAGGGTATTTAATAGTTCGAGGGGGAAGGGAGGAGTAAGACGCCGTAGGGTAGTCCGTAGGAAGACCTAGAAAAATAAAACAAAAACCTTGACGCCTGAAACAAACACTAATGGACGCTCCGGAGTACTTATCTCCGGAAAGTCGTGAACAAAGTCGCAAACCACGGAACCGAGTGTAGGTTCGGGCCCATGGAAGTAAGAAACGCTAGAAAGACTTGTTTAATTTTATTTCGCTATGTGAGGCTCACCGGAGCTAATTGAATCGATGGCGGAGATAATTCACTCGACGAGTCAGGCCTATTGGCAAAGCTAGGGTCGGTTATAATTCGCTAAGTTCGATGCTTTCGAACTTCTCGGGTCGCTGAGATCGTAACACTAATTCTCTGAGATGGTGAAGTCAAAACTTGTTTTTCTGTACGCTACTTTGTACAATTTATACTACAGGAATGGCTTTGCGACCGTCTGGAGATAAATAACAAATAACCGCCGCTACCCACAGGATTGCTCAGCACTTGCCACCGCTATACCATGCACCATACGACTCTCTTGCACTCCCACTTGCTCATCCCAACCCCTAGAGGTCGCCTCAACGCTCTGCCACCTGATCCAAGCGGTCCCATCACTCCGTGCGACGCGCCGGTCATGTGCTAATTACCTCCAGCTGCTTGCTGACTGATGCTGACCTCATGGTGACTCGTATGCATCCGCACCTTCGGTGTCTTGACGGAAATGAGGGGGAGTGAGTGCTGGAGGGTGGGCATGAGGACGATGCCCCTCAATAGAAGTGCCCGCTGATAGGCACTAACACACGACAACACCAAAGACCAAAAGAAATAAAACCTAAAACACCCAGCGGTATGGGTGTAGGCGGTCTAAGGCGATTGAAGGGTAATATTTAAGTTCGAAGGGAGGGGGAGAAGTTAGACGCCGTAGGGTAGCCCGTAGGAAAACCTAAAACAAACAAAATCTTGAGGCCTGAAACAAACAGTATAGCGATTCTCCGGAGTATTTATCTCCGAAGTTCGACAGTAACCCGGGTGGGGAGTTCCACTGAACCCGAACAATAGTCTCGTGCCTACAGACGCTTGGTGAATTTTATACTTTAAATCCGGAGCTTACTTGGATCGATATGCGATGGCGGAGTTATCTAGTTTCGACGAGTCCGGCCTATTGGCAAAGCTAGGGTTGATTGTAGACGCTAAGTCCGACGCGAAGGGACTCCGAGGGTCGCTGAGACGATAATTCTGGTACGCTGAGGGGTGAAGTACAAAAAAACTTGTATTTTCCACTACGCTCCATACATTTTTATACCATTGGAATGGCTTTGCGCCCGTCCGGAGTTAAATAACAAATATGCTCCGCAACCCACACAATTACTCAGCCTTTGCCCACCGCTATACCGTGTCCCATACGACCCTACCGTGTTTCCACCTGCTCGTCCTAGGTCTAGAGGTATCCTCGACGCGTCCATGCTCGCTT